TTTCTGCTCTGCACGCTTTGCCGCCGTTTTTTAAGCACTGCAACATACGAAAACATACGGCAGGTGAGCTCTATCTCCATGAAGCCATACTCCAAGACCAGCGTCTCCCTGCAGATCATAATGTTTTCCTTTTAACGCTCCACTTGGAGTCGGCGGGCCAGCCAGCGGCACAGCCTCCTGACACCTGTTCTTAGGCCGCAGCAGGGGGGGGGGGTGCGGGCGGGGGTTTGGAGACAGAGCGTTTGTCTCCTCCTGCTGGCCACTGACAGAGCAGTGGAAATTAGGGAGAAACAGAGCTTGTCCCTGGCTAAGCCTCTACCTCAAAAACAGTGAAAAACTAAGTCAGGCTCGTGATGAAAAGACACTTGCCCCTCTCCAGGGGCCACTAGGGGATCAGGCAGCTTCCCCCCGACCCCACCCCCAGCCGCCCAGACGTGAGGCCCTTGGGGCCTCCTCCAGAGCTGTGGCCTGTGCCCTGAGAGTGGCCCTCTCTCCCCTGAGTTGCTCTCCCTCACCTCTCCCCAGTGAAGGGAACCACATATAAGCACAGGCGAGAGCTGAGGAGCTGAGGAAGAAGTTGAGTTGGTTGTACGTAGATTTGACCTTGGTGGGTGGTTAGTGTTACCAAGTTGAAGGCTACTCTGTGAACAGTTAGGTTGGCTGTCCACGGCAGGGGCCGGCTTCCAGATACCATCTCCCTCTGCTGATTCGCCATGTGTCCTGTTAGGGACCAAGGTCTGGGCACTACGTGACGTGTATCCCCACATGGGAAGAAGGTCTTCTTAGCTGACCTCAGGTTCTTTGTATTTGCTGTTCTCTCTACCTGCACACCCTTCCTGCATGGGACTCCTTCTCAGGATCAGGACGCATGGGAACATACCCCCACCCCTCTGGATTCTTCTTGGACAGGACAAACAAGCAAGCCAACATCAAACAGATTAGCAGGAGAAAAAGACCACATATAATAGCATACATATGGTGAATTTATATGGTTGTTAGTTCTAAAGTAAATAGGACTGATTGCGAGGGGGTCTATCCTGAGCTAAGGAAAGGTTTAGGGACTGGGGGTGTCAAGGAGAGAGGAGGCAATCTCAGATGACAAGAGGAGATGACTTCACAGGACAAAACCTTGCCTCTGGGTGTTTGTCCTGCCTTAAAAGGTTTCTCCAATGAAGAGGTTGTTTCCGGAGATGACCCTACGTCCAGGCAATCTGCATTCCTTAATGTGATGGTCACCCTTTGTCCCAAGAGCCACAGGCATCCATTGACCTTAGTTCCACATACCACGGTGACACCTGTCAGAAAAAGCCAGCTCTGGGCATTTGAGGGAAAAGCCTGTTTGAACACTTTTGGGGGATGAGCTAAAATTTCAGCTCGTCAAAAAAGTCTGCCTGGGCCACTCCTCACTGGCTTCCACTCCACACCCTGGCCTGTCTCGGTAACTTTGAAGTGAGCTTAGTGTGCTTTGTTTGCTTTTGTGTTTTCTGTCCCTTGAAGACAGGGACTTGGGCTTATGTGGGCTCTTGTAATGGAGGCTGTGTGCCCACATTGGCCAACCACATGCTCACATAGAGTCACAGAATTCTCATCTGCAAAACAGGGCAAATCAGGGCCTCCCCGGTGGCGCAGTGGTTGAGCGCTGGGTTACGAAGCTGCCCGCAGCCTCTGCAGCGCCGGTTCGATCCCTGGCTGCCAGGCGAGGGTCCCACATGGCGCGCAGACCTCTCCTGCCGCCCACTGCTCCCCTCAGCAGTGTACTTCGGTCCTTCTGCCTGCTCTGCTCCCCGCTCTGGCTCTGGTGAATTCTCTCAGCCTCCCGCGCTTCTGACTGTACCCAGTGCTTGTATAAATAAATAAATAAATCTTTAAAAAAAAAAAAAAAAAAAACAGGGCCAATCATACCCAACTCTGAGGACTGGATATGGGATAAAGGAGATATTGATCACTGGAGTCCTTTGCACCCCCAACCCCACAGGTCTGCCTGGAAGAGAGCTGTGAACCAGATCTGGCTGGGGTCCCAAGGCTCTCAGCTTATTCCCTGTTCCTTCTACAATCCCTCCAAGAAAGGATAGGATGGCCTTCCACAGAGTTCTATGCCAAGTTCTTTCTCCATATCCTCTCTCCTCCTCCTCACCATCCATAATCACCAGCCTTTTCAGTGTTGGATGGGGTTGTTCTGGAAGGGTCTGAGGCATTAAGCCCTTGGAGGTCGGCATGGTTTAATTGGGCATAACTGCTTCAAGGACTGCTCAGCTTTATCTGAGACCCTTTCCAGGGGCTCAAGTCACTCAGAACACCACATATGCAAATTGTGAAGATGGAACTCCTGCCAAAAGCCAAATTCCTGAATTTCCTATATGAGTGCTCCTTCCTTTCATCATCTTTACTTCCTCACAACCTCTTTTTTTAATTTTATTTATTTATGCATACAATAACTGGGGTACAGGCCAGAGGTGCAGGGGAGTGGGGTGAGAGGATTCTCCAGGGACAGAGTGGGGAAGAGACAGGCGGATCCACTGAAATACACTGCTGAGGGGAGCAGCAGGCGAGGCAGGAGAGGTCTGCTGCGCTTTGTGGGTCAGCTCCCTGGCTGGGGATCCAACTCGTGCAGTTAGTGCTGCAGTAGCTGCAGACAGCTTCATAGTGCTGACGCTTAAGCCCTTGCACCACCAGGGAAGCCCCTGTTTAAAAGTAACCTCTTTTAAACCTGCAGCTACATCAGTAAGCCAAATACATGAAACTCCTTGCCTTTGTGGAGTTTCCAGGAAAGGAGAGAAACCAAAAAGATGATGAAAAGGGAAATATATAATAGAGACAAATGCTAAGGAGGAGCAATCAGCAGAGGAAGTGGGTGCCTGTGTCAGGGATTCATTGAAATTGCACAGCCATATATGACATGAGAAGCCTGGGTTTCTCCACTCGGGCTAAGTGACTTGCCCAAGATCATACAGCTTTAGAAAGCAGCCAGAAGTCAGAATTTGAACCCAGGCCAAACCTACACTATGCTGAAACGTGACTCCTGACACCAGGTTTACCAGGAGGGATACACTTAATCAATATGGAAAAATGTGCCTGTATTTTATTTCTGTAATTCCTTCCGGTAACAAAACAAACAAAAAGGATTGTAAGGAAATACTGTGTTCCAATTTTTATTGGGGAATACAATAAACATACATATCCTTTTCCTCGCTAATTTTAATTTTAAATTCTTCCTGCAGGGGAGAATTTAGAAAAAAATGTCTAAATTTTTAACCATTCGGTCTGCTGAATGGTTAAGATGAAGTGGAAAACTGACCCCTCATGTCCTCGATGAGGTCACTGTGGTTCTGAAAGGTGACTCGAGGTCGCTCGGAAGGCGACAGCCCAAGCGGGGCAGAACCGGATTCGCCAGATTCCCTAGTGTCTGTCGTTTTAACCTTCGTGGGTACAGGGCAGCTGGAGAGGACGCCTAGGCGGGTTCCCCGGCGGGGCGACAGTGGCGACAGCTGCGACGGCCCCAACGAGCAGGGGTGCCCGGGTCGTCCTGAGGCCGGGGTGCGAGAGGCAGACGCGGGTCTCTGAGGGAGGGCGACCCCGCAGGCGGAAAGGGGCGGAGATCGGAAGTCCGTGCCTTCTGCCCTCCCCGTCTGGCCTCCCCCAGGACCTGGGGCGGTCGACCCCAGCCCCCCAGCCGCCCCCCCCCGCTGTGATGACAGCCTGACTTAGACAGCGCCCAGCCCCGCAAGCACACGGCAGCCGACGCCGCTGCGGACAGGGAACTCGAGGCGGCCTCGGCACAGGACCTGTGCGACTCCAGGTCCACATCCTTAGGGGCCACAGTCAATGTTTCCAACTCCCCGAGCTCACCAAGAGCTCCCCCGGGGCCCCCGAAACGCGAGGGTCCCTCCACCTGGGACGTCTTTCCACGCCCGGTTTCCCAGGAGGGGCCCCGCTGTCAGAAGACACCCCCCCACACCCCCCCATCATTCCCACGGGGTCAAGGGCCCCTCCCTGCTGCCACCCCGCGCGGGCTTCCCCACACGCCGCGCCCCAAAGGGCGGCCTGGCCTCCTGCGCGGGCCGAGGCCGACCTCCCCGGGGCTGCGGACGCCCGCAGGAGACAGAGCGGGGCCGGGTCCCCCACTGGTGACCTCAAGCGAAGCATTATGTGCCCCCGGGACGTGGCGCGAGGAGTGGGGGGGTGACCCCATAAGACCGGCCAGAACGATCGCCGGGAACTGCGGGCACACAGCAAACTTTGACTCAAGCTCACGCGGCCGCCCTGCGTCATCGCCCTTTTAAGGCCCCCCCACCGGGCCTCTAAGCGGAAGTGCACGCTCGGGCCCCGGAAGTGACTTCAGGCCCCGCAGAAACATGGCGGCGGAGCGCGCTTCCGGAAGCGGTTAAGGGCATCTCCGTGACGCAGAACGAGTTAGAGCGCCCCGTGGGGTTTCCATGGTGTCGCCCTCGGCCCTCAGCCCGTCCGCCTCCTCTCCCGCCTGAGCGCCGTGAACGTGAGGGCCGGCGGCGGGTCCAGCCCGCGACGCGACGCCGCTTGGGGGAGGGCCGGGCGCGCAGCTGACGCTCTAGGCGAGCTCGCGCGCGTCTCGATGGTGCCGCGCGCCCTGGGGCGCCGCTCCCGTGCGTCGGGGCGGACGTTGCCCCTTTAATCGCGGAGGGCGTGCCGAGCAGGTCCCGCGAGAGCGGCGGGGGGCGGGGGGCGGTGCCGAGCCCGGGGGCCCGTGGCGGATGGAGCCCGCGATGGAGCCGGAGACTCTGGAGGCGCGAATCAGTGAGTGTCCAGGAGGGGCGCGGGCCGGACCGGAACCGGAACCGGGGGGCACGAGGCGGGCCCCTACTAGGCGGGGGCGGGGTACGGGGCGCCCCCTCCTCACGCCCCGCCCCCGCCCGGGGAGGGGCGGCACCGGAGCCGGCTTCTCCTACCCTGGGGTAAAGGGGGACCCACGGGCTGCCCCGACCCGCGGTGGGTGTGGGCGCCGCCCGCCCGTCCGCTCTTTGGGCCGCGACCCCTGGGGAGGAGTGAGCGGTGCCCAGCTTTGCGCCCAGAACCCCAGGAATGTCTCCAGCCGCCCCCCCACACACACAGCCCAGACTTCGCTAGAGGAGCGGACCCCCCAACCATTTCCTTGCATCGGGGAGGTAGTGAGGGAGCGAGGGCTGCATCTGAGGCCCGGGGAGGAAAGCTCCCTACTCCCCTTGGGACCCCGAATCCTCCACTGTCGGGCTTCACGTTCCTGGACCCCACAACCGCTGTCAGACTTGCTCCTTCCTCACACAGGAGGGGAGGACCCAGTGGCCCATCCCGTACCCCAAATCTTTAGCCACACAGTGAGAAAACCCCAAACCCTACGGGCTTGGAGAATCTGTGCACACTCTCCAGAAATCACTTAAAGTTCTCTGTCACTCCCCCCCCCAAGCCCTCAGACTTTGCAACTCCACCCAAAACCTAACCCTTGATTGGCTTCCTCCAAAGGCCCCTGCCATGGGTGGGTGGGTGGATGTCTTCCTCAGACACAGCTTCCTGCTCCTGAGGCTCCCAGACTCCCTACCCGACTGGGTCAGTCCTGCGCTCTCCCACTCCTGCTCTCGGCCCTCTGCTGTTGACAGCTCTGTCCCAAGTCTTTCCTCCAGGGCCTCAGCACAGCCTCAGGTGTACCTTCAGTTCAGCCGCTTGACCCTGCAGGGTGGTTTGGGGTCACGGCCAGTCCCTTTCAGCCAGCCTTGTGCAGAGTTAGACCCTGGCCCTGGCCCCAGAACCACACCATCTCCAGGGTGGCTTCATAGTCAGGCTCTTGTGGAGGGACCGGAAATGGAAAGGAGGGATTCAGCAGCCATCAAGACTGTTCCAGAATGCGACCCGTGTCCAGGTCTCAGCAATAACTTGGGAGGTTGGGCAGGGTTGTGGCTGGAGGATCTGACAGGCATAGAAAACTCTCCAGTTCAACAGCAGAGGGGTTTGCTGAGGGCACCAGCGTCAGATCTGAGAACCAGGAGGGCAGGCAGGACACCTGCGTATGGCAGCAAGCCGGACCCTGATGGATTAGGACTGAGGTTCTTTTCTCTTTTTCTTCCCCTTGTGTCCATTCAGAACTGGAAGCTCTTCCCTTGGCGAGGTTGGAGGCAGAGTAGCTTTCGGTGGGGTAAATGATGACATTGTCACCACTGTGGGGTGGCGGGGTGGAGTCACCCCATTGTGAAACACCACCCTCCTTTCCCGGGTGTTCTCCCCTGCTGCCACCCGGGGAAAGTGCTTCCCTTCAGTGGGGGAAAGAAGGCTGGGGCCAGGGCCAGAGAGCTTGGTCAGACCAAAGACCCGAGGCCCTTGCCCTGAGCCTGATGCTGGCGAGAAAGCTGGTGTCTCTTGATGCCGCTTACTCTTCCTCACTGGCTCTGACTCAGGAATGGTCCCTTGAACCAGCCTCTCTCCTCACTCATAGTCATGTGCCTGACCCTGCAAGGAAGTTCCCGTTCAAGGTCCCCCAGCCCGGGCTCATTGAGGGGACCGTATCTAACCGCATTCTGGCTTTCTAACTCTAGACTGGTGTTGCCCAGTCTCTGGCCGTGTTGGGGGCTGGGAAGCAGCATAGACAGTCACTTACCATGGGTGGGGGCGGAGGGGTGCCTATTCCTGGTTTCCCCAGCGGGGTCTTCCTTTCTCCAAGGAACTAGAGGGCTTTGAGGAACTGAATAGCGGTCTGTGCCCAGAGAGAAATGCTTCATTGAGATCTCTGCTCGGCTGTGCCGCCGCTGAGCGCCCGCCCAGAAAGCACCCCCAACGCTTTCTGTGCTTGTCCCTGCACTGCTTTTCTTCGGGGCCCTTGCAGCAGCAGGCAGTCTGTCCTGCTTATCTGAGTAGTTGCCGCCTGTCTTGCCGGGCTGGGAGCTCCAGGAGGCCAGGGGCTTCGTCTTGTCCACTGCTGCCCTCCCGGTACTCAGAATATTTCTTGCATAAACATGAATGGAATGAATGGCCGCCAGACACTGGTATCACAGGGCCCCAGGCTTCCTGCCCCAGCATGGGACCCCAAAGGGACAGATGCCACATGCTGCTTCCCAGCCTCCCTCTGGCCGCATATCCTTCTGTCCCACCTCCTGGGCTGTGTTCCCTCCACACCCCCTGCCCAGCGCTCAAGCTTAGGCAGCACTGGACCAGGAGGGTTTTGCTCTGGGAAGGGGTGAAGATGCAGCTCCACCCGCCCCCCTCCCTTAACCTACATGAAGTATTTGATCCCCCAGAGTCAGCCCCTATTTCACTCCAGCTCTGCAGATGGGGAAATGGAGGTTCAGGGAAGTAATGTTCCCTCCTTGATTATTGCTGAAGCAGCCTTGGGCATCAGGGAGGCAAATCGGGCCTTGCTTGCCACCCACCCCTGTAGACCTGTTTGCCTTTCCTGGCCACTGCCTTTTCCTGGATTCAGACTCACCCCAAAACCAAGCCCTGCCTGCCCGCAGCTGAGCCCTCACTCATTGGTGCGCCCCGAGGAGACGAGGGTGTACACACGTGTCTGGGGGACACGGGAGTGAGCCGACCCAGCAGGGCAGGAGTGGGAGTCAGTGATGACTTCCCAGAGGAGGGGACACCTGAGCCGCTCCTTACCGGGTCTTCACGCTCTGCCCTGAGCCCTGTTACGCATGTCTCTCCTCGCACACAGCCCTTGAACTGTCCAGAAGCAGGTCGTCCTCAGCCTGGTTAATGTCCTCCAGACCCTGCTGTGTTGCCTCTTCCAGGCAGCCTCCCCTGGTCCCAGGCTCCACTGAGTGCCCTCCTCTGCTTCCCAGGGCTCCCTTGCCTCCTCAGTCACGCTGTACTGAGAGCCTAGCTTCCCTTGGCCGGCTTCCCAGCTCCACAGCTCCTTGAGGGCAGAGCTGTGGCTTTTCCCCTTACCTCTGCTTCCCTCCAAATGCAAATGCCACGAGAGTTGCTGGGGACCCGTTTTTCAGGAGCAGCATCAGAGGAGGAGGGTGGGACAGGGGGAAGGGGCACAGCGTTAGGGGTGGGAATGGTGGGAACAGACATGACCCCTGAGCACAAATTCTAAAGGTGGGGCCCTCTGGGAGGAGCTGCGAAAGGAAGCGGTGTACCGGGGCTCCCCTGACCACGACTTGCCCCTGTGTGGGCTCTCAGGTCGTGAGGCTGTCAGAGCAGGAAGCCAGTGGGGTCTCTTGTCATGTGCTCAGTCATACACTCTGTCCCCTACCGACCCAGCCCTGCTGTAGGGTGGGGGTGGGAGAGGCCAGGGGTCCCTTCAGCCACACTGACCTCTTTCCTCCTACAGACAGAGCCACGAACCCCCTGAACAAGGAGCTGAACTGGGCCAGCATCAACGGTTTCTGTGAGCAGCTCAACGAGGACTTTGAGGGGTAGGTAGCCCCCCTCCTTTGCTCGTGTGCCCAGCAGAATCCCTGCACACCTGCCCAGCACACTCGAGACCCTGGCCCAGCGGGGATGTGGCTGGGTCAAGATCCAGTTTCATGCTTAACATGCTCACAAATCAACAGGGGTCACGGGCACTTTGTAGAGCATGCTACTGTGTGCCCATCTCCAAGGTGGGATCACTGGGCCCACTGACAGGTGAAGAAACTGAGGCATGGGAGACGCAGCAGTGTCCCCAGGACCTCGTAGAGTAACTGCTCGTCCTGAGCTCGATCAGGCCCAGTTTGGCCTCGCCGCCACAGTGCTTTGTCCGGGAGGGCCTCCTGCAGGGAGACCGCATGCTCCCCAGCTGGGCTCAGGGCAGCAGGCCCTCCGCTCAAGGAAGAACCAGAGCGTGTCTTGGGGAGACTGCACTGGCAGGTGGCCGGGTGGTGCTGAAGCATGGGGAGCAAAGCTCAGGGTGCCTCACCTCCACTCCCTCCACACGCTGTGTGTGCTCTGGAGTCTGCGGCTCAGGAGTGAATCCAGCCCCTCAGGCAGCTGAGTCGCCTTGGGCGTCATTGCGTGCCTCGGTGCCTCTGCTTCTTTGGCCATAAAGTGGGTGCCTTGGTGCCTCCTACCTGGGGGGAGGCTCTGATGAAGGTCAGACAGGTAGATGTATGTAGGCGTTTCGCACATTATGAGTGCTTAATACATGGTACTATCGCTGTCGTGAGTGACGGGTCTTTTGTGTCACCAGCTCCACCATGCAACTGCCCTGGGCACATTGTCATGTTCTGTGCCCACGCAGGGTCCTCGAAGGCTGCCGTCCCCTCTTATACTTGTCTCCACAGTGAGTCAAGGGCCCGGCAGTTCTCATGAGGCCCCCCAAGGACTCAGCTTGCATCTCCCAGAGGCCCCGGCCTTGCTCTCTGCCTGTCCCTATGTCCTGTGTCGGTGCCCTCCCCCTGGCTGTGCTGACTCTGCCCTTCCTCTCACCCAGGCCTCCACTTGCCACCCGGCTGTTGGCCCACAAGATCCAGTCTCCACAGGAATGGGAGGCGATTCAGGCCTTGACGGTGAGAAGAAAGAGGGTGCACTTCATCCTCCAACCACACAGATAACTCTAGTGAAGGTTTTGAGGGTCCTATCAGCTCTTTAGAGCCTAAATTGGTTGTGCCAGGATGACGAGGGTGGGAGATTGGACCAGCCCCAGAGCATCCCACGGCAACCAGTGGATGGCCTTGCACGCCAGACCCTGCCCAGTTAGGCCTCTAGTTGTAGGCACCCCCTCAGGTCCTCTGGTGTAGGGGTTCCCCATTTTGGCAGCACATCGGATCTCTGGTGTCCAGTTGAACAGACTGAACAGGGCTTGCCCCAGCTCCTCAAGCCTCTGCTTCCAGGACTCTGCACGTGAATACAGTGCCAGCCCGTCCCACCAGTGGGCCCAGAGACAGGCCAGCACTCTGCTTCCCAGGGGCCCTGGGGTGATGCTGGGCTCAGGCCAGAGGTCTCAAAGCTGTGCCAACAGCAGAAGAGCGGAGGGCACACTGCCTGACCCCCAAGCGTGGACCACCCGGCAGCCAAGCTCAGAGCAAAGCTGACTCACACTGGTGCTACGTGAATGGTTTTTTTTCTCATAATTATTTTTTCAGCACATTAGTTTTTCTTTTTTCCTCAAATACATGTTGGTGCTGTGATTTTAGTCATGTAGCTGAGGAGAAGCCAAGGAGGTGGTACCTGTTAAAATTCTCAAAACAAATAAAAAATAGTAAGAAAGTCATTTGCATTGGTGCTCAGATGTGGCAGGGGAAGGACTCCGTGGTCTGCAGGTTGGACTCCCTGGCCCGCGAAGTCCCCGGGGCCGGAGGCTGGGGGTGGGTCGTAGGGACCTTTATGCCCCTCAGAAACCTCTTGTCATGTAACTTTCTGAATGCCTCCCCTGGGCATCTGGGCCTTGCCAAGGTGTGTGGGGGGCTATCTCTTCCACTCCACCCCGGGGCCCCTCACGCTGCTCCCCCCCCTCAGGTGCTGGAAACATGCATGAAAAGCTGCGGCAAGAGGTTTCATGACGAGGTGGGCAAGTTCCGCTTCCTCAACGAGCTCATCAAGGTCGTCTCCCCCAAGGTAGGTACCCCAGCCCGACCACACCTGCTCGCTCAGACACCCCCCTGCTCACTCAGACACTGGTTGAGGAAACAGGATCCCGGATGGCGGGGTGACTGACTGTCCTGGGGGCTTCCCACCCCTCCTGCTCAACCTTTGACCGGAACCCTGACCTGGCACAAACAGACCCTGTCTCCTAGTCGCTTTCCATAGCTAAGTCAGGGACAGGGGTTCTAGAAGATGGGGTAGGGGGCGTTGGTATTGGAGGCAGCCATGGTTCTACTCCTCATTAGAGAGAAGGGCAGCAGGGAGTGCTTCTCGCTCTGGTCTCATACCCTATGCCCCTGCCATAGTAGAGGTTCCCCCATCCCCAGCTCATATGAGCGGTCTTCTTGAGGCCTTGGATGCAGAGTCCCCAAACCTGCTTGTCGGAGCCCCGTACCAGGTTGGCCTGAAGAGTCCTCCCCTGGGGCATGAACCTGTTTGGGACCTTTGGGTGAGGGCCCACCCCCTTCACCTTTCCTGGCTCAGACCTGTCCCTTCACCAGTGCAGCTGAACGGCCCAGCTGCCCCCTTCTACCTTAGGGAAGGATGGGAGAGCCAGCTCCTCGGCCTAGCTGCTGCTGGGAGACTGCGCAGGCTGAGGAGTTCCTCCACAGCCCCTGCCCTGGTCAGCCAGAGCCTAGCGGCCCCCTTCCCACAGTCACAGGCTTAAGCCACGCATGAGCAGGCCGTGAGCAGGTGCTGGACTCTGCATCTTACCTGTGTCAGCTCTGCTTCTTCACCACAGTGCCACTGCTGTCACCCCCACTTAACAGGCGGGGAGCTGAGACACACAGGGCTGGCACAGCTAGTGAGTGGCAGAGCCAGGAGGTGAGCTCGGTCTGCTCCAGGCTGCTGGGGGATGTGAGGGACCCTGTAGGCCACTGTGTTCCTGCGGGGTTCCTGGTGAGGAAGCCAGGTAGGGACTGGGCTGGGCAGCAGTGAGTGGGGCCAGCATTGTCAAAAGCCTTTCCTTCGGGCCTCCCCGGTGGCGCAGCGGTTGAGCGCTGGGTTGCGAAGCTGCCCGCGGCCTCTGCGGCGCCGGTTCGATCCCCGGCTGCTCCCCGGCCACCGGCGGAGGATCCCACATGGTGCGCAGACCTCTCCTGCCACCCGCTGCTCCCCTCAGCAGTGTACTTCGGTCCTTCTGCCTGCTCTGCTCCCCGCTCTGGCTCTGGTGAATTCTCTCACCCTCCCGTGCTTCTGACTGTACCCAGTGCATGTATAAACAAAACAAACAAACAAACAAAATAAATAAATAAAACATGCCTCTATAAAATAAAATAAAAAAAAAAAAAAAAAGCCTTTCCTTCCCTTGGTCCCCAAAGTACCTGGGCTCTCGGACATCAGAGAAGGTGAAGAACAAGATCTTGGAGCTCCTATACAGCTGGACGCTCTGCCTGCCAGAGGAGGTGAAGATTGCGGAGGCCTACCAGATGCTCAAGAAGCAGGGTGAGACCCCAGAGGGCAGGTGTGACTGGTGCCCTCACCCCTTCCGGAGCTGGGGCTCCAGCAGTTTTAGAGGCTCTGGCAGCAATTATGCCCTTGAGCTTCTCAAGAACAGATGACCAGTGGGGCCTTTCTGTGATTCTGCCTGATGCTAAATTAGGTGGAAAGAAGGTGAGTCTGGGTCACCTTTCTCCTCAAAGAGCAGCCCCCATGGAGTGGCCTCAATTTAGGGGTGCCTAAGCTCTACCCACCAATTAGACATGATAGCTCAGGAGCCTGCTCTGGCCCGCCTTAGTCCAAAGCCAGCCTGCTGGCGGAAGACTGCCCCCTCCTTCCGTCCTCCCCAGGCCTGCCCATCCCTTTCCCACCCTCTGCCCCAAGTCGGCCCTGCTGACCGTCTTCCTGCCACCCATCTCTCCAGGGATTGTGAAAGCTGACCCCAAGCTTCCAGAGGACGCCACCTTTCCCCTTCCTCCGCCACGGCCCAAGAATGTGATCTTCGAAGATGAGGAAAAATCCAAGGTGAGGCTTCCGACCCACGTGGAGGCCAGTGAATTCGAACCTGGCTGCCCGCAGGGGGTCACCCTGGGTCCCACTTCCAGCACGCTGAGTGCTCCCCACACAGCGCCCCGCATTTCTTACACAGGGTGTCTGCTGGCCCTGGTTGACTTGAGCACACTTCATAGGCCGGTTGGGAGCATGCCTATCTTTTTGCCTTTTGGCAATAATTGTGTTTTTTGTTTTTTGTTGGTTTTTTTTTGTGTGTGTGGGACCCTCGCTGGCAGCCGGGGAACGAACCAGCGCTACAGAGGCTGTGGGCAGCCTCACAGCCCTGCGCTCAACTGCTGAGCCACCAGGGGAGGCCCCAATTGTGTTTTTTTAAATTAAAGATGCATGTGCTTGTGCTTCAGAAATTAAACAGCACAGAGGAGGTCGGATAAAATCAAAACCCGCTCTGCCAAGTCCTGCCCTGGCAGGGACATTGTTAAGTTCCTTGCACACCCTTCCAGATGGGTTCCCACACGCACATGCATGATGTAATGCTTGGCACCGTGCTGCGAACACGCCTGCAGGTGCGGGGGGCACTTACATAGCGGCTTGGTTGTCTTGTGGTCACCCCAGCAGGTGCCAGCATTCTCACCATTCCATGGAGAACTTAAGTAACGTACCCAGCTCCCACAGCCAGGTAGTAGGGAGCCAGAAGGTAACCCCAGTCTCCTGACCCCAGGCCCAGGCACTGCCCTCATGGTCTTGTCCCTCTGTCCGCAGATGCTGGCCCGCCTGCTGAAGAGCTCCCACCCTGAGGACCTCCGGGCAGCCAACAAGCTCATCAAGGAGATGGTGCAGGAGGTGACCGACGACCCAGGCTAGGGGAGGGGGCTGTGGGGGACAGGACAGGGCCATTGGAGGAATGTATGTGTGCATGTGCCAGGAGCCCTACAGTCACCTAGCTAGAAGGCAAAGAAAGCCTTTCTAATTTGGGGCACCTCAGTGGGCAAGGCCAGGACCAGTGTGGAGAGAAGACTTTCCCAGTGGCTGAGTCAGCCTGCCCTGGACAGAATTCTGGAAGATTGACTACCTCTCCTGTGAAAATTGGAAATAAATATAGGCTTTGCTATATTTAAAATGTATGTGTTTTTTAAACACACATGTAATCAGGTGTGTGTGTTTATTTCTGTAGAAAGAGAATATGTGTTTAATTTGTACATATGCAATGCTTGTATGCACACTGAAACATTTTTTTTTTTAAAGATTCATTCATTTATGCATACAAGAACTAGGGTACAGGCCAGAGGTGTGGGGTGAGAGGATTCACCAGAGACAGAGTGGGGAGCAGAACAGGCAGACTGACTGAAATACACGGCTGAGGGGAGCAGCAGGGAGATGAGAGGTCCACTGCACCGTGTGGGTAGCTCCCTGGCAAGGTATCAAACTTGTGCTGCGTGGCTGGGGATAGCTTAATAGTCCTGCATCTTTAACCCCTGTGACTCCTGGGAGGCCCTGAAACTTTTTTTTATTGATAAGAGTAAATCATCAAAAAAGCTTGCCATCAGGGGCCTAGAGAGCCACGTCCTGCATGCACTGACAATCCGGAGTCAGGGCGGCCTCCCTGGGAAGTCTGTCAGCCAGCACAGCCACCTTCATCCCACAGGGAGGACCGGGGCAGTAAGCAGAGGGGGTGGGGTAACAGGCACACTTCTGCAGCAGCCTCTCAACACCATGGGTGACCCCCTTGCCGGGCATCGATGGCCCAGGAGAGGTACTGCACCACTTCCAGGTTGTACTGGGTCACCACTGAGGGTCCTTTCCACTTTCCAGTGCAGGGGCCCTCTTTCAAGGGACAAACACAAGAAGGTGAGAGCCGTGGAGCCACGGCTGAAGGTCTCGGACACTAGACCAGGGTCACCCTGTGCGTGGGCTAGCAGCCCAGATTCCAGGGCCACCCCAGGGGATTCTGCCGGAGAGTCCAGGAATTCCAATGGGCCTGTGTGGAAGCCGGGCCCAGGGCCGGTGAGGGAAGAGAGGAAGTGGGTGCAGGGTTGGCGGGGGCTTCCTGCTGCCCTGTCCTGGGCATGAGGGGCTATTTGCAAGGTGCAGTGACCTCACCCCAGAACCCCGTCTCACACCTGGCTGCAGACACTCGGGCAGCGAGCCGGTGCCTGCAGGTTCTCAGCAGCCCTCTGCCGTTGCCCCCCAGGACCAGAAAAGAATGGAGAAGATCTCAAAGCGGGTGAGTGCCATCGAGGAGGTGAACAACAATGTGAAGCTGCTGACGGAGATGGTGATGAGCCACAGCCAGGGCGGCGCGGCGGCCCACAGCAGCGAGGACCTCATGAAGGTGTGCCCACCTCCACCCGTCTCTGTCCCTGTCCGCTCCGGTGCCCCTGCAGGCCCTGACTCACCCACCATACTGCCCCCAGGAGCTGTACCAGCGCTGCGAGCGGATGCGGCCCACGCTCTTCAGGCTGGCCAGCGACACGGAGGACAATGATGAGGCCCTAGGTGAGCCTGGGAGGAGTCCCTCCTACCCACCCTCCCCTGCCCCTGGTATCCGCAGTTGGAAGGAGCCACCACCAGGGGGCCCCCTTCTCCAGTACGCACCTTGGTTTGTCCACTTAGAGGGAGCAGGAAACAGCAAGGGCAGAGGGGTGGAGAGCCTCTAAAGACCTTGGCGGCTTAGGGACGGCCCACAGCAGGAGGCAGTGGGCCTCATTTACTGCTCGCAAGCTTCACAGGAGAGAACGCTCCCCATTTCACAAGTGGGGCTCAGGGAGGAAAGTGATTTACCCATATCACAGAGCAAAACCGCGGCAGGACCAGGGTGAATGGGGGACACACTCCTACGGACACTGTCCCCTGTCACATGAGGCTCTCTGCCACCGTGTCAACCAGCAAACTGGGCACCCCCTCAGCTGCTCATTCAGTCATTCACTGAGCACCTCCACATGCCAGATGCCTGGTCCTCACCTCCAAGGCTTGCCACTCAGATTCCTCTAAGCTGTGGCTGGCACCCCAGGAGGTGATATTGATCACAGCTCAGTTTGTGCCAGGCTCTGTTCTAGGCCCTTGGGGACTTGGCATGATCAAAGTTAACTAATGCCATAGTTTCGTGGTGCTTGTAGCCTTGTGAGAGGAGACAATGAAACTCAGAACGTGAGCAGCCAGCGGGTCAGGTGGTTGTGAGCAGCGAGGAGAAACAGCAGGGGGCTGGGTAGTGCAGTGGAGGTTCTGGAGGCCTCTCTGAGGTGACGTGGGTAAAGCCCTGTGGCAGTGAGTGATGAAGGCAGAGGCCCGGGGCCTGTAGACAGCAGAGCCTGTGTGGAGACCTGGAGGCGGGGCACGTGGGGCAGCATGTGGCGGCCCTGGACAAGGGGAGGGAGCGAGGCCCAAGTGAGTAGTGAGATGGGCTACTGTCCCCCACCCAACCCCCATCCCAGTCAGCCCCCGACATGAGGACTGAGATGAATGTAGGGTGCTCGTCTCCCCCACAACTGCCCCCACATTCCTTCAGCCTGGCCTCTTCCCTCCTGCCTGTTCCAGCGGAGATCCTGCAGGCCAACGACAACCTCACCCAGGTCATCAACCTGTACAAGCAGCTGGTGCGGGGCGAGGAGGTCAACGGAGATGCAGCCGCCAGCTCCATCCCTGGTGAGGAGGTGGCAGAGGGCCAGGAGGGGCCCTGCGAGGTCAGGGGGTGTGCTAGCTGCAGAGCTGGTGGCCATGATGGCCAGGGTAACTCTGGCCCCTTAAGACAGGGAGACCCCCAGGGCAGGAGTTGGGGGTGAAGTTTGTGCCAGGCCCACAGCTTTGAGGCTTGGAAGTTAGGATGTGGGAGAAGGGGAGGGAACCAGGACTTGGCTGGGACAGGCAGGAGAAGGAAGGCCTTTCTTGCACTTGACACCTGGCACCTATTGTTCCAGGAGAGGTGACACCCCCAGGCTGAGTTGATTTATCAGAAGGCAGCAGAGAGGGTTTGTCACTTAGACAGTACAGGCTAAGTTCTAATAAAGGTAAAATGACAGCACTGGGGAACCAGAGAGGAGGTTGGGGCACCTCCTGTGTTGGGACACAATGGGGTGCAGGGGAGAAGGGGGACAGGGGCAGCAAGTTTAAGCAGGGCTAGCTGGCTAGGAGGCAGTTGGCCAAAAAGAGAGGAAGTGTGTTCCCAGTTGCGGGGACACTACCATCTAAGAAAGAGCCCAGTGCCCAGTGAGCAGATTGCCAGCCAGCGAGGGTAGTTAAGAGTTGGGGGGACCGTTGGCCACCCTGTACCCCCAAGGACTCTGAGAGCCTGAGTGTCCTCCCCCAGGGCTCACTTGACTCTCCTTTCCAACCCCAGGGAGTTCCTCAGCCCTGCTGGACCTCTCTGGCCTGGATCTCCCTCCTGCAGGCACCACCTACCCAGCCATCCCCACCCGCCATGGTGACCAGGCCAGCCCGGAGCAGCCCAGCACCTCAGTTTCCCTGCTTGATGATGAGCTCATGTCTCTGGGTGAGAAAGGGCCAAGCTCCAGAGGAGCAGGAGGTGATACCCCAACATGCAATGAAGCTCTCAGCTCCATCAGCGTGTCCCCTTTCTGGGAGCCATGTGGAGCCCAGGGAGTGGGTGCTAGGCTACGTAGTTGAGAAAACTGAGGCTCAGGGACACTAAGGAGCTCATGCAGGGTCATATAGTCAGACCTTGAGGCTGGCCTGGCGCTAAACCACCTCTCATAGACCAGCCGTGGCCAGGCTCTGGCTGCCTGAGGGGTTTCCCTGCTACAGGTTAGAGCCCAGAATCAGGAGCTGCCCAAACTTCCATTGTTGCCCCTCTGAAAGGAAGCCAGGTAAAATTCTGGGCCCCAAAGCACCAGAAGGCTCCAGGGAAGCCAGGCCCAGCCCAAGGCACCCAGTGACGCCAGCAGGTCCCTGACCAGGCCTGCCGTCACTCCTGGGAAGGGTCTAGGCTCCACAAATTGACAGGAATCCAGGCTCACCTGTGGGGAAGAAGCAGAGGGAATCTACCCTACCAGGCAGTTTTCAGGTTTTCTGCTTTCTCTCCGGGCCCTGTGCAGGGCATCTCGAAGGGTAGGGTAGAAACTAGCTTAGAAGCCAAGAGTCTGTCATGCTTCCAGAGCCCGACCTGAAGTCAGAGCCGGTGAAGAACCAGGAGTGGTTGCACTGTCTCACCTCAGCCCCTTTCACCCCCTCATTTGACAGAAGCAGAGACCAGGCTTAGAAAGGCTAGCTGCGCCTGGAGGGCCAGCAAGTTTGGCTGAGGCACCGGGTTCTGAGCCTGTGCTGTGAGCCTCTCCACCGCTCCCACTCGCCGACTCGTCCAGGAAGGGGTGAACCCAGCAACGCCTCTGGCTGGGCTCCCCTGTGGGCCCATGGCCGATACCCTCCCTTGGAGGAGCTGACCACAGGGTGTCCACAGGGCACCCGAGCCCCACCCACCAGCCCCTTTTGTATCAGAGCCAGGATGACCTGGGGTGAGAGGACCCTGACCCTGATTTACACAGGGAAAGCGTGGCCTGGTGAGGAGGAAGCACAGCCGCCTCAGCAGGGCTAGGGCTGGGTGGCAGCAGCCTGACTGGGCAGTTGGGCGTGTGGCCAGCCCGGCCAGTGTCTGTCATTAAGCTGCCACCTCACTGAAGTGAGGTGTGCTCTGTACTTCCTGTCCCCGGGGCCTGGAGCCCTGAGCCTCCAGCTTTTGGTTTCTTCTCAAAAACAAAGTGTGGGAACAGGAACTAGAAGTGCCCAGGCACCACCCTGTTGGGGCACTGGAGGAAGCCCGGGGGCCACAGAGGGCCTCGTCCTAATCTGTCCTCCATGGCAGGCAGACTGGGGGGTAGGGACTGGGTAAGTGAGGTGAACTTCCTGCCTGTCAAAGGCAGCACTTCATCCTGCTTGTCTAGTTTATCCCCTGCTACAGCTGCTGCCACTGGCTCCATTTTACTGATGAGGCACAGGGAGGTTAGGTCACCAGCCTAAGGTCACACAGCTATGTGGCAGAGACTTGTTCAGACTTTAGTACTTAGGCCATCCTCTGTCCAGGTCTGGCGTCTGCCCTTTTCTGGCTGTGTGACCTGGGATAAGTCTTCTGAGCATCCATTTTCTCCTCCCTAAAAGGAGGGTGAGAGCCCCATGCCAACCGTTGGACATTGGTGAGGATTGGGTGGGACCCATGTCTGAAGTGCCTCACACCTCAGTGGGTGTCACAGATGGTAGCTGTTCCCATACGTCACCCCTGCTCTCAGGCGTGTCCAGAGGAGGCGACCTCAGCCCGCGGCCTCCCACTCCCGCTGGGTGCGCTTCAAGCCAGAGCTCGCTCACTCAGGACTGGCTAGAAACAGGATAGCTTGTCCTCTCCAGGTAAAACCTGGGGTGAACTTGACAGGGGCTGTGCTGGTGGAAATCAGGCTGGGGGTGAGCTGCCGCCTTCTAGCAATCCGATCAGCGGGTCCCGAGCAGGGCGGTCCCGGGGCCCCAGCGCTCCTTGGCAGTCATCTGCCTTGCTGGCACGGCTGGGCCTTCAGAGCTGGCCCGTCTGATCCCACCACGCGCATGTGGGGACGCTGTGGCCCAGCCAGCAGCCAGTCCAGGTTGCTCAGACCCAGGCCTCAAGCCAGTGACCGGCGCCCACCTGGGCCTGTGAGGTTAGGGACCTCACTTGCCGGCTCCTTGCCATCTTCGCCTCCCGCCACCCCCACGCTGGCTCCCAGCTGCCTGCCATGCAGGAAGACAAAAGTCCTGACGTCTATAGCTGAGCTGGTTTCTGGGTGTAAAAAGAGGAAGCGTGAGGCACGGGAATGGGCTGTCGGGATGTTCAGTTTCTACTTCTCTGCTGCTGCTTCCCTCTGAAAGTGGGGTTTTTCCTCTTTGAGGGAGGGTAGGAAATCAGGGAGCCCCAAGCCAGCACACAGTACCCTCCCCAGGTATCTTGCGCTGCTCAGGACCCCAACTCCTTTACCTCTGTCTTGCTTCCCCTCAGGCCTAAGCGACCCCACACCCCCATCTGGCCCAAGCTTGGACAGTGCTGGATGGAACAGCTTCCAGGTAGGAGGGCCAGGAACTAGCCTGACCCCTCCTGACAGGGCAGCTGGGACAGATGGCCTGGGGGGCACAGGAGGGAGGGGGCGGGGAGGCCCCTGCACGCGGCTGCCATCCCAGGGCAGAGGAGGGCGATGGTCCTCCTCATCTTCAGGCGTGTGTCCCGGCATCCCAGCCTTGGGTCTCCCTCTGGTTCCCTATTCCTTCTCTCGTGGGTGACTTTGAAGTCTCTGGAATGTGATCATTTCTGGAGCAGAAGCTCAGACCAGGTCCAGCCCTGACAGCCCTGTGTGAGAGGGGCACATGTGACAAGAGTGACCCCCACCCCCCACCCCGCCACTGCTGCTTCCCCAGAGGTCCCTTGCAGGAAGGGGAAGAGGCCTGGGGTGGCAGTAGGTGACCCTGACATCTCTCAGCACAGCCTCACCCGCATCCTCTGTGTGCCCCACAGTCTTCTGAGAGCACTGAGCCCCCGACCCCCAACACGGACAGCCGGCCCCCAGCGCAGACGCCCCTGCCTGTGAGCAGCGGGCTAGATGACCTGGACCTCCTGGGGAAGACCCTCCTGCAGCAGTCGCTGCCCCCAGAGTCCCAGCAAGTGCGGTGGTGAGGACGCACCCTGGCTGGCGTGGGATGGGGCCCTGCCTGCCCACTACCAGCAGTTTCTCCTGGGCCTTCCTGGCCCAGCCCTTGCCCAAGCCCAGTGCTGGTATTTCCTGTGGGCAGTGGTTGCACAGGACCCAAAGGACACAGCAGTGACCAAGGCAGGCACAGGACCCGCCCCAGAGCATGAATTTGATGAGAAAGGGGACCTTGCCCGCTCACATGCCCTCCCCAAGGTTCCTAGCTCCTCAAGAGAGACCCCAGGTCCAGAGGGCAGCAGTGGGGAGCTCAGAGCCCCACTGGGCAGTGGGCAGGGCTAGGGAAGGGAAAGCACGGGCTTGCCATTCCCAGATGAGGAGACCAAGACCAGGGAGACAAGCGTCAGGAACAGCAGGGAGCCCCACCTTTTCCTGTGCCCTGTCACTGGGCTGCCAGAAAATCACCTCTCCATGCACCGTCGCCCAACAAGGGAGAAGCAGCAGCCAGCACCCCGGCTCACTCTCCGAGACTTGCAGAATAAAAGCAGCTGCAGCTCGCCCAGCTCCGGTGCCGCCAGCCTCCTCCACAGTGTGTCTCCAGAGCCCCCTGGGCCTCTGCCACAGCCCACGACGACCGAGCTCTCGCTGGCCAACATCACTGTGCCCCTGGAGTCCATCAAACCCAGTGAGTGGGCCGGGCGCGGGCCGGGCCGGTGGTACAGCCACCTCCTTGTCCTGGAGAGCTCTGTGCAGGGGAGCCCATGCAAAAATGGGACTCTTCTCTCAGCGCTGCCTGACCCAGCAGGGAGTTCTGGGCACGACCCTGCCCCTTCCCAGGACTCAGTTTCTCCATCCGTCCCCAGAGTAATTGCAGAACTGCCTCATAAGCTCCTGGGCTGCACAGGCAGAGAACCTGAGGATGGTCCCGGGCCCTTCCCCAGCCGGGTAGACTAAGAGAGGTGTGGGCTCTCCCCAAGATCACCAGACTGAACCAGAATAAGATGTCGGTGCAAACCTGGGCTTCTTCCCAGGAGCAGTGGGGGGCAGGGAGCCCTCGTAGCAGCAGGCCTAAACAGCAGGTGGAGATGGCCGGGGTGCGTCACAGCACCCCTCTCTCAGCAGCAGGCAGGACCCTGAACCCAGAGCAGTTGATTTACCAGGGTCACAGTGAAAACGTGGCCCCAGCTCACCCACAGTCCTCCACTCCCCACACCAGGAAGCAGCCACCCAGTCCTGGGGGGAGCCCCGCTCTGACTCAGGGTGTCTTGCGCCCACCAGCACACTAGAAGCTCCCGCATCCCATCTGCGGGCTAGTCTGCCCCCCCGGGTGGCGCCGCCTCCAGGCCAAGACACGGGCCTAAGTTTGCGCTTGTTTCTTCCGGACCCACCTTGCAGCGAGCCCTGAAATGAGCCTGGTGGGGGGAGCCGGTCCCAGGTGCTGGCCCCGCAGCCCACCCGCCGCGCGCGCCCCTTCTCCCCGCCAGGCAGCATCTTGCCGGTGACGGTGTACGACCAGCACGGCTTCCGGGTCCTCTTCCACTTCGCCCGAGACCCCCTGCCCGGGCGCTCCGACGTGCTGGTGGTGGTGGTCTCCATGCTGAGCACCGCCCCCCAGCCCATCCGCAACATCGTTTTCCAGTCGGCTGTTCCCAAGGTGACACGGGCGTGCCTCCCCGCTCCGGGGCAGGGTGACACGGGGCCGAGCGGGGAGCCGGCTGTCCGGGCGCTCAGGACAGGTTTCTCCCTGGTAGTTGGGGGGTAGAAGGGAACCAAAGGACGGAGCCCCAGGGAGAAGCTGGCGGGCGGGCTGCCTGGCTCCTGGGGCAGCAGGGATGAGGAGGCCAGGCTGGCCACGGCCTACCATCCGCAGGTCATGAAGGTAAAGCTGCAGCCACCCTCGGGCACGGAGCTGCCGGCATTCAACCCCATCGTCCACCCCTCAGCCATCACCCAGGTCCTGCTCCTCGCCAACCCCCAGAAGGTGAGGGGCCCCGCTGTGACAGGGTGCCGTGTGGGTAGGGGCAGCCCCTTCTCCTCTGACCCTTCTGCCTTCACCATCTTTGCCCAGGAGAAGGTTCGCCTGCGCTACAAACTCCTCTTCACTATGGGCGACCAGACCTACAACGAGATGGGGGATGTGGACCAGTTCCCCCCACCGGAGACCTGGGGGAGCCTCTAGAACAGAAGGCCTGGGGAGAGAAGGGGCAAGGGGACTGGCCACTGTCTAGCCTGGGCGGGAGGCTTGGTGGCCCAGGATACCCTTTGTCCCTGTGGTTATATGCCCCTGGGCCTGGTGCTTCTCCCCTCACCCTGGTGGCCCCCAGTGACTCTTCCCCCTTCTTCCCTGTCCCCTCCCCTGCTGAACCAAACCCAGCAGGTGGCTGGGCCTGGGATGGCACTCGGGGCTGGGGCCTGCATCCCAGATGCAAGCCTGGAGCCTGAAGGGCTTTGTGGCCCTGGAAGGACTTGGGGTCGTAGGGTGGAGCGTGAGTGTTGGGCAAGAGCCAGGACCTCAGACTCAGCCCCGGACCCAGCCTGGGGTGGGGTCATCCCCGCCTGTCTCTATGCCTTATGGGAAGGCCCAGCCATAACTCGGGGGGCCAAGCTGGAGCCGGGGACCAGCTCAGGCCGCCTCCATAGGAACCGGGTGATTGTGGGGATGATGCCTACACTCCCAACTGTTTGCACTCTGGTGTGTGGTTTGATTCTGCTTTTCTTTCTGAGTAGCTCTGTGGTCACTGTATTGGGGGGCCCTGTAGGGGGGAGCCCTACCCATCCCCCAGTCCTCTTGGGGGCCTCCCTGCTCCTGCCTGACCCCTTTGCTGCCAGCCTCCTGAGGGGTGTAGGGCTGTGTGACCACTGGCCCAAGGGAAGGCCCAGTGTGGGGCTCCAGGGCTTCTGGCCACAGGAGGGCTGCAGCCTGCCCTGGAGTCTCGTGTCCCTCATTCATGGCCTCCTGTGTCCACGGGCAGAAGTGGGAGTGTGAGTGAGAGCAGGAGTATTTATGGAATAAAATGTTTTTCCTGGACCAACTGTGCTCATGACCCTTCTGGGATAGAGGAGACAGGAGGGGTCCAGGAATTGGAGGGCCCAGAGACCTCGCCGCCTGTCATGGGGATCGTGGTTCCTCTCGCCACCTCCTCCCCCCACCCCCGCCCCGGAAGAGGCCCTGCTCTGGGGCCTGTGGCTGGTGCTGAGTCACCAGAGGACCTGGGACTGGCGGACCCAGAGCTGTCCCAGCTGGAAGTGAGCGGTCACTGGGGCCTGCCAGGAGCCCCAGCTGCTGCAGACACTGAGGGGGAGGCCCTGGCCACTCACAACTTCCTCCTGCTGCACTCAGCCCTCAGCGCACAATTACCATGCAGCAACACTCCCGCCCGACCAGGCCTCAGCTGCTCCCAGGAAGCAGGGCAGCAGTTTCTGCTTGTTCCAGGAGAGGCCGGGGCATCCTGTACCCCCTCTCACAGCTGCGGCGCGGGTGCATGCACCCACACACTTCGCTCATGGGAGACTGGGGTCTAGGCCTGAGGGGTGGCTTAGAGGCTGCACGGTGGAGAGAGCCAACCAGTGCAGAGCAGAGCGTGGGGAGCTCGTCCAGGGTGCCGTTTCCCCCCTGCAGACAAGCTTCTGGAGGACCCTGGCAAATCTTGCATCTGAGAAGCTGATTTCACTTTGTCTGACCCAGTGGTTCCCAGTCTGAGCTTGGCTGCTGAACCCCCTTCTAACGGATAGTATTGGGACACGCTGGAAAATAGCCCAGCCCACCGGCTCTCCCGGAGCCCAGCTCTCTCAGCTCCCCAGCCCCTGTGCTGTTTTCAGTCAGCAAACGCGGGCTATTGCTCTGTGCCAGCCGACCCTGGGAGTGCGGGCTGAGAGCTACTCCTGGGAGTGGGGCTTGGCACACTGCCTGAGATGAGAGCCCAGCGCCAGCATTTCTAGCTCCTCCCCTACTGGACCTCCCATCAGGTCCCCACGACCCCCGCAGGCCCTCCTGCATCCTGCAGCTTGGCTTCCAGACACCCAGCACCCGCCTTGTCCCTGCCTCTCCCTGCTGCCGGGCAGGACGGTCTAGTGAAGGGTCTTCTGAGTTAAAACCCTGTTCCTCGCAGCCCCATCCCCGAGGGCTCTGGAGCACGGTCGTGACTGGCCCTGGGGGGGCTGCAGACAGGCGTGGGCTGCAGGGCCGGCCACTTGGAGTGACCCAGGGCATCACAGGGACAAGAAGTCCTTCGCTCTTGTACCGCCCATCTTCCCTTGTTCCCAGTCTGCCCATCTGTCTGTCCGTCCTGCAGGTGCCCCTTGAGCAGTCCCTGTGCCTGGCACAGCCCTGTCCTCAACTCACAGTTTGACATGAGCCAGGAACTCCACATGACAGACTGAGAAACAGAGGAGGGGGGCGGGTGGGCAGGTCCAACCAGAGGAGGGCCCCTACTCCGAGGGGCGTGTTCCCCAGATACTGTTCCAGACAGAGGCTGGGAACACTGCGCTGGAGCCCTGGGGCTGGGCCTAGGCACTTGGGAAAGGAGTGTTCTGGTTCTTGAAAGGTGACCCCCCACACCACCTCAGCAACAGGGGGCCTCCCAGACCGTGAAGCTACACTTCTCTGCATGTGGCCAGAGGCAGCAGCTGATGCTTTCTGGTCAAGCAACCACTACACAGCTCATCTGCCCTCCCTCAGACCTCGGCCTCTACTGGCCACATGACCGGGCAAAGGGGAGCTGGCCTGAGGCCTGCAAGGTGTTGGGCCAGCTGCACGGCCCCTGCAGCAGGCTTAACTGCCCTGAGGAGACGGGGTGGGGTGGGGAGGTAGAAGCTAGTCCCCTTCCCCCACCTTCAACCCTGCGGGTTAAGGTCTCTGCCCATCAGAGATGTGGGAAGCCCTGGTGCTTCAGCCCCGCCCTGGGTTTCCTGGGACTTCCTTTTGGCTTGATGATGCAAGAGAGTTTTAAGAGCCCCAGAAATCATAGCAGACCCCCAGCGCTCCGGGTGGGAGCCTGCACTCAGGGCAGCACCTCTTTGGGCCCCAAACAAGTAGCCGGTCAAGGCGTCTAAAATGGGATGTTCTTGCTCAGTCCTGCAGCCCCGCTGCTGACCCTGGCTCCTACCGCCTCGGCGTCCAGCCGCTGGCCTCCCTGCCCACATCCTGCTCGGCTTCGCCAGCAAACACTTCCCAGACTCAGGTTTTCACAATCTACCGAAGCAACCACAGGGCATGAGGTGGGGCAGGGCCCTCTGGCCCAGCAGGGCGCCCGCTGGCAGCTCTGCCTCCTCACTGGATCTCTGCGGCCTAGCCAGGGGCCTTGGTCTCACCCACGAAATGGGGAGGATGACACCAGCCTCGCTGGAGGAAACGACAGTGAGTGCCATCGTCCCGAAGAGGCAGGGCATGGCCGGGGCAGCGGAGGCAGGGATGCGGGGAGAAGGCCTTTCCACTCCTGACTTGCCAGGAGGATCGGAAGACACGGGACCGGCCTCCGTGTTTCACACACGAACTCACGGAATCCTCGCCACAGCTGCTCACACAGATGCTGCTGTTCCCATTTTATTACCGTTATCCTTCCCATTTTGCCAAGGATACTGAGGCTCAGAGAGGTGACCTATCTTGCCCAGGGCACCCGCCAGGGAGCGGCTGAAGGCCACGCGCCCGTCGGCTCTCTCTCGCCGTCTTGGGCTTGGACATGAGTGCCCGTTGATGGCAGGTCTTCACTTGCCACTCAAGCCACCTTGCTTGTCCAGCTCCTGTGACGACGACACGCTGCCCAGGCCCCCAGGAGTCCGCAGTAGCCAAACCCACCCCCGGCCCTTGCAGGAGACGCAGCCGAGTCCACAGGCCCTCGAGGTGCAGTGTGACCGGGTCTGGCAATTGAAGGGCGCGGGGAGGGGTTGGCTGGTGACCTCCGAGCCCCTCCTTCTTCGCCTCAGTTCTAAAACTATCATCTCCACATCCGCTGGTAGAAACTTCTGAGTCCAGAAGTCTCTGATTACAACATCCTTCGAAGGAACAGCCTGTGATCCAACCTTGGAGGCTTTCAGCCTTTTATGATTTAACGTGCAAGCGTGCCTGAGCTGAAATGGATCTTATAACAGACCCTCCTCTCGGCCAAGAGGCGCAGCAGCCCCACCCAGGCCGGGCTGGACAGAGAGCCCCGGTGCCTTTCCTGCAGAGGCGCTGGGTCTGGCTGGAGGAGAGCCTGGAGCCTGGGTGGGAGGCCCAGCGCTGGGGTGACCTGATGGTGTGGCTCGGACTGGTTCTCCAGCAGCTGCTGCTCCAGCCACGTGGACTGACCCCTCCCCAGGCCAGAGCTGGAGCTCAGGCTTGGACAAGCCTAAGAGGGACCGAGGAAGAAGGCAGGCTTTGCCCTCAGGGACCTTCACAACAGCCGAGGAAATGGACAAGCCTGGGCCCAGTGTGTTCAGGCCCAGTGTGGAGGAGGGACTGGAATGGGGCGGGGACACCATATAGCCTGGAATTTCCCAGGTGGCAGAGGGTGGCACCTGATGTCAAGAGGCTGGCTTGGGAGTCTGAGCTGACCCGGCACACGGTGGACTGTGTCCTATGCACATGCAATGCAGCCGTCTCTTCATGATCCTGGGGGCCCTGAGGTCCTGGTGGGGGTCGAGGGTCTGGGGCAGCCCCCTCCCCACCCTCCCCTGCCCAGCAAAGCTCTGGCCCCAGAGAAATAAATGAGACCACCACGAAACTGTGGGACGTGCCCAGTGAGGAAGGTAGAGAGGCCAGGACTAGAACCCAGACATTACAAACCGCAGCCCCACCTTCTAAGAAGTCAGGGCCACGCGGGACCCTCCTGTCTCTTCACCAAGACGTTCCTCAAGCCCACGGTTCCTAGCATTTCCTGCCAGGACTTTCCAGCTGGGAGAAGGGAGGTGGGCAAGGGAGCCTTGTCCGGGATGGACTCCTGCTGCTCTGGGCCTTTATTCCTGCAGCCCCATCTCCACTTCCTGCCAGGCTTCCACACTCACGTGGGCATCAGCTGGGAGGCTCCGGCTCAGCAGCAGCAGTTGGGGGGTTCCCTTCTCAGCCCATCCCTACCCACCTGCCTGGCTGTCCCTTTGGGAAACAGAGGGGCAATCAGCGTCCAGGAGGGCCCACTGGGCACCAGGCCCCGTGCTGGGCACCAGGCAACACGGAGCTGTCTGAGGCTGAGACTGCCCTTGCGGCTGCCCACATGCAGCACGTGCTCAAGTCATGCTCAGCCCCAGGGAAACTCCAGCAGAGCAAAGTATAGTGAAGGGCGCAGGGGTGAGAGTAAGGGGCCCTACTATTCCCAAAGGCTCTAGTGTTGTGTTAGCCCAGTAGTAACGGAGCACTTACTGCATGGGAAACAGGGAGAGAACCACCCGTGAGCTTGGGGGGTCAGAGCGGCACCCACATCACTGCCTTACCAGAGGGCGGGGCAGCGCCTGAGGAGGTCTGCGGGGACAAGGGCTGACACTCGGTGGGGATGCTGGGGGGCTGGGATAAAGCGAGGCGCTGGGAGGACAGGCTGTGGCTGAAGGTGGCAGCGCCCCCCTTAAAAGGGTGAAGGGAGCAGGGGTGCCCGAAGCGCAGGCAGGGCCAGGACAGCCGGTGGGCAGTGAGTCCAGGGTTCCAGGGGCGGCCCCAGCAAGCCCGGCCCCGGCCCACCGTCCGGCAGTGCAGCAGCGGGACCTTCGGCTCCAGGTGCTCAGGAGGCCCTTTGGGGCGGCGGCGGGGACCACATCCTTTGGCCCAGGTGGGCGGGGAGGCCTGGCCCTGACCTCTGCCTCTGAGCACGGAGCCTCTCTCCCCCTCAGAGCCGCGCAAAGGTTATTTATACCCCGGGGCCGGCAGGGGGGTGGGGCGGCGCCCCGGGGCCCGCGCGGCGCGAGCGGCTTACCTGCTTCCCGCCACCGGGGCGGGGCGGGGCGGGGCGGGGCGGCCGGGGCGGGGCCGCGCGCAACCTGGGGACGGCCCGGCCCCGGCGGCGCGGCACAGGCGGGGAGCGGCCCGGGGCGCGCGGGGGGCCGGGGAGACCGCGGGGCGCGAGCGAGCCAACTTGGAGAGGCGCGACCTGGGCCCGGGGCGGAGCCGCGCGGGCGGCGGGGCGGGGCGGGGCGGGGCGGGGCGGGCGCGAGCGCGGGGCCCAGGAAGCCGAGCGCGCCGCCCACCCATCCGGGCCGAGCCGCGCCGCGGGCACAGGCAGGCCGGGCCGGGGGCTGCCGGGCCCTCGCCCCCCACGGTGACCTGCAGCCCCCAGCCCGCCCCCAAGATGATGAAGCGGCAGCTGCACCGCATGCGGCAGCTGGCCCAGACGGGCAGCTTGGGACGGTGAGTGTCCCCCGCTCCAGCCCCCGCGCGCCGGCGGCCCCGGGGGCAGGCGGGGGAGTGGCGGGGCCGGGGGCAGCTGGACACGACCCTCTTGCCGACCTCGCTCGCCTTCGGCTGAATGCCAGCCCTGCCCCCAGCCCGCGCAGGAGGGGCAGAGCTGGGCTTTGGGGGACGGGGCACCCCTACCCGGCTTGGAGGGGGCTGCTGGGAGGAAACGCGCCGTGGGTCTTCTGTGAGCTTCTGAGTGGACAGCCCTCTCTTGCCCCCCTTGCCCCTCCGGACAGCAGACGGTTGACCATCCCTAGTTGCCTGTCAGGGAGGGGGAGGGCGGCCAGGGCGCTAGACTTTGAGGGGAGGGAGGGGAGAGGGTTCTGGAGCCTGGGAGGAGGGGCCTCTGCTGCCCACCCCCACCCGCAGCCACCAGAGGCCTCCTGCTTCTCTGTCTTGCTTCTGCTTTTTCCAGACTCAGGTGGCCGCCTCCCCAGGTCTCCCGGTCCCACCCCCAGCGCCTAAGCTGGTGCCGTGGAGGCTGGACGCCTGGGAGCTCAGAGGGCCTGTTTACTCTCCTCTTCCCGGCCTGGGGAGCTTCCCATTCTCCGGGCCCAGGGGAGGGGACTCTGTCCCGAGACCTGGTTCTGGGCTTCTCACACCGGCACCGATGCCTGCAAGAGCCTGGGCTTGGCAGTCCACCTGGCTCTGGGCCTCGGTGTCCCGTGAAGGGCCCCAGGGCCTGCCCACACCTCCAGTCCCCAGTCCTGGGTGACTGACAGCCCCCGAGCCTGAGCTCACACACTTCCCGTTCTTGGAACCAGCCCAAGCCTCCTCTCCTTGGGGCCCGCAAAAGAGCGGGTGGGCGCTGGAGTGGCTCCCCCAGCCCCGCTCTGGTTTCATCCGCCCTCTCTCAGGACACAGCCCTGGGTGGAGGAGGAAAAGCCTTGTATCCTCTTCCCACCCCATGGAATGTGCCCCGACAGGGATGAGGCAGGCGGGCCACCCAGGGCAGGTCCGCAGGGAGGGGCACTGGAAGCAGCTGGGGTCCAGGTACCCTGTTGGGGGACCAGGGGGAAACGGGGGCTTTCCTACCCTGGACCCAGAGTGAAGCTTCCCACCTCCCCCCTCCCCCGCAGCACCCCCGAGACTGCTGAGTTCCTGGGTGAGGACCTGCAGCAGGTACGTGCCTGGGCCAGCAGCGGGTGGCGAGGCAGGCCCATGCAGGCTGTCAGCTGGGGCCCGGGCGGGGACTCTACTTGGGGGCCAGAGTTGAGTCATTCCCCAAGTTGTCAGGCCTTGGGTCCCCAAGAGGAGGGAAGACAAAGGTGGTTCCTGCTCCAGAGGAAACAGGGCAGCGGGATGGGGAGGGGGTTGGGACGAGGCCCCCCCGTGATCCAGAGCCCTCGTGTCCCCCTCCCAGGTGGAGCAGCGGCTGGAGCCCGCCAAGCGAGCTGCCCACAATGTCCACAAACGACTGCAGGCCTGTCTGCAGGGCCAGAGTGGGGCAGACCTGGACAAGCGGGTGGTGAGTAGGGTCCCCAGTGGGGAGGGGCCGGGCAGGACACCTCCGTGTGTGGTGGCAGAATGACGTCGGGGCTGGGGTTTCCCTGCCAGTCTGAGCCTCTGACACAAGGGAATGGAAAACACTCTTCCAAGGCCCTCAGGCACCCCACTCCTGAGACCCTCTCTCTTCCCCATCCCCTTCCTGACCCTGTCCCACTCTGCACTAATCCCCTGAGCCAAGGCCTGACCTCTGACAGCATCTGGACCGCTCTGTCCAATCAGCGCCCAGCACTGAGCTGCCACTCTGAACTGGGTCAGTCCTTGAGGGCTTCCTGAAGGAAGTGGCATTTAAGCTGGATTGTGAGTGCTGCTCGGTGGTGGTGTTAACCCACAACTAGCATTAAGGGCTGGTGAATGGTAGTCTGTGGCTAAGAACAGCAGTGCATTGCCTCGCTGAGTGCTGGCAACCCTAGGCAAGGCGGGCTTGCTGCTGACAGAAATGGAGGCTCAGCGCCATACCAGTAGAGATAAATCTGAAATTTGAACCTCCGTCTCCCACCATAACTCTTGGTGGTAATGGGGAGGGGAGAATGTTTTGCAGTCGATCAACAGTTCAGTGTGGCCAGAGCGCTGGGGAGAATGGGGGCAGGGGGCGCCTATGAAGGGCTTGAGCTCAGCAGAGCCTAGATGGGCAGAGGCCCTGGGGCAGGGATAGAGACCCTCTGCCAGGACTCCGCTTCCACTCGCCCTCCAGCCACGTGACCGCGGTCTGGCGTCACAGCTTCTGGTCTTGATTGGGCTTGGCTTCTGGGAGGAGGAAAGCCCCGCATGAGCAGGGGCTCTGTACGTGGTCACAGGGACGCGTTACTCCCACCACACCTTGTCCTAAGCCTGCTTGCTCTCTCACCTGCGACTGGCCCTCCTGGGTTCCCTCCTTCCCTGTCCACACCTGTGCCTCCATGAGGCTCTCCCCCAGGGACTGCCAGGTGGAGCGAGGCCCCAGGGGAGCTCTTCACCCACCGCTGCCCCACCCCTCCCTGCAGAAGAAGCTTCCCCTCATGGCTCTGTCCACCACCATGGCCGAGAGCTTCAAGGAGCTGGACCCAGATTCCAGCCTGGGGTGAGCACAACAGACCCCCCTCACCTGGAGATGCCAGGGAGGGATCTGGGTTGGGAGGGGCTCCAGAGCAGGAAGGGCATCCACAGTGGAAGGATGACCAGGCTGGGCACAATATCTGGGCCCTGGACAGTGTCCAGGTCAGTGAGGGCAGCCCAACCTGGGCGTTCAGCTCAGTGAAGATACAGAGACAGAAGGGCCAGGAGGTGATGGGAGGAGGAGCCCCCACCAGTGTTTCCCAATGGGAGTGAGGGGCTCTGGAGCCTGGGCTCACCCCGAGAGCTGTGTCCACAGGAAGGCCTTGGAGATGAGCTGTGCCATCGAAAACCAACTGGCCCGCATCCTGGCCGAGTTTGAGATGACCCTGGAGAGGGATGTCCTGCAGCCACTCAGCAGACTGAGTGAGGTAACCCAAACCCCAGCCCCCAGCTTCCCCAGCCTCGAGCTCCCGCCTCCCCCAGCCTGCTGAACCCCTCCCCATGCCTGCCCCCAGGAGGAGCTGCCAGCCATCCTCAAGCGCAAGAAAAGCCTGCAGAAGCTGGTGTCCGACTGGAACACCCTCAAGAGCAGGTGGGAGCCCGAGGCTTTGGGTGGGGTCAGTGCCTAGGTCAGCCCACAGAGATGGCCACAGAGCTTCAACACCCTCCCCACCCCAGGAGGACCCACAGGGCGCCCAGGTGCCGTGTGTGCACTTGTACACGTGCCTGGTCCTTAGGAAAATACGTGGTAAGGGTGTTTCTGTGCACATGTGCACATGCTTGTGCCCGGCAGAGGCAACCCCAAAGTCAGGGAGAGCCACAAATAATCCCTCAAGACCCCTAGGTGGCAGGAGAGCGAGCCCACCCTTCATGCTGTGAGCACCGAGCCCACCACCAGGGGGCACCACAGAGCACAGGTGGGCTGAGCCAGGCCCAGGCCCCAGGGCTGCTTGAACTGTGGAATTTGCATCTAGAAATCCTGGAATCCTGTGTGGTCAGGCACAGGGAGGGGACACTTGGCCACCGGGCTAGTGACCTCCTCACTTTGGAACTGTCCCCAGGCTCGCTCAGGCAGCTAAGAACTCAGCCGGCGGTCAGGGCCTGGGAGGTGGCCCCGGCAGTCACAGCCACACCACCATGGCCAACAAGATGGAGACACTGAAGGAGGAGGAGGAGGAGCTGAAGAGAAAGGTGGAGCAGTGCAAGGTGAGGGGCACCCAGATATTTGGGGGTGCTGGGTGCCCTCATTTCACTGAAGCGCGGGGAGGTGACGCCCGAGACCACATAGCAAGGAAGCACAGAACCGGGATTTGAGTTCAGGGAGGCTCGAGGTCTGTGTGCTGAGCCATTGCCATGAGCCTTTCTGTCTTCACCACACTTAACCCCGGGGCGGGGCCTGCGTCTGTTCCCCTTAGGACACAGAAATGAGGACTAGCAGCTGTCAGAGCCCCTCAGGAGATCGGGGGTTCCTGTGGGCTGGGCCCAAACGCAAGCCTTGGCAGAGGCAGAATTGCTGACTGGAACCTTCCAGACAGTTTGGGCAAGTCACCAGCCCCTCCAAGCCTCCGCTTCCCTCTCTGTCCCCAAGGACGAGTACCTGGCCGATCTGTATCACTTTGCCACCAAGGAAGACACATATGCCAACTACTTCATCCACGTGAGTCCACTCAGAACTCTGGGCGGGGGACGCCAAAGCCAGGGGCCACTGAGACCCCATGGGAGATGGTGGGAGGGAGGGGTCTGCGCTTGTGGACCCTGGGGAGACTGAGCTTCCCTCACCTCCTGGGGGGCCCCCTCGTCCCCACAGTTCATGGAGATTCAGGCTGATTTCCATCGCAAGTCTCTGAGCTCACTGGACACGGCTCTGGCTGAACTGAGGGACAACCACAGCCAAGCAGGTGGGGACACTGGGGGGGCCCGAGCCCACACCCCGCAAGGCCTGCTAAGCTCACACTCCATCCTGACAGACCCTGGGGAGCTACAGATGAGTTCTGAGCAGGGCGAGCTCAGTTAGCCTGTGCTGGGAAGATGGCTCCGGTCTCCACGTGGAGGGTGGGATGCAGATGGCAGGACTGGAGCCCAGAGGCCTGACAGGAGCGAGGGGAGGCTGGCCTGGGCTGGGGTGGTGGTGGTGAGGTGGGCAGAGGTAGGTGCATGATTTCAGGATAGGAGGTGAGGGAGGTGGCACTGTTGACCAAAGTATCCCTGGAGGACGTCTCTGTCCAGGGGGTTGCCCCCTGTCTGCCCTGGCCTGGCTGCCCAGGGATGGGGGGACCCTGGGCCTCTGATCTGTCTCGTCCCTGCAGACCCCTGCCCCTCGATGACGGCCACCCCCTCCTCCAGGGTGTATGGGGTGTCGCTGGGAACGCATCTGCAAGAGCTGGGCCGGGACATCGCCCTGCCCATCGAGGCCTGCGTCACCATGCTGCTTTCTGAGGGCATGAAGGAAGAGGTAGGACCCCCTGGGGCAGGTGGGAAGGAGTATGGGCCCCCTCTCCCAAGAGCTGGTGCCCTGACACCCCCGGTTAAAGCCCCGTTCCCAGGGGCAGGCCTGGCCTAGTGCTGAATTGACACCACCTCCCTCTTAATGATGCTCCTCTGGACATCCGGGCTCCGCTTAACTATCCCAATAACCCTTGGAGGGAGCCCTCACTGGCTGCACTTTATAAGGGGGAGGCAGAGGCCTGGAGGGAAACATGCCCCGCAGCACAGGAAACTGGGGGCCCCCACGAGCACGTGCAGCCAGCACTGCCCTGGTCGTCCTTGGGCCCGAGAGTTCCCCTTAGGTGAGCTCCTTTCCCGAGGGTGGGCCCCTAGAAGGCGGAACATACTCGGACAGACGGGCTCCTCCCCAATCCTGCCTCCCTTCCTCTCTCCCACTCCTGACCAGACACCTGTCTCCCCACGGCCTTTCCTGCCTCCTCCCAGACTTCCCGCCCAGCTCTGAATTCTAGACCTGGACATTGAGAGCATCCACGACTCTGTGGTGTCCACTCTGCCCTCCAGCCTTGGGGACACTGAGGCCCAGCAAGGGCAGCCACTGACCCCAGACCACAAGTGATTCAGGGCCAGCGTCCTGCCCAGCCCGCCCCTCCCACGTGCTTCCTCTCACACCACAGGGCCTCTTCCGTCTGGCCGCCGGGGCCTCCGTGCTGAAGCGCCTGAAGCAGACCATGGCCTTAGACCCCCGCGGCCTGCAGGAGTTCTGCTCCGACCCCCACGCCGTGGCAGGTGCCTGCCCCCAGGAGCCCTGGGTGGGGGGCCTGCCCCAACATACCCTCTCTGCCTTCAGTGATCCCGTGAAAGTTTGGTTTAAGACCTGCAGAGACATAAGGGTTCTTAACATGGGGTTCATAGTGAAACCCCTGAAATGTCTGAACATGTTTCTGGGGACAAATCACTAGCCTTTGTCATTAAATGGCCCGTGGCCCAAAGACTGAGACACATTCACATGGACAAGGCTTGAGGTTCCCTCCGTAAGGACAGAGCTGGGTTCCGGGGTGAAGATCACCACTGAGGGGCTGCCGTTGACCCCCCCCACCACTTCAGGTGCACTCAAGTCCTATCTGCGGGAGCTGCCAGAGCCTCTGATGACCTTTGACCTCTATGACGATTGGATGAGGGCAGCCAGGTGAGGATGAGAGTGGGTGCTGGGGAGCAGGAGAATACCAGGTGTGCCCTGGGCATGCTCACCAGTTCTCTCCCCCTCCCCAGTCTCAAGGAGCTGGAACCCCGGCTGGAGGCCCTCCAAGAGGTGTGCAGCCGCCTGCCCCCCGAGAACCTCAACAACCTCAGGTGAGCCCCAAGCCCACTTCCCGAGCCTCCAGGGCTCCCAGCTGAGACTCAGCGCCCTGGGCTCAGCCTCTCTTTGCCCTAAGCAAAATTTCCAAAAAGACAACTCTGATGTACTGGTCATATTTTTTTATTTTGTTATTTATTTATTTATTTATTTATTTTTGCATAGAAGAACTGGGGTGTAGGCCAGAGGTATGGGGAGTAAGAGGATTCACCAGAGACAGAGTGGGGAGCAGAACAGGTGGATCTACTGAAATCCACTGCTGAGGGGAGCAGCAGGCAAGGCAGGAGAGGTCTGCTGCGCCAAGTGGGTCAGCTCCCTGGCTGGGGATCGAACTCGCGCTGCAGTGGCTGGGGATAGATTCATAGTGCTGAGACTTAATCCCTTGTGCCACCAGGGAGGCCCAAGGTCATATTTTTTTATAGTAGATCTTAAACTAAACATCCTTGGAACCTTGGAAGCCAGACCATCCGGCTTCAAATCCCACCTCTGCCGCCGTGTGGCCTGGGGAGAGCACTGCCTGTTTCCCTGCGCCCTCTGCTGGAAAACCCGGAGCATGACAGGCCCTGTCATATGGGTGGCTGGGCAAGTGTCAGCTCAGCTCAGCGTCTGACTCACAGCGGGGGTCAGTGGTCAACTAATTTAGCTTGTGGTGTCTGTGCCGCCCCTTGGAAGTCCTGAGCAGGGACTGTCAGGTCTCAGGGGCATCTCGAGGCAGAAAGCCCTGCCCCTGGCCCAAGCCCACCTCCTGCCTCCCCAGGTACCTGCTGAAGTTCCTGGCACGGCTGGCCGAGGAGCAGGAGGTGAACAAGATGACGCCCAGCAATATCGCTATCGTCCTGGGACCCAACCTGCTGTGGCCCCCTGTGAAAGAAGGGTGAGGGGCTAGGGTTGCAGGAAGGTGCCTTCCACATCTGCCTTCTGCTGATTTTCCCCCTGAGCCTCAGTTTCCCCATCCTTGGAGGGGAGGAGCAGCCCCTGTTCTCAAGGCTGTCTGCAGCAGCAGAAGCCTGAAGGGGTCGCCGATCCCCTGGGCTATAGAGATAGACATCCTGGGTTATGGGGTACTGGGCGGCCTGACATGGAGAGCCCAGAGGTGATTCAAGCCCAGCTCCTCCATCTTCCAGAGATGGGCTTTACAGAGCCACTCTCTGGACCTCCAATTCCTCATCTGTGAATTGGAGAGAAATTGGAGGGTTTTGCTTTGGGAAGCAGAGAACAGGTGGAAAAATGTCTTATAATCTGTAGCCGCTGGCCTGTGCGGGGACTGACTCAGATGCCACGCACTTCTGCGTGTACTCGGTGGGGGCTGCCAGGTCTGACACTGGCAGGGGAGGGCCGCCTGACCCACCAGCAGCGCCCCTCAGGGGCAGGGGAGGGGGACCTGGCGTGTGAGTGATGCACTGGCCGGCCACAGCTACGACTCGAAGTGGCTGATGCCTGTGTTGCTGCGGCCAGCACAGGCCGGGCAGGAGCAGGCCCGGGGCTCTGCTAGACGTGACTCTTACCCGCCCTCACTTGTCCCAGGGACCAGGCCCAGCTGAATGCGGCGTCGGTGTCGTCCATCCAGGTGGTGGGCGTGGTGGAGGCCCTGATCCAGGGCGCAAACACGCTCTTCCCTGGAGGTGAGGCCCTGGGGACCCAGCCCGGCTGTGGTGGTCACTCCCCTAGGTCCGGAGGAAGTTGCTTCTCCGCCCGTGCCTCAGCGTCTCCTCTGTAAAGTGGAGGCAGCCCTGCCTGCTTCGTGGGGTTCTGGTGCGGCTTGGTGGGAGAGGGAAGGCGAAACGTGGCCCTCCTGGCGGAGTGCGGAGGCCTCTGAGACTCAAGACCTGCCCCTTTCTGTCCCCAGACATCAACTTCAACGTGTCAGGCCTCTTCTCAGCACCTGCCCCCGGGGATGAGGTCAGCAACCGGCAGGCCTCCGAGCAGCTCCCCGAGGTTGAGCTGCCGGCCCCCACCCCTTCCCCCACCGCAGCAACTGCCAAGGAAAGGTGAGGACTGACCGAATGAATGGCCTCTGGCCTTGCCTGCAATGCCCCACCTGAGGGACCGTCTCTCGGGGCTTCCAGCAGCATCTGGGTTACCACCCCAGTACCAGCTTTCCCGGTTGGCGGTGGGGCAATACTCCTCTCAGCCGTGGATGTGTTCCCTTGTTGTCCAGCTACTTACTAAGCACCTACTGTGTGCTGGGCATGGTTCCAGGCCCCCGGGACTTAGGGAACTAGGAAAGTGAGCAATCTGGAATCTGTAAATACCTTCCCATTGGCCCTTTAACTCAGGAAGTCTGTGTGGGAGCATGTCACAGGTGTTTCCAGTTAACTCAGGTTGCCAGGGCCCAGGAGGGGCTCAGTGGGGAGCTGCTTTGGTCCTGGGGTCAGGTCAGCTGAGCAGAGACCTAGAGGGAGTCAGGATGAGCCTGTCTTTCCCCTGCCCCCCGCCTCTCACCATTCTCTGGCTTCGAGGGACCAGAGCAGCCCCTTAAGGGCAAAGAATGAATGCTGAGGCAGAGGGGACACCCTGCCTCCCTCGGGTGGAACTCCACACTGCTGCCCTGGGACCACAGACACTGGCAGGGCATCACACAGCAGTCAGGGGCTCAGTGGACATACAGCCAGAAGCTTCTTCCCGGGGAGGCCTGGCCTGAGGACAGATGCCACAGAGAGTTGGGGAACAAGTCCTGGGAGGTCCCAAGCTCAGCCTCTTGGCTGGGAAGCCCCCCAGAATTCCAGGAGTCTCCTGGGAACTGGCCAAACCTGACCCTGACCCTCTCCTTGCCTCAGCAGGACAGAGTTCGAGGTGCCTCCCAGGCCCGCCTCCCCCAAGGTCAACAGGAGCCCCCAGGAAGCAGCTGTCCCTGCAGAGGACTCAGCTCGGAAGAGTGAGTTGGCCAAGGGAGGGAGAAGGGGGATAGAGGTGGGCAGGAGGGAGTGGGCCCAACCAGGCCCGCCCTCGTCTACGGAGAGCGGGGGAGGCAGGAACAGGTGGCTAAGTGTCCAGGTGCTGCTGACACCCCAGCTGGGACCTTAGGCAGGTGACATGAGTGTCCTTGCTTCGGCTTCCTGCTGCGTGAGGGAGCAGCACCCTGCCCAGTGGGGCTATCTGGAGAGTGAGATGGCGCCCCCTGGCTCATAGCCATGCACTGTTCCCTCAGGAGCCAGGAGCGCACAGAGGAAAGAGGCAGGGGAGGGTCTTCAGAGGGTAATGGAAGGAGGCAGGAAACCCAGCGTCCCCTTCTGAACCCCTTGGTGTGCTAACCTGTTCTCAAGTCAGGCAGGTGAGAAGGCAAAGGGGCCAGGTGGGCAGTTTGCCAGGGTGAGTGGGATACTAGGGAGACCCCACCCAGTCCCGGAGGCTCTGGAGTTTTCCACCTGGGTGTACAGTGGAGAGCAGAAGTAGATGGAGCAGCTGCAGGACAGGCTCCTCCTCCCGGAGGAGGGGGTTCTTAGCCACCTTTTCTCAACGAGGAAGGTGGGAGGGGGGAAGACCCTTGGGCTGCCTCATGAGACTGGGACTGTAAGTGGGATTTGAGAGCTGGCTGTGGTCATCCTGGTGGACTTCCCAGAGGAGGTGACCTGAGAATCACGGGATACAGAAAGCATGTCTTTAGTCAACAAAAGTGTCCTGAACCCCTACTCGTCCCGCGCTACACTCTCCAGCCTCAGGGAAGATGGCCTCACCTGGTTGGCGTCTAGTGGGAGGGACGAACAATACCCAGCAAGATAAAAGTGTCAAGATCAGTTCCTAGGGCAACGCGTCCTGTGAAGAAAATACAACTGGGAGTCCAGACAGTGACTGGAAAAGGGCACTTGGCGGGGTCGGGGGGGGGGGGTGTGGGGGTGTCTCAAGGGTGCAGGGACTTGAAGAGAGGCCTGAACGAGGAGGAACCTCCAGGGAAAGTGTTCCCAGTAGAAGGAACAGCAGATCCAAAGGAAAGGTCCTGGGGTGGTGGCGAACTTGGTGGCTTTACCACAGCAACATGGATCCCTAACCTCCCCCTCTTTCCTCCACAGCCAAGCGCCCAGCGCCAGCCCGGCCCACCGTGCTGCCCCCCCAGGTGTCCGGGACCCGCTCTTCCCCTCCAGTCCCATTGCTGTCCCCTGGCCCTGGCAGCCCCGGGACCCCCCGGGCTTTGCCTCGTCGTCTGGTTGGCAGCATCCGGGCCCCCACAGTGCCTCCCCCACTACCCCCCATGCCCCCCCAGCCTGCACGGCGCCAGAACCGCCGTTCCCCGGCCTCCCCAGGTCCAGCCTCCCCCAGCCCAGTGTCTCTGAACGCACCTGCGGAAGGGGAACTGGGGGTGGCCACAGAGGAAGGAGGGGGGCCTGAGGCTGTGGGCAGGGCCCCCACTCCCCCAGCTGTGCCCCCTTAGCCCCAGCCTAGGAACCTTGCCTCAGAGACTGACTGAGCTGACAGTTCCTCTCTGACACCCCTCGATGTCCCCAGGACATGGTTTGTCCTGCCTAGACATAACCCGCATCCCAAACAAAGGGGTGGGGGCCTCCAGCCTTTGCCTCCAAGTGCCTCGGTGTCTGCTGGGTCAGCCCCTGTGGCAAGGAGGACTCGGGATAGTCCTCCCCTTCCAAACCTTTTTCTCTTCCACCCTGGGCTTCAGACACCCCCACCCCTGCCGCCGCCGCCCCGGCTCTCTGGCGAGGTTCCAGGTGAGCTGCTGGAAGGAAGGGGGGCTTGCCTTCGCCTACAGGACTTCTATTTTTCTCTTACCAACATATTTTTTGTACGGCTGGTAAATAAATTATTTTGGACAAAACTGGAATAGCTGCCCAAGTGATAGTTTTATTTTCTGTCCTCAAAATAAAGACGCCACTGCCATAAAGGAGGAAAAATTACCTGCTCTTTTCCTCCTCTCTTCTTCTTTGTCTGCAATAATACCTGCCAACATTTTTTGGGCTTGCTCTTCTGCACAATATGCTTTTCTGGGCATGATTTCCATTGGATCCTCTCTCTGTGAAGAAAACACTAAGGCCAGAAAGTGACCTGCCAAGCTCCCACAGCCACTGAGCTATGGACCTGGGCCTGTCCCTCACATCCTGGGCTATTGGTTTCCCATCTGGGAAATGGCGTAACGACTTCCACTGTCACTCTGGAGGCTCACTGAGGTGCTTGAGACACTCCCGTGAAGGCCTAAGTACCAGCCTGCACACAGATAAGCCTTGTAAGCCTTGGCTGCAGGGAATGCTCTCTGGGGAGTAAGGATGGATCTGTCCACAAACCTTACCCAAGACTGCTCCAGGCTAGGTCCTCAAGGAAGCCCTACAGCCAGAGAGCTCCAGGAAACAACCAGACACTTAGAGAACTGACACTTAGAATCAAGGGTCATGCTCATGAGAGCTGTGTCAGCCCAATTAGGGCAAGTCATCCAACCCAGACTAATATGTGTGTAGAGGAGGTCAAGGAAGGCTTCCTGGAAGAGGTATTATACAAGGGAAGTCTTTCAGCTGGCCAGGTGAAAAAGTCAGGGAAAAGGAAGAACATTCCTGAGACCTCCTGGCTTTGGGGAAGAGAAAGTATCTGAGCTTCAGAGGCTGGGTGACAGCTGTGACTCTTTCCAGGACTTCAGAGCTCCAGTTGCTCCTGGGGATCTTCAGTCAACCTCAGAATTGCCAAGCCCGGACCTAGGCAACGGCTGACTCTGTCTCATCCTGGGCAACTGGTCCCTGCTGCCCTGGGCCTATCAGAAAACTCCCAAGGTAGTTTAAAAAAAAGTCAGGTCCCACCCAAAACAAATCAGGATCTTTAGGGTCTGCCAAGGCACTGGTATTTTTAAAAAGTCATTGAACTGTATACTTCAGATGTTTGCATCTTGGGTCTCCCTGGTGGCGCAGGGGTTACATGTTAGTGCAATCAAGCTGTTGCCAGTCACTGTGGCATGAGTTCAATCCCGGGCCAGGGAGCTACTCACATGGCACATCTTGCTCTAAGTTTTGTTGTTTTTTTTTTTTTAAAGATTTATTTATGCATACAAGAACTGGGGTACAGGCCAGAGGTGCGGTGGGGGGTGAGAGGATTCACCAGAGACAAAGTGGGGAGCAGAACAGGCCAACTGACTGAAATCCACTGCTGAGGGCAGCAGCGGGTGAGCCAGGAGAGGTCTGCTGCGCCACGTGGGTAGCTCCCTGGCCGGCCGGGGATCGAGCTCGTGCTGCAGTGGCCGCGGTCAGCTTCATAGGTTGAGCCTTAACCCCTTGCGCCACCAGGGAAGCCCTCGAAGTTATGTCTTAACAAAAACAAACAATTTCCCAGGAGACTCAACACCACCACCAGTCTGGAAACCACTGGTCTAGTGGTTTTCCAGACTCCCACACGCTCTGCAGGACTCCGCTCGCCCCGGGTTCAGAGGGCGGGGAGACGTGACCCTTAAACCGCAGCTCCTTTAGCTTCTGTTTTCCTCCTAGCAACCGGCTCTCCTGCGCTTCTGATTGGGTGGGGACTGCGGCACGGCTATTCGCGCCACGCTTTCCACTGCTAACTCCTTATTGGTCAGGATGACCGTCAGTCTCCCGGCGGAGCGGGACGAAGCGCCAGGTGCGGTCTTCATTGGTCCCCTCCTCGGGGGCGGCCCCGATTCCGCCCTTTTCCCCGCGCTCCGCGAGCCGGCGGCCTCACGCCTCTCCCAGACTCTTGCCCCCATTGGCCAGGGCCCGGGCCGTGACCCCGCCCCCGGCCCTTTCGGGGCCCCGATTGGCCGCGGCGGGGGCCAGGCCGGCCGCGGGCGGGCGGGGCGAGCGGCGCGGCGGGGCGCGGGGCGCGGGGCGCGGGGCGGCCAGCCGGCTGCATGGCGCGCTGCGAGCTGCTGCGCGGCGCGGCCCTGCGCGACGTGCTGGGCCGGGCGCAGGGGGTCCTGTTCGACTGCGACGGGGTGCTGTGGAACGGCGAGCGCGCCGTGCCGGGCGCCCCCGAGCTGCTGGAGCGGCTGGCGCGGGCCGGCAAGGCGGCGCTGTTCGTGAGCAACAACAGCCGGCGCGCGCGGCCCGAGCTGGCCCTGCGCTTCGCGCGCCTCGGCTTCGGGGGGCTGCGCCCCGAGCAGCTCTTCAGCTCCGCGCTGTGCGCCGCGCGCCTGCTGCGCCAGCGGCTGCTCGGGGCGCCGGGCGCGCCGGGCTCCGTGTTCGTGCTGGGCGGCGAGGGGCTGCGCGCCGAGCTGCGCGCCGCGGGGCTGCGCCTGGCCGGGGACCCCGGCGAGGACCCGGGCGCGGCCCCGCGGGTGCGCGCCGTGCTCGTGGGCTACGACGAGCACTTCTCCTTCGCCAAGCTGAGCGAGGCGTGCGCGCACCTGCGCGACCCCGACTGCCTGCTCGTGGCCACCGACCGGGACCCCTGGCACCCGCTCAGCGACGGCAGCCGCACCCCGGGTGAGCGCGGGCTGGCGCGGGGGCGGCCGCGGGGAAGGGCTTCTCCTGGTGACAGGCGGGAGCTGGAGGGCGGCCCCGCCCGGTGGGAATCCAGGGGCCCCCCCGACCCCCCTGGCAGGCCTCGCAGCTGCCCTCCCGGGAGGTGCAATGGCGGGGTTCCCGCTTGGCGGAGGAGGCCACTGCGGCGCAGGGAGCCCGGGTCCAGCGCCGGCCCTCGCCTTCCCGGACCCACCGCGGGACGCGCTCGTTCTGCCCCTCCCACCTGTTGGGGGCAGCGCCCGGGAGGATGGGCCTCCTGGGAGAGGCTGGCGCGGGCCCGGAGGTAGGTGGTCGGTAGGTGAGTTTGCAGAGCAGGAGGTGGATGGAGTTTGACCCGAGTTCAAGTTCCAGCCGGCGGCTGAGTGATCGGGTCAGGTTATGTAACCCGGAGCATCTCTGACCCGGGTGTGAAATGAGAATGCTACCCGTGCCGGCGGCATCTGAGGAGAGTGGGAGCCGTGTCTGGCACATAGTAGGTGTTCAGGTGATGCAAGCCTGTTAACAGAATTTGTGAAGCACCTGGGTGTCATTTAATTCCCCAATTATTCTGGAGATGGGAGTTGTCCCATTTCTCAGGTAAGGAAACTGAGACTTAGAGAGGATGTGGGCTCCCCAAGAGCAAAGAAAGGGTTTCTGTGCCACCCTTTCCATGCAAGGGGCTCTTCACTGCTGGCATCTTGTGTATTCAGACCTGCAGAAGAGGCGGAGGCTTGGAGAGCTGGAGTTAGACAAGAGCAGATAGATGGCAGCAGAGACTGTGAGAGAGAACAGGTCTGTTCCCCTAGGCTGCGGGAACAGAGCTCTATCTCTAGGGACAGAGCTCTATCTCTCCCTCCCTGCTGGCCACTGACCCATCAGTGCTACCAAATCCCTGGGAGGGAGGGGCCACACAGGGTGGTATTGACTGAGGAGTAGACACGGAATTAAGATGGCAGCAGGGAGGGCCTAGAGCTGGGCAGGTCTGGGAGGGCTCCCTGGAGGAGGCACTGTATGGCCAAAGCACCAGGGGATGAACCAGGGAACAGGATTTGACCACAGCAGGACCAGTTCCAAGCTGGGAATCTGTGGCCCCAGGCCTGTCTGAGCCTGGCTGCCAGACTGCCTCCGTTTCAGTTTCCCCATATATCTAAGGTGCAGGCTCTGCTCAGAACCCCCAGCTGGAGCAGCTCCCACCTGCCCTGGACCCTACTGTGAAAAGTGAGGTTTTTCCCTGGAGGCCACAAAGTTGGGGTTAAGACTGGGTGAAGAGACCCGCTGGGCTCAGAAAAGGTGATGTGGAGGGAAAAGCTGGGGAGAACCAGACTCTGCCTGTGGTCGCAGCCCCTGCTGATTGTGCCCTCCCCAGCCTGCAGGGGGAGGCAGAGACTGCTACCGCCCTGCCAAGCCAGCGCCCCAGGGTGTGAAAATCAAATGAAGACCCCTGTGAGGCATAAAATTGAAGATAACAGGGATCTTACCCTTCAGTTCCCTCCCCCCCCTCCCTCAGGCCTCTTGGATAGTGTCTTTGCCTTCTTCCCACATGGCAGCCACTTGAGCTGGCAAATTGCAATGCCTGCTCTTAGGAAAACATGACAGCCTTGGATGACAGATGGAGTAACGGTGGTCTGAGGACAGACCCCCTGCCAGGAGGCTCACTGCCCTCCCCCACCTGGGCTGGAACCCCTCTTGTTATTCACTGCTGTGCACTCAGCACCTGGCCCGGCACCCGCCATGGGATCCAGCTAGGCCTAGGTAAATAATACGTGTGTGAGTGCAGTGAGACGGGGCCAGCCGTGATCTGCTCTGTCCTGGTCTGCCCTGATCTGCAGCCCCGGGGAGGTTCCTCCTCCTTATCTGGGAACCACAGTGCTAAGGATTCTCCTGTCTGTGCTCGGGTTCTCCTTCCGTGCCTTTGGCTGAGCTGTGCTGAGTGCCGTCCACTCTGAGAATGAGGCCCCAGCCTGTGGGGAGGATCAGTGATGTGCTGATATGTGTTTATTCATCGGGGCGCCTTAGTTCATACCATCTGCCAATTTCTGTGTTATAAATGCTCCCCCGGTGGCCTGTTTCATGCCAACGAGCAGCCACTGAACATGGAGTGGGGAAAATATGTGCCCATCATTACAGATGTAAATAACCTCGAGGACATAGATCATGGTAAAATCATGAGGAAGTGATACTTCTTTTTTTAAGGTTTATTTATGCATATAAGAGCTGGGGTCTTATGGGGTCTTATAAGAGCAGGCCAGAGGTGTGTGGAAGGGGGGCGCAGAACAGGTGGATCTACTGAAATACACTGCTGAGGGGAGCAGCAGGGAGACAGGAGAGGTCTGCTCGCCATGTGGGTAGGTCCCTGACTGGGGATCAAACTTAGGCTATAGCAGTGATAGCGCTGAGCCTTAACCCTAGACCACCAGGGAGGCCCTTGTTTTTTTTTTTTTTTTTTTTTTTTTTTTTTTTTGTTTTTTTAAAACCAGACACATGGGCCTTGGAGTCTCCCTCTTGGTTTTTTTTTTTTTTTTTTTTTTTTAAGATTTATTTATTTATTTATTTATTTATTTATTTATTCATTTATTTATACAAGCACTGGGTACAGTTAGAAGCGCGGGAGGGTGAGAGAATTCACCAGAGCCAGAGCGGGGAGCAGAGCAGGCAGAAGGACCGAAGTACACTGCTGAGGGGAGCAGCGGGCGGCAGGAGAGGTCTGCGCGCCATGTGGGACCCTCGCCCGGCGGCCGGGAAGCAGCCGGGGATCGAACCGGTGCTGCAGGGGCTGCGGGCAGCTTCGCAACCCAGTGCTCAACCGCTGCGCCACCGGGGAGATTTATTGACATCAGTATATAACTATTGTATGGGGCCTCCCCTGGTGGCGCAGTGGTTGAGCGCTGGGCTGTGAAAGCTGCCCGCAGCCTGTGCAGCGCCAGTTCAATCCCCGGCTACCAGCGAGGGTCCCACATGGCGCACAGACCTCTCCTGCCGTGCCCACTGCTCCCCTCAGCAGTGTATTTCATCAGTCTGCCTGTTCTGTTCCCCACTCTGGCTCTGGTGAATTCTCTCACCCTCCCGCGCTTCTGACTGTACCCAGTGCTTGTATAGATAAATAAATAAATAAATCTTTTAAAAAAAAAATAACTATTGTATGTATCTATAACATACTATGTTATATGTCAGTAAGTTGACTTTGTTTTAACAACCAGCTCACAAAATTCCTGCAGGTGAAACTCTCAGCACTCCCAAGCCAGTACAAACTGGGCTCTTTGACATAAAAACATTACACAGTGTTATGTCAATAAGTGGGCTTTCATAGTGACAGCCATCTCATTACATTCCTGACAAGGGGACATGCTCCCCAGTGCTCCCCACCCACTCCTAGGCCACCCCCCTGAATGCATAGCCTTTCTCTGCCACTCAGTAAGCTGTGCAACCCTGGAAAAGTTACTTAACAGCTCTGAATGTCAGCTTTCTCAAGGGTCTTCCGTGAGTACCCTGCACAGTCCCTGGCACTTTAAAATGTGCTTAGTAAATTGTGATTATTTTTTTAAAAGATTTATTTATGCATTCAAGAACTGGGGTGTAGGCCTGCGGTGTGGGGGGTGAGAGGATTCACCAAAGACAGAGTAGGGCTGCTGAGGGGAGCAGCGGGTGAGACAGGAGAGGTCAGCTGCGCCATGTGGGACAGCTCGCTGGCTAGGGATGGAATTCATGCCACAGTGGCTGGGGATAGCTTGATAGCGCTGAGACTTTAACCTCTGTGCCACCAGGGAGGGCTGCAAATTGTGATTATCACCATTGCTCAGGGGCATTGGTGTGAAGACAGAACATTCTGGCATAAGGAAGGCCTCTGGGATGGGCACAGTGGAGTCTTTGTGTGGTCAAACAGCCCTCCTGTTGTTAAACACTTGGGCACATTCCACAGTTTTGCTTATTACAGTTACTGTAGCCAAAGACATCTGACATCTTCAAGCTTGTAGCCTTTTGTCTCCAGTTTAAATGCTCTTCCTGCCATTGCTTCCCAGCAGAGGCTGACTGGGTCAGAGGTGTGAACTTCGGTGCCCTGTAGTGGGCCAAAGGGCCTGTGCCAGTTTCCAGTGCCAGGAGCACACATTCTTGTAGTCATAACCACAACTCTTACGTGCTTTTTCCTTTCCAAAGCACTTGCCCAGGAATGCCCACAGTGACTTCTTAAAAATAGGCATTACTTGGATCCTCTTCTGCAAGGAGTCCAGGGAGGTTCAGAGAGGTCGAGTGGCTTGCCCAAAGACACACAGCTGCTGGGGCAGAGGAGTAAGACACAGGCGGGATGCAGTGGCTCGTTCCATCCTTAGACACCCACATGCCCTAAGTGCCCTGAGGCCCCCACGTCAGAGCTGGAAACTGAGGCACAGAGGTTAAACCACCTGCCTGAGAACAGTGGAGACCAGTGTGGGTGCTGGCATCTGGCTGCAGGGTGTTTACTCTTTTTTTTTTTCTTTTCACATCCACACAGTTTATTTGCTACAAAAAAGTTGGATGGCAATTTAGTTCCATGTCTTTGATGATTAGTATGTAAACATTTGTTTACACGTGCATATCATCCTGTTGCACTTCTTCCTTTGTAACTTTCTTGCTGGTAATTTTTTTTTTAAGATTTTTTTTTTTTTTTAATTTATACAAGCACTGGGTATATATAGTCATAAGTGCGGGAGGGTGAGAGAATTCACCAGAGCCAGAGTGGGAAACAGAACAGGCAGACTGACGAAATACACTGCTGAGGGGAGCAGCGGGCACGGCAGGAGAGGTCTGAGCACCATGTGGGACCCTCTCCGGTGGCCGGGGATCGAACCGGTGCTACAGAGGCTGCAGGCAGCTTCGCAGCCTAGTGCTCAACCGCTGCGCCACCAGGGGAGGCCCTCTTGCTGGTAATTTTGCCTGATTATCATGGCCGCCTTAGTGCTGGTCCTCATGACAGGTGTTCTTTAAAGTTTCAAAGTGGGGGCCTCCTTGGTGGTGCAGGGGGTTAAGACACAACCTATGAAGCTAACCGCAGCCTCTGCGGCATGAATTTGATCCTCAGCCAGGGAGCTGCCCACATGGCGCACAGACCTCTCCTGATTTGCCCGCTGCTCCCCGCAGCAGTGTATTTCGGTTGATCCACCTGTCCTGCTCCCCACTCTGTCTCTGGTGAATCCTCTCACCCCCCCACACCTCTGGCCTGTACCCCAGTTCCTGTATGCATAAATAAATAAATCTTTAAAAAAATGATAAAGTTTCGAAGTGTTGACCTGTTTACCCATATTTCCTGTGACTGTAGCTCTTTTTTTTTTATTATTCTCTTTTTTCCCCCCAGAGCTAGAGAAAGCTCTTCCATTTTTAAGAATTATTCCTTTATTGTAAGATTTTTATTTATTTTTATGTAGAAGAACTGGGGTGCAGGCCAGAGGTACAGGGTGGGGGCGGTGAGAGGATTCACCAGAGACAGAGTGGGGAACAGAACAGGTGGATCCATTGAAACACATTGCTGAGGCACGCAGCCAAACAGGAGAGGTCTGCTGCGGGTAGCTCCCTGGCTTGCAGGGGATCGAACTTGTGCTACAGAGGCTGCGGATAGCTTCACAGTGCTGTGCTTCACCCCTTGCACCACCAGGGAGGGCTGAAAGTCTGTGGTCTTAACCACTCCGCTGATACTTAGAGACAGGCCTTTTGGCTCATATCTGTGCCTGCCCCCACCCCGACCCCCTTGGGCCCAGCTGACTCCCTGGAATTCCAGGTTCGGGGCCTGGGTGCCTGCCCTGCCTCCCCGCAGGGGCGCACGCTAACCAGGTCTCCATCTGCCCGCAGGCACCGGGAGCCTGGCTGCTGCCGTGGAGACGGCCTCAGGACGCCAGGCCGTGGTGGTGGGCAAGCCCAGCCCCTACATGTTCGAGTGCATCACAGAGCACTTCAGCGTGGACCCTGCCCGCACACTCATGGTGGGCGACCGCCTGGAGACCGACATCCTTTTTGGCCACCGCTGCGGAATGACCACCGTGCTCACGCTCACCGGCGTCTCCCGCCTGGAGGAGGCCCAGGCCTACCTGGCGACCAACCAGCAGGACCTCGTGCCCCATTATTACGTGGAGAGCATCGCGGACTTGATGGAGGGGTTGGAGGACTGAGCCCGCCTGCTCGCCCTGCAATGGAAGCCCGCCCCTCCCCCACCCCTCTCCCAGAGATGGAGGCCATGGGCTGAGAGCCACATTGAGCTCCAATGACCCCATTTTCTGTACCCTGGTGGGGCTGGAATCCAGGGAAGATTTTAGGGTCTTCCCCCAGTCATGGCTGAGCACTCTGCTGTCCCAGAAGCTACCTCCCTCCTTTATCAGCTGCCCCAGATCTGACCCAGCCAGGTGCCCGTATTTCCTGCCCTGGGACCTCCCCTCCTCAAAATCTGGGCTCTGATGCCCCCTGAAGATGCCAACCAACCCTGAACACTTATTCCCCTACCTGCCTCCCTGGGGCCTTGACAGCTCTGCCCGCCCCTGCCCTGGCCTGGGGTTTCTGTGGACCAATCAGAGGTCTAGGAAACTAGGCATCATTGTCCTGAGCCCCAAGTGGACTATCAAAAAGCTAAGTGAGAGTGACCCTCTGTTGGCCGGTCCTGAGGGGGCCAGCTGGAGCCCGGTGACAGTGTAAGGCACATGTGGTCTCCTGCAGCCTGAGTGGACCCATCAGAAGGCTGTGATGATGACTCTTTCCAGTCCCAGGGCCTGTCAGGACACAGGTAATTACGACCTACTGGTCTCTTAGATCCTGAATAGAACAATCTGGAACTCTAAGGGACAGTGGCCTTTTGACAATCTGGGTCTGACGGAACCAGTCAAGGACCCAGATTTCTGTCCATAAATAAGGGTCCAAGTCCCCAAATGCCCCTCCTCCGCAGACTGTGATCCAGACCCAGTGGGCTGCTGCTGTGGCTCTGGGGGCTTCTGCGAGCCCCACCTTCTCCCCCCATGGTCCAGTGTTGGTCCAGTGTTGATGGTGGCCAAGCTCGGGAGGGGGCTTGCTCCCTCTCTGCTGTCAGTGTTAGCCGTGCAACCTCCTCCCCGTGCCCATCTCCAGCTATTTATTTATTGTGTGCCAGTGAGAGTGGGGGTGGGACTGGGCCTGCCCCACACCTCCACCCCTGTTGTAACCAGTCCTCGTGGACTTAATAAAGTGCGAGTGGAGTGTCTGCGGTGCCACTGTATGTCCCAGGCAGGCCGGAGGAGCCTCGACCTTCCCCTGCGTGGGACAAGCCCTCCCATTCCAGAGCATTCTATGTGCAGCACCTTCACTCTGAGCGCTTCAGGCATCACTAAGCCCAGAGCCTTGAGTTTGTGTCAGTTCTTCAAGAACCCAGCAAGCTTGCACCCCTCTTCCTGTCCCAGTCTTGGGTTCTGAGTGTCAGAGTGTGATGCTTACACAGGTCAGACATCTAGAAGCACCATCACCTGAGGCAGGATGCAGCTTTGCTGGCTTGCTCTAGAAGGCTGCAGCCCCTCTCTAGAAATGGGGGGCCTAGGGCAGAGCTATTGGCCTGGCTCGGGCCACATGCTGTCTTGGAACTCACACCCAAGGGGCTGGAACACCGCTGTTGGCCCGCCTGGGAGGCCAAGGGGCAGGGCGCGGGCCTCGCCTTCTGGACCTCACTGCCACTCCCACCTTCCTTGCTGACAGAATCATGATTGTTTCAGGGAAGCACAGGTGGCTTGTAGGCAGGTAGGGAGGCAGCCCTATCCCAGTGACTTGATTCAAAGCCCGGGTCCCCCATGATGATCTGGCTCCCCCTGCAGTGATGGTCTAAGCACCACTCAGTGATGCATTGCTGGGGGAGATCGTGGGCTGTGCCTGCCTTTTTAAAGGACACAGGAGGTGCTTGTTCTTCTGGACTTTGGGTGTGGGAGCTATTGCAGCCATTTTGTGATCATGAGGCCAGACACGGCATATTTCTCTACCTCATGACTGCCTCAGGTGGCAGAGCAGAAAGATGGGCATTTCCTCCAGGACTCCTAATTTAGGGAAGTTTCAAACAGACAAGAAAAGCTCAGGAATGGCACAGTGGACACCCACATGCCCGTCACCTTGGCCCCCAGGTGTTAATATTTCAGGAAGCTGACGACACCCATTCACAAAATGAAACAATTGCATGCCAATCTCCACCCCGTGTCCTTTTCCTGGATTTGCGCGCTCCCCCACATTGACTGTTTCCTTAATGGCCAGAGATATTTTTGTCATCCTGTGTAATTTTTTTGCCCATTTGGGGGTGACTTTGAGGCAAGTGGCCTAAGAGCAGACTCACTGAAATCTGAGCTCTGTGTATGTAGCCTCAGAGTCCCACCCAGCACTTTCTCATTTTAGCTTTTTTTTTAAAGATTATTTATGCATACAAGAGCTGGGGTGCAGGCCAGAGATGCTGGGGGTGAGAGGATTCACCAGAGACAGAGTGGGGTGCAGAACAGGCGGCTCTACTGAAATCCACTGCTGAGGGGAGCAGTGAGCAAGAGAGGAGAGGTCTGCTGTACCATGTGGGTAGCCCCCTGGCTGGGGATAGCTTGACAGCGCTGAGACTTAACCCCAGCACCACCAAGGAGGCCCCTCAACCTGGGTCTGTGAAGGATAAAGATGTCACTTACCAACTTGTTTTTACATGTAAGACTTAGATGCTCTTTCCGTTTCAGCATAGTCCACATTTACCCACTTCAGCTCAGCAGTTTTAGTGTTTTGCAGCCAATACACTTTTTCTTCAGGTCTCAACTGTTTTCTAAGCTCTTAGCTTCCCATCAGTCTATAATTAGTACCAAAGAAAATGTTAAAAATAATGACTCCTGCCCTTAGTCCTGGGGGGTTGAGTGACAGGGGACCCCACCAAGAGGAGATGGGGTGTTCCCTAAAGGCCAGGCATTGGGACATGCAATTAGTAGGGCCCAGATTGGCAGGGAGGTACAAGGGACCTGTCCTATGTTCAGGGAGGGGACAGGCGAGACTGGCTGAGGGGGTGGGGGGCTGGGGCATTAGGGGTGGTGACAGGTTCCAAAACTAGCTGGTTGGGCAAACTGCCAAAAGCTGGGGCATCTCCACCCCCTCTGCACCAGAGAGTCCTTCTGCCTTCCTTGGAGTAGGAGGAAAAGATTGTCTTTGAGTCCTGGCATCCCAGGAGCACAGCACTCCGTCTTTGGCGCCACGGCTGAAAGGGCTTTGGCCCAAGAGGGTGGTCAAGTAGCAGCCCTTTCTGGGGGCTTCTGTGTCATTAAATGAAGAAGCAGGTCAGGCACAGACCAGGGTGTCTGGGCTCTCTCCTGCTCTGACTTCTAGGCCTCTGGACCCTCACCTTCCCCAACCTGGGCCAGCCAGGTTGGTGGGGGATGGAGATGGCATGTGGGTGGACATGGCTGCCCTCCCACACAAGGGCAGGGCAGGGACGAGGATGGTGCAATTGGCAAGCAGGGAAGGGCTGACCTGGCCTGGATCCCCCAGGACCTAGAGGAGCTGAGCTCACTTCTCCAGGCCTGAGGATGGAGGAATTTCAGGGAGCTCAGTGCTTCTTCCACTGCAGGACTAGGGGGGAGGGTCAGGGACAGTCCCTGGGTGGGGCCTTGGCCTTGGGGCACAGAAGAGAGGAAAGTAATGTTGAGCTCTTCACACATCGCTCCTGTAATCTCCAACCCGCTGAAATGGGCACCTGAAATGGGCACCTGTCCCGTTTCCCACGTTAAGGACCTGGCACAGTCATAGCCAGGGAGCCCCCAATCAGGACTCCCTTTTTCTCCCCTCTCTGACACCAGCTTAGGGCTCCAGAGCAGCTGCCCTGTGCAGAAGTTCAATCCAGTTGGCAGACACAAAGCAGGGGCGAGGAGATGAAAGAATGAAAAGAGACAGTGCAGGAAAGCCAGTGCTGGACACAGGGCCTGGCAGGTCAGTGGTGCTACCACTGGGGGTCCTGAGGAGTGGAGGACGTGGAGCACACACCCTGTCCCTGTCCCCCCTTTGCCCTGCAAAGCCATAGTTCTTGTTATAGGGACAGTGGACTCTAGAGAGACTCCCCCCAAGCCTAGCCTGGAGGGGACTATTGGGAGTGAGGTGGAAGTGGGAAGGAGACCTCCCAGAGGTGTTGCCCCCCAGAGAGGTAAGCTCAACCTGGGCAAAGAAACGAGAAGACGGCTCCCTGGTAGCACAGGGGTTAAAATCTCAGTGCTGTCAGGCTATGGCCAGCCACTGGGTTTGAGTTCGATACCTGGCCAGGGAGCTACCCACATGGCACGGCAGACCTCTCCTGTCTCCCCGCTGCTCCCCTCAGCAGTGTATTTCAGTCAGTCTGCCTGTTCTGTTCCCCACTCTGTCTCTGGTGAATCCTTTCACCCCCCACCCCATACCTCTGGCCTATACCCCAGTTCTTGTATGCATAAATAAATCTTTTTTTTAAGATTTATGGGGTACAGGCTAGAGGCACGAGAGGGTGAGAGATTCACCAGAGACAGAGCGGGGAGCAGAACAGGCAGAAGGACAGAAAGCACTGCTGAGGGGAGCAGCGGGCGTGACAGGAGAGGTCCACCGCACCATGTGGGAATCTCCCTGGCCAGCAGGGAATCGAAACCATGCTGCAGAGGCTGCGGACAGCGTCACAGCGCTGTGCTCAACCCGCTGAGCCACCGGGGAGGCCCTGCATAAATAAATCTTAAAAATAATAATTTTGAACCAGATATAGTGGGGAGGGGGCTGCAGAGGGGGCACAGAAAGGATTATCAGTTGTTATAGAAAACCAACCTAATCCAACCCCAAAGCGATAAATTCCACAAAGTAAAAAAATAAAGTCCACAAAGTGATAAAATTCCACAAAGGAATGAATCCCACCAATGAGGTCGCCCTCGCGCTGACGAAAGGCGGTCCTTGGCCTACCACCGACCGCTGGTGTCTGTCCATGCAAGCGACTTTTCCTCGATAAACTTACCGTGTGCCCCGGAACGGGAGACGCAGCCAAGAACCCCACTCACCAAACCCCAACATCAACATACATTTGAAGAAGTGGGAACTTGTACCCCGAAATCATGTACAGTGTAAACTAATGTTATTTCAGTACAAAAAATACAATTTAAACCAACAAAATTTTACATTGGAAAAAACAACAAAAAAACGGAGGAGCGGCTCAGTAGAGCCCAACTACCCGGCTGGAACAGCCAGCCAGACCCCCTAGATGGGGGAGGGGAAGGACGAGCCCCGAGCACCTCTGACCTGGGTCTGGAACTCCCCCTGAAATGACCCCCCCTCCCCCACCACCGCTCCCGCTCAGCAGGCAGAGGATGCGTGTAGTCCCTAAGCGGAAGTGCAGGGGAAAGTCAGCAGCTGGGCCTGCTGTGGTTCCTTTCCGAGGCAGCCAGCGTGGTCTGGGAGGAAGGATGAGGGGCTCACAGGGGGCAGCTCAGCCTCTTCTCTGCACCCACCCCCCTAGGCTCTGGGTCTAGAGGAAGGCGGCCTGTGAGACTGGGCAGAGGAGGTTCAGCGGGGAGTGGGCGGGGCGGGTGCTGTGCTGGCCTGGCATCCAGATGTGAGTCACTCCTGGTCCACATCTTTCCTGCTCGGGTGCTGGCACTTTCAGAAGGAGATGATGCTGTGGAGAAGGAGGTGCCTTTGACAAACTCCTCTAGTGAGCCCGCCACCCTTGCCCAGTGCTCCCCACAGCCCTCCCTCCACCTCTCCTTCTGGTCCCTGTGCGGGAGGTGAGCACCCCGGTAACCTCCCCTCAACCTGTTGCTACAGTGATCATCCCTTCAGCTACATCTGGCCTCGGTACCCAACCCGCTTGTAACCTACATGGCTCCCCCGTGCCCTCAAAGCAATGTCCGGCCACTCAGAGGCCCTTCAGGATCAGCCTCATGCCCACCTTTCCCCTAAGCGCCAATCATGCGCTGATGCTGTTTCCCCGAATTGTACTTCCCATTTGGAGCCCCTCTCCCTAGTAGAAGGCCAGGTCCTCTTCCTGGCCACCCTTCCAGGCTCACCTTCTTCACCTCCTGGAGTCTTCCTCCCTCCCTGCTGCTTGCTCAAGACTTCCCTCACAGCCATCATCCTGCTACGCTGAATCCTGTTCCACCAGATTCCACCCCACAGTGGGCTGCCTGAGAGCAGAGACTGGGAGTTCATCTTGGAATCCTCTGAGGCCAGTTGCAGGCCAGGCATGCCGTAGGTGCTCAGCATAGCATTTGCTGCGTAGATGGGGAAAGGTTGTACCTCTGAGGGAAAGATGTGAGGAGAGTGGATGGGGGTGCACAGAGTGGGAACCCCACCCTCATGGCCTGGCTTGTCCTGGGCCTCCTTCAAGGGCAGACCCTCTCAGACAGGCCAGAGACTCTTAGTGGATGACCAGCAACCTGCCAGAGAACCTAAGCCTGAGGGCTGAGGCCTGCGCCGGAGCTGGGCCTGCAGCCTCAGCCTGGCACTCCGCCCAGCCTTTCTTTAGCCCTAGTGAGCAGCACCAGACTCAGCCACAATTTGGTTGGGGTGGGGGAGGCCTGGGGAGGGGGGGGCAGGGCCTTGAGTTAAGAAGTACTGGGCCCTCTGCAGAGACCCACAGAGCGTGCCACGCCCTGACCCTGGCCAGGAAGCAGCCTCCTGGAACCCCAGTTCTAATTCTCTGAAGACCTTGCACCCTCGCAGTGGTTTCTCTGACCCCCACCCCCGCGCTGAGCGCAGAACGCTGGCCCGAGGCCCCTTCCCGCTAACTCCTGGCCTAGCTCATCCTGAAACTATTTTCCATTGGCCTCCCCCAATCCCAGCCGCAGCACAACTTCTTGCGGGGAGGGGGCGGGGGGCGGGGAGGGGGGAAGAAGAATGGAAGAAGGTGGAGGGTGGAGCCTGGGCCTGGGGCGGGCTAACGGAGTGAGAGGGGGGCTCGCGCCCATTGGGCTCCTGCTCCTGACCAGGCTTCAAAATTCCGCTGGCCCCGCCCCATTGGCCCCCAGCCCTGCCCTGATTTACAATTGGCTGAGCTTCCAGGGGGGCGGGACGCGCGGGTCAGGTCCAGTTAAAAGGTGGGAGCGGTCAGCGGCCTGGCTCTCCCGCCGAGCCTCCTGACAGCTGCCGCCGCGGTCCCCAGGAGCACCCTCCTCCGCAGCCATGTCTTGTGTGAGTGCGGGGACCCCGCTCCAAAGCCGGGGTGGCATGGGCAGTCAGGACAGCGAGTCAGCTCAGGGTCTGGCTTCAGGTCCCCTCGAGGTTGTCCCTTTGAGTTCTTCCTGGGCCTCAGTGACCGCGTCTGTAAAATGGGGGTGGGCGCCATGGCCCCCCCCCCAATTTTTTGGCTTAAATTTTTTCCTGGATTCCTCCAGGGCCTGACAGCACAGCTGTATCTGCTGTGATCTGACATTTTGCAACTTTCTGATAAGTGGTGTGGGAAGGGCGTGGCCCCCGGAGCGAGGGGGCCCCTTAATAACACCTTACCCTTTCTCCCTCCCTTCCTACCCCCCCCCCAGGGCTCCTGTCCCTCTCCTGCAGCTGTCTCAGCTTCAGGCCAGGGCAGAGTCACCCTCTGCTCCCGAGAGTTCTGAAAAGCGGCCAGGATGTGAGCGGTGGCCGGGAGGGGCCTGCGTTAGCAGGTGGAGGTGGTTTTGTCCAGGCAGAGCGCGCCTGGCCTGGGGAATTCCCTGCTGCCCACTGGGAGGTGCCTAAGGATCGTCTGCGTTGCCTTTGCGGAGGGAAAGGATTCAAGTTCTGGCAACAGTTCAAGTTCAACACCCGTTAACTCCTGGCCCCCGGTCCCGGCGCGGCTGGCTCCGTCCTGTGAACCCCGAGCCGGCCAGGCCGCCCACTCCGCGGCTCGCGGCCTCCCGCCCTTGTGCGGTGGGGCCTGGCCTGGCTCCTCGCGGGCCTCCTCTCGGGCCCCTGCGCCTCTCTGCAGAGGAGCTTAAAGGGGGAGAGGGCGTGCCCCGCGCGGGCCGCTGTCCGCAGGCGTGAGCCGCACCGGGCCTGGCTCTCATCCAGTGAATAAGGAGCTGAGGCAGCACCCCCCCCCCAGGCCGCTCTGCACCCCACGTTCCCAGAAAGGCCAAAACTCCTGGCTATTTCTTCCAGAACCTCAGACCCGGCTGAGAGTGGGCACCGTCCCAGGCCGTGCAGAGAAAGAGAGGCTAGAGCTGCACCGGGTCCCCGGGCCTCTGGGAGGATCCAGGGTGGGGGTTGGGGACCCCACATGCCACCCCGCGGACGCTGCTCCCCTAACGCGGCTGGGCCGCTCTTGTCTGCTCAGGGTCTGGTCGCCAGCAACCTGAACCTCAAACCTGGGGAGTCCCTCAAGGTGGTGGGCGAGGTCGCCCCCGACGCTAAGAGGTGAGGGGAGAAGGCCGGGTGGGGGGCGCGGGGCCCGCGGGGTGCGCAGGGGCGTGGCCGCCCGGGCCGGCGGCTCCCGGCGGGGAGGGGTTAACACCGCGGCCGAGGCAGCGTTTTCTGGATGAGTCACTTCCTCCTCGGGGTCTGGACGCCCCCACCATAGTCACCCCTTCCCTCCCTGCTGGTGCCTCTTAAACTAAACCAGCTGCGGACACGTCACCGGCCTGGCTGGCCCCGCCCACTCGCCGCCCTGGGCGGGGCCATCGGCGGGGGGCGGGCCATCGGCGGGGCGGGGCCATCGGCGGAGGCGGGGCCATCGGCGGGGCGGGGCCATCGGCGGGGGGCGGGACCATCGGCGGGGCGGGGCCCGCGGGGCCCGCTTGGGGGGCCTCTTTCCCGAGAGCCTCACTTTCTTCACCCCGAAAGTAACTCTCACTTCTCTCAGCCTGTGGCAGCTTCTCAGCCCCGAGCGCCTCTGGAGTCACGTGGGGCCGTCGCCGCCCGGAGCGGGGTGTCAATCAGTGCAGGGGCCCGCGCTGGGGAAGCGGGAGTCCCGATCCGCCCACAGACCGCGCGCCTCCCGTGCTCGGTCCGCTCGGTTCCTCCCTCAGAGCGAGGTTCGCTCCCTGCTCAGCAAACGTAGTATTATTGGTGCATTTGCCCCGCGGTTAGTGGGCACCTGCTGCGTGTCACGCGTCTTGCTGGCACCAGGGCGACTGAAACATACTGACAGGCGGAACGCTGCCCTCCCGAGGCCACCGCCTCAAGGTCACCCCTCACCCCTCCTTCCTCCCCTGCAAATGAGGAAACTGAGATGAAGTCCAGAGAGGTCTAGTGTCGTGCTCAAGGCCCCACAGCACGGCCGGCAGGGCTGGCACTGGACGCAGGTCCCTGCTCTGCTCGGGGTGTGGCGCTGGGCGCAGGCCCCTGCTCCTGCTCCGGGTGTGGCGCTGGATGCAGGTGCCCCCACACCACCTCGCCAGCTGGTGTGTGGCTGGCGCACTGAGGCGCGGACCCCACAGCCCGAGGACACCTCCATCCCTCTGGTTACTCCCTAGCTTTGTGCTGAACCTGGGCAAGGACAGCGACAACCTGTGCCTTCACTTCAACCCTCGCTTTGACGCCCATGGAGACTCCAACACCATCGTGTGCAACAGCAAGGATGGCGGGGCCTGGGGGGTGGAGCATCGCGAGCCGGCCTTCCCCTTCCAGCCGGGAAGTGTGGTGGAGGTGGGCTGGAGCCTGGGGCGCGGGGGGGCCTGCCTGGGCTGGGGCAGGGTGGGCTTAGTGGCTAGAGACCCAGGAGGCTTCCTATGCTCCCTTCCCTCCCCGCCACCTTCCCCCATCATCCTCCGCTCTCCCAACCTCAGGAGCCTCACTATCCAGGGGACTGTGGAGAGGGCTCCGGAGGACCCTTGACCCGCAGGCCATGGCGAGGCTGCAGAGCCCAGGCTCCCTCGGGGGTCCACACCCCTCACTGCACTTCCCTGCCTCCCCCAGGTCTTCATCTCCTTCGACAAGGCCGACCTGACCATCAAGCTGCCAGATGGACACACATTCAAGTTCCCCAACCGCCTCAGCCTGGAGGCCATCAGCTACATGGCGGCCGATGGCGACTTCAAGATCAAGTGCTTGGCCTTTGAGTGAAGCCACTTGGCTCATGGCCCAATAAAGGCAGCTGCCTCTGTTTCCCCTCAATCTGTTAAGTGTGTGTGCCTGTGCGCATGTGTATGGATATGTGGGTGTGAAAGAGAAGGGATCCCCCCTGGCCCCCAGGCCCTGCCCCTCCCTCACTTCCATCCCTTCCCCAGTGCATTCCTCCTAAGGGCCAGTGCCACCTTCTCCCCCGGGTTCCCCTGGGCCCAGTGACTACTGCATAAGCTGCCTCAGAGCAGCTCCCAGCCACCGGGCCCCGCACACAGCAGGTGCTCAAAAGGTGCTAAGGGAATGAAACCAGGGGAAAGAGATGGGTTCCCGCCCTGGTGCCAGAGCACAGAGGGAGGTGGCAGAAGAATAACCCTGGCCCTGTTTTCAGGAGCCAGGAGGAGGAGATCTGGTTCAGGGTTGGCAGGCCACCTGCTGTGTGGTCAGCGTATCCGCTGACCTCTCTGAACCCAGTTTAGTCTTGCTATGACTGCGGGGATGGATAACAGCTCAGCCTGTGACAGGCTGCTGTGAGGATGAGACGGGGAGGAGCCAAGTTCAATGCCAGGCCTGTGGCAAGTGCTCATGGGCAGTGTCTTCCTGTCCCTCCCAAACCCCCTCCTGAGATGTCATTACCCCAATTTAAAGGAGAAGAAACAGGTCCTTGGTGATAACATAAGTGCCTGGTTTCTACTGGCTCCTCAGGTACCCCAGCATTGTAGCCCAGAGTTATGTACCCCAATCCTGCAGGATAAGAGCCACCAGGGTGCTGGTCCAGAAGCTGTTTCAAATAGCTCCCAGTGAGAACCCCAGTGGCTCCCTCCAAGCCCTAGAGCAGCTTCCTGAGGTGTGTGTGTAGGGGGGTCGTCACATCTCATTCTTCAGGACAGCTGGTGCTAGCTGGATCACCTGGGTAGGCCTCTTTCACCCCCACCTTAGTTTTCTCATCTATAAAATGGGGATCACTATTTGGTTCATTGCCCCCTTGGGTGGATTTCCATCTCATGGGTTCCCGAGGTGAGGGGGGTGCATGTCTCTCTAAAAGGGCCAAGGAGGATGACTTTGCACTTGCTGGGGGCCTGGGAAGGGGGAGTCAGAGACCAGTTTGTCCCAAGAGCCACACCCAATCTCCAGGCTCTCCTGAGGCACCCAGAAAATTTTTGTAAGTCTGTGGATAGGGCACCACCTGCTGGACATTTGAGGAAGTGTCTCAACTGCTTTTCTCTGTTCTCATCGTTCACCCCAGATTCTCCCTATGCTGGCAGAACAACCTCAGGGAACTGGGACTGGTATTAAAATCAAGCAGAGAAAAGCTGGGGAAGATAAGGAGAGAGACCACTGGATGTGGAGGAAGGAAAATGGACTCAGGGCCTCCCTGGTGGCGCAAGGGGTTAAGCACAGTGCTGTGAAGCTATCTGCAGCCTCTGCGGCACGCGATTGATCCCCCGCTGGCCAAGGAGCAGCCCACATGGCGCAGCAGACCCCTCCGGTCTCACCCACTGCTCCCCTCAGCAGTGTATTTCAGTATATCTGCCTGTTCTGCTCCCCACTCTGTCTCTGGTGAATCCTCTCACCACCCCACCTCTGGCTTACACCCCAGTTCTTGCGTGCATAAATAAATAAATACTAAAAAAAAAAAATCCTCAGTTTAAAAAAGAAAAAAGAAATTTATGGTGCCCAGCACCTAGTAGGTCAGTTTCCTTCCCCTATTTTAAGACTCACTGTGTCCCAAGAGCCTGTGAAGGGCTCCACCACCAGCACTTGCTCTTTTTGCCTGTCTGACATCAGACAAGTATCCCTCTGAGCTGCAGTAAAATGCAGTTCATACCCCAAACAAGATCATCATGAAGACTTCATTTTTTTCCTAAATATTTTTTATTTATTTATGCATACAAGAACTGGAGTGTAGGGGCCTCCCTGGTGGTGTAGAAGGTTGAGCGCAGCTCTGTAAAGCTGTCCACAGCCTCTGCAGCGCGGGTTCGATTCCCAGCTGGCCAGGGAGATTCCCACATGGTGTGGCAGACCTCTCCTGTTGCGTCCGCTGCTCCCCTCAGCAGTGTATTTCATTGCTCTGCCTGTTCTGCTCCCCGCTCTGTCTCTGGTGAATCCTCTCACCCTCCTGCACCTCTGTCCTGTACCCCAGCTCTTGCATAAAAATAAATAAATCTTTAAAAAAAAAAAAAGAACTGGGGTGTAGGCCAGAGGTGCAGAGGGTGAGAAGACACACCAGAGACAGAGCAGGGAACAGAACAGGCAGACCTACTGAAACACACTGCTGAGAGGAGCAGCGGGCGATACAGGAGAGGTCTGCCATGCCATGTGAGTTGCTCCCTGGCCGGGGATTGAACTCATGCTACAGTGGCTGCCAATAGCTTCATAGCACTCAGATTTAACTCCCTGTGCCACCAGGGAGGCCCAAGAACATGCCATCTTTTGCTGTTCATGGCACACAGTGGGTGCTCAGTAAACATAAAAATAACTCCAGTTCTTCGGATAAGTGACCTTGGGTGATCTCTAAAGATAGTTCTCTATTCACTTGATCTAACAAAATCATGCAAATTGAGAGCTTCAAATCTTCAGAGTGAGTGGGAGTGCCCAGGCCAAACAGTGGGGCTGGACACAGGGCCAGTGAAACAAAAAAGAATGCTGAATTTACCACACAGACGAGATGCAGAGAGGAATGCTGGCCGCACGGGTTTAGATGCAGTCTTTGGTCATGGAGCACATCTAGGTGAACCAAGTCCCCAAGGTATGCGAGGAATTTCCAGAGCACCTGGCCAGAGAAACCCCTCCCTGAGCACCTCGGCCATAGAGTGAGGCTTGTAAATGAAAAAGATTAAATTGTTCCTAAGCTAAAAGAGAACACACAGAAGAGAAGGACATCCCAGAAGAAATAGAAATAAAACATGTGGCTCAGGGATAAATGCAGCATGAAATAAATGCAACAAGAATAATAATTTCAAGGAGAAATCAACCCTAAAAGGATGGGTGATTTTAGCCTTAGGAATCTGGTGTGTGGTGGTGGTGGAGGGGGGACTAGTTGATGATCTGGCAAGCCTGGTAGCCACACTTTTGTCTACAAACAGTTGGGGGTGGGGCCTGGTCAGCAGCAGGTGGCAGCACTGAGACACTGGGCCGGGAACGGAGGAGGCAGCAAGCTGGGCATCTTCAGGAGCTGGACTCTCTGACGGAGAGTGAGATGTATGGCCACTAGGGGCCGGAGGGTCAGTGCTCATCACCGTGAAGCCTCAAAGGCCTGTGGCCTGGGTTTGAGGGTGAAGCACTTAGCACCAACATGGAATGCCTGCGCAGAGGACCCTCGTGGTACAAATGCAACTTTCGTGAATAGTGTTCCCTCCTTTACAAGGTCAGGGCCCAGAGCCGGCGCTGCTAGCTTGGAAACCAAAGACCAAGGTTCAAGTCCAGCTAGACCAAAGAGTAGCCGTGTAACCCTGGACAAATTGTGTGTCCTCTCTAAGATAACACACCCCTTTTCTCTGTGCCTGGCCCACAGCAGCCACTCAATCATGTGAGCTTCCTCACTCTCTGGTTCCAGTCACTTGTCAAGTGAGAGGGTTGCATTGTAACAGGCTATTATTCTTCCGGTATCCCCACCCTGGGGCAGGTCTGCGGTCACCTCATACAGGAAGCCCTTCCCCCTGCCCCCAGCTCCTGCAGCCTCCATGTCTTGGCTGCAGAGGTGTCATCCCCTGGACTGTAATGACTGCGGGATCCTGCTGCACCCGCCTGTCCCTATTTGGGAGCTGGGGTTCATCACACTCAGTTGCAGTGGGATAAAAGGACCTGCCTATCCTTAAAGACAAGTGGAGCAGCTTGTCCACAGCACCCCACACAGTGCGTTGAAAAGGAGGGGGTTCCAGCTAACAAGCCAGTTACCCAAATCCCCTTCATTGTAGTTTTGATGAATGCCTTCATGTTCGTGCCCTCATTCTCAATGCGGATGTGGTATTAGACCCCATTCCACGCTTGGGGGAATGGAGGCACAGACAGGTGTGGCATATCTTAGGTGATGCACACTTTACATAACTCATCCTTCACGGTCTCTGCTCTCAAAGTTTGCTCCAACAACAACAGCATCACCTGAGAACTTGTTGGAAAAGCAAAATCTGGGGCTCATTTGGACTTGTTGAATCAGAAACTGGGGGTTGGGGGGTAGAGGGAGCACTTAGCGATCTGGGTTTCATCAAGCCGTCTGTGGGATTCTGATGCCAAAGTTTGCAAACCACTGCTTCACCATAAGGCTACAAAGTCACTCTAAGTTAATCTCCACTGTAAAATGGGTTAACTGAGGCACAGAGGAGGCAAATGGTCCAGGACCACACCGCAGTAATGGGGGGGCGGGGGCTACATTCTAATCTGGCTGTTCTGGCTCCAGAAACAGCGCTCTTGGAAAAGCCGAGTTGATATCCGAATCAAAGGCTCAGCAACCTTTGGCTATTCGTTCATAGTTTCTTTTCTTTTTTTTAAGATTTATTTATTTATGCATACAGAGCTGGGGTACAGGCCAGAGATGCGGGGGCTGAGAGGATTCACCAGAGACAGAGTGGGGAACAGAACAGGCAGATTGAATGAAGTTCACTGCTGCGGGGAGCAGCGGGCGCGACAGGAGATGTCTGCCGCGCCATGGGGGTAGCTCCCTGGTGGGCCTGGGATCGCGCTCCTGCTGCAGAGGCTGCGGCTTGCTTCATAGTGCGGTGCTTCACCCACCCCCCGCCCCCCGCGCCACCAGGGAGGCCCCTCGTTAATAGTTTCTTATTAGCGCCTACTGCGCGCCGTGCCAGTCGCTGAACCCGGGGCCTCGCGCTCCCGGCTGACTCCGGGCCAGGGCGCGGCTGCGAGTCGCCGAGGGCGCGGGGACCGGCGTTCCACCCACAGGAGCGCGCGGCGCAGAGACTGGCTGGGCGGCTCCTTTAAAAGGCGGGGCCCGGCAAGCGGAACTGTGGCGCCAAAGCCGCGAGACGCTGCCGGAGGCTGAAAACGCGACACCCGGAAGTGGCCGCGGCGGGGAGGCCGCGCTGCCGGAGGCCTGTCCGCTATGGGTCGCAACAAGAAAAAGAAGCGCGATGGCAACGACCGGCGGCCGCGGCTCGTTCTCAGCTTCGACGAGGAGAAACGGCGGTGAGTGCCGAGGCTGGGCCCGCCGCCCCTCCGGCCGCCGGGCTGGGCCAGGCCGGGCCCCGGCAGCGCGCTCACGCGGAGGCCCTTCCGGCCCTTCCGGCCCCGCCCTCGGCGCTCGCCGGCGCCCCCCCGGGCGCGGCAGGGGCGCCCCCCCCCCGCCCGCGCCTGCCCGGCCCCTGCGCCCCGCGGGCACCGGGCTGCTGTGAGCGCGGCGGGGCTGCCGGGGACTCGGTACAGAGTCGGGCAGCCGACGCCGCTCGCAGCCGGCCTGCCGCTCGGTTGCTGAAGGACGAGCGAGTGGAGTGAGAGCAGCCCAAGCCCGTTTACTCGTTCGCCAGACTTTACTGAACTCGTTCGGCGTGTGTGCCAGACCTCGGGCTCCCTAGCTGGAGGCCTCAGCGACCGGCCCGTCCGGTACATGGTGTTGAGTCGCCCGGGGCGGGGCCCCCGCGCACATGCGAGTGGAGCAGCCGGCCCTAAAGAGATGGGAAGGGGCCCAGGTTGGGTGAGGGCGGGGGGAGTGCTGGGGCATCGTCAAGAAACCCAGGGTGGGGGCCTCCCCGGTGGCGCAGCGGTTGAGCGCTGGGTTGTGAAGCTGCCCGCGGCCTTTGCAGCGCCGGTTTCATCCCCGGCTGCTCCCCGGCCACCGGAGGAGGGTCCCACATGGCTGCAGACCTCTCCTGCCGCCCGCTGCTCCCCTCAGCAGTGTACTTCGGTCCTTCTGCCTGCTCTGCTCCCCGCTCTGGCTCTGGAGAATTCTCTCACCCTCCCGCGCTTCTGACTGTACCCAGTGCATGTATAAACAAAAACAAACAAACAAATAAATAAATAAGTAAAACATGCCTCTATTTTAAAAAAAAAAAAGAAAAGAAAGAAACCCAGGGTGGCTTCAGCAGGCCTTACAGTTGGGTCCAGGGGGCAGGCGGCCTGGGGAAATGAGGTGTTGGTTCAGGAGAGAGTTTGTGAAGGTGAGGGTGAGCTTGCAGCCCCTCCTAGACGTAGCTTAATTCACTGGGTGATGGAATTTGCCAGTGCAGAAGGGCCCCCATCTAAGGCCACAACCTGTGTCCACCACCTGACCCTGTTGCCTGGAGCTAAGAACCCTGGAGGGTAGTGAGTAGCAGAAAGCAGCGTTTTCTTCTTTGCCCGAACCTTATAATCTCCGTGATTCTCAGCAAACAACCTAGTCTCTCTGTGCCTCAGTGTCCCCATCTGTAAAGGGGGGAGATACCTTGTTGTGAGGGTTACATGAGTTACATGAGTTAACGTGTAAACTGGGGTGGCAGGCATCTAGCAGGGAAGTGTTAGCTGTTTTTCTCTTCCTAGAGTGAGCCCTTGTCATATCTTCTGGTTGCTCTTCTTTGTCTTTCTCCTGTAGGGAGTACCTCACAGGCTTCCACAAGCGCAAGGTGGAGCGGAAAAAGGCAGCCATTGAGGAGATCAAGCAGCGGCTCAAGCAGGAGCAGAAAAAACTCCGGGAGGAGGTGTGAGGGGGAAAGCAGATGGGCTGCAGGGAGGTTTCTGACTCCCAGGGAACTTGCAGCCTCAGATGGCCTGAATAGGGGCATCTGAGGGGATGCGGGAAGGTGTGGGCAGGTCTGGGAAGCGGTTTATGTAGGTAGAAACGTGTTGGGCTCAGGTCTGGGAGAGGTTCTGGATGGAATCTACTGGTTCCACCCAGAACCATGGTCTCACTGAACCTTGTCTGAGGTGGGACCAGGGCGCCATACTCATGTGGTCCCTTTGGTTTCAGCGCCACCAGGAGTACTTGAAGATGCTGGCAGAGAGAGAGGAGGCGCTGGGTAAGTCCCACCCTGGCTGGATCTGGGGAACAACCCTTGGGCCAAGGTTTATTTACCCCTTTGGGGGTGGAGGAGGGGGCTGGGGAGGCAGCACAGAAGCTGACTCGCTCTACGATCTTGACTGTGATCTGGGGCCCCCTCTGAGTTGGTCAGAGCCCAGAAGAAGGAGACTCAAACCTCTTGGTATACTGCTGCTGAGCAGAAAGCCTGGTTTCTGAGGCTAGGAGGGACTGGGGGTGGAGGCAAGGAGTGGCAGCAGCTTCTGGTGTCACAGCAGGTTGTCCTAGGTGGTGACCAGGGGTCTGAGGTCTCTCTGGAATGTGAGAGGAGAAGTTGATCATTTACAACATTTGTGTGCAGGCCAGGCTCTAGAGCCAGCTGCCTCCTGGATACTAACCATCCCACAGAGAGGGGCCTCTGCACACCAGGGCTGGGAGGGGGGCTGGAGCCTAGCTCTCTGCGCTCCGGGCTGAGACCCAGTTCTGTGCCTGCCCTGCACAGAGGAGGCAGACGAACTGGAGCGGCTGGTGACAGCCAAGACCGAGTCTGTGCAGTATGACCACCCCAACCACACAGTCACCGTGACCACCATCAGTGACCTGGACCTCTCGGGGGCCCGGCTGCTGGGGCTGCCCCCACCTGAGGTGGGTGTCTTTCCCAGCCCTGGGGAAGAAGGGACAGCAGGGCAGACTGGCTTGTCAGGGGGTTGCTGGGTGCTGGCCCGTGTCATGGGGGTTCCGTGCAAGGGATTCTTTTTCCTTCCGAGTGCCCTTTGGGGCCTAGGCAAAACCCCAGGCCCCTGGGGCTTCAGGGACCAACTCTGCCACTAAGTGGCTATGGGAGCTTGGGGGGTTTCTTTACCTTGCCTGCTCACTTCTTTAGCAGTTGTGGGATTGCTGCAGGGATATGGCGGCTAGTCCAGGAGATGCCTGTGCATTGTCATCCCTATCGCATGATAAGTAGCGTGAGGCCTGTGAGTTTCAATGGATGGATTGTGAGTCATTAGCAGGTTACAACCAGCATTAAAAAATAAAACAAAATAGCAAAACATTATAGTAAATGTCCTCTTATGAAACATTTGTGTCAAATAAGTTGTGTTTGTGTGGACTGTGTAGAATTTCCATTCTGTGTGTGCACAGTTGCCAGGGAAACCCGGCTCCCTCACACGGCCCTGATCTTATGCTCACCTTCTGTTTTATGCTCCTTATGTGCATCCTGACGCAGACAAGCCCTGTTCCCGTTTTCCAAGTTCTTTTGTTGGCAAGTGTTTGGGTGTCGTCTGTCAGCTCATCAGTCCCCTGTGTCCCTGCTTCAGGGTGATTTCACCACCCACAGTCTTCTCTGGGCCCTGTTCTGGCCCCACTGGTCAGAGCTGTTATTGCTCAGGGTGCCCAGACCAGGCCCTGACCCCCACTCTCAGTGACAGTGCTTGTGCTGTGTTTTCTCTAGCAAGGGACCGGGTATGAGGAGGAGCCATCATCCCCAGAGAAGCCGGCCAGAGCCTTACCCAGGAAGTCCCGAGACCCCCTGCTGTCCCAGCGGTGAGCCTGCTCCTCATGGCTAGAATCAGGGCCCTGCCCATGGAATCCCCCTCCTTGGCCTGTGGAATGGGCCTCAGCCCCTCCTCTCTGTCGTACCCCTCCCCCAGGTCTGACCCTGGTGCCCTCAGTGGCTGGGCACAGGCTCCCTCCATGAGCTGAGGAGCCAGAGGCCTGGACTCAGAGCAGGCTGTCTCTGGAATGGAGTTGGCACTCTTGGCATGAGGGGCCAGTTCTGACTTGCTCTTCATGAGCTGGGCCATCAGTCATCCCCCTACCCGGCCCTCCACCTGTGCCCTGCTCTCTAGGGTGCAAGAAGGCCCTAGCCTCACCAGCATTCCATCTCCCACAGGATCTCCTCGCTCACGGCCTCACTGCATGCACACAATCGTAAAAAGGTCAAGAAGAAACATCCCCAACGGGCCCAGGACTCCACCAAGAAGCCCCCAAGTGCCACTCGCACCAGCAAGACCCAGCGCCGCCGGCTCACAGGCAGAGCCCGCCATAGTGGGGAGTGAGCCTGAGCCTCGGGCCCACGCTGGCCTAGGCTACCAGGCCCTCCGGTCTCAGCTTGGCAGCCCTGGTAACCCAGCCTGCACCGAGGTGATGGCTCTGCAGCAGTTGAGCACCTCTCCAACCCAGGGCTGTACCCCAAGGCGCATACCCCAGGAGGAGCAGGCAGCCAAGAGCTGGCCTCCCTGGGAGGTATGGAGCATCTTTGCACATGTTCCTCCACTCGGCCTTCATCTGTTTTTGAGACTCACTGCAATGTGACCCGTTTGTCCTTAACCCTGTGCCAAGAGCAGGCTGGGGGGGCAGGCACTGTGTTAGAGCCTCACATCGGGACTGCAGGAGTCTGCAGGTTGGGGGTAGTGTGTCAAATGTGTTCTCAGCCATGGGGAAGCTTCTAGACTAGAGACAGGGTTGGGTCTTGGAGAGTGCGTGACGGCAGCCCTGCCGCAGCTCCTGCCTGGCCCTAGAGGAGAGGGAGCAGGTCTGCAGGACACACCTTCCCTCCAAACACCCCTGAAGGACCTGCAGGAGCAGTCTTGTCCCGCCCCTTTTGGGATAGTCATCTCCCATGTCACCATCAAAACCCACCTTCTGGAGACTTCTGATATTGGCCATGTGTGACTAAAGGCCACACCTAGGCTTAGGAACGCGAAACTCAGGGCTGGTGGCTGGGAGGCCCCGTGACCTGGCTTCTCGCTCCTTTACCCATTCTTCCTGCTGCCTTTCCATTGTCCTCCCCTCTGCTTGGGGCGGGGTGGCTGCCCTGCTTGGCTGCCTCCATCCTGGGCAGAGTGGGGCCTGTGGCCAGCTCTCCAGGTAGTTCTGGTTCTCAGCCCAGGCCAGTGTTGGCCTCACCCTCATCCCTTGTGAGCTGGAAGAGCTGCACCTGGGGAAACATGCGCGCAGCAGGGCTTGGGTCTGACTCCTGGCCCTGCAGCTTGGCCATGGTATGACTGAGGGCTGCCTGGAGGCAGAAACAACCATGGGTCTAAGCACTTCCCGTGGCACCTGCCATCCCCATTGTACCTTGTATGTTTTCATCGGCTGCTGTTGGCTGAGACCCAGCTCTTCCACCGGCCCCAGGCACATGGGACCATTTACAACTTGCATCTGGAATTGTAGTGTTTACAAACAAGTATTAAACTTTTTATTAAACCTTTGCATGCTCTCCTATTTGTGTCATCTATTCTTCTGGCAGGCCAAGGAGGTTGAGCCCCATGATTTTGTCAAGTCATTAGAGTGATGGAATTGGAATCTTCTGGAGAGCTGCTCTTTTTCTCCCAGGACGTCTTCTCCATGTTCCATGCTGGACTCTTTCCTCCTGTTGCTCACTCTCCTAGGGGACCCTCGGAGTGCCTTGGGATCCTTGATGTTCTATTAAGAAGGATTAGGTTTAGCTGCAAATAACAAGAAACAATTTTAAAAGAAGTGGCTTATGAGAGAGGAAGGCGCTAATCTGGCTTCTGGAAGGCTGGGGCTGGGGTGGCAGGTTTTAGCTTTATTATTGTGCAACCTCTTACAGCTTCCACTTCATGGTCCAAGATGGCTGCTTGAGCTTCAGCCATCATGGCTGCCTTTTGGCCAGCAGAACGGAGAAACATGGAAAGTTTGAACCTCAAACCAAACACATAAAGGGGAAGCAGCTTCCCCAAGCTCGTAATCAGGAAGTGCTACGGCTGGATGTCAAGCTTGAGTCTCCTGTTTTACTTATGGTAACTGGCCAAGCGCAAAGCTCACTCTCCTTGTTACGCATCTGTGTCTTCTGTTCCATACTGGGCTCTCTCTCCCGCTGACCAGTGGGCTCCTCATCAGAGGAGGAACCACATTTCACACGTTACCATCACCCCAGAGCCCAGGGAGGCCTGGCATGTACTGTGTGAATGTCTGGGTGAATTAGCAAATGAAGACACTCTGGTGCCTGGAGCAGTCAGCACATCAGCGTTTTAGTCTTGGCTCTGCCACTTCCAGCTGTGTGACAATGGCAGGTTCATCCCCTGATCCTCAGCTGCTGTGAAATGAGCGTCGTGGGACTTAATCCTCCCGCGCACTAAGTCCTCACGAATGTAACGGTTTTGGAGTAGAGGCTGGCACATAGGCAGAATAAATGTTAGCTTTAGAGAGGGGACAGCTTTTGTCCGCGGCCTCTGCAGCGCAGGTTCGATTCCTGGCCGGCCAGGGAGAGGCCCACATGGCGCGCAGACCTCTCCTGTCTCCCCGCCGCTCCCCTCAGCAGTGTCTTGGGTCCGCCTGCCTGCTCTGCTCCCCGCTCTGGCTCTGGTGAATCCGCTCACCCTCCCGCGCATCTGTCCTGTACTCCGGTTCTTGTATAAATAGATAAATCTTTAAAAGAGAGAGGGGGGGACAGTTTTTAAAAAGGGCATTGTGCGCTTCGTGAGAGAGGCGCGTCAGCGAGGGCGGCGGGCGGCGGGGGGCGGGGGGGAGCCGCGGTCCACTCTTCACGTGGGGGACGGGAGCCGAGCCCTCCGTGAAAACTCCGGGGGACCCGGGTTAACGTCAGCCTGGAGGACTGTGGCGGGAGTGAGCGCGCGGAAAGCATAACGCAAGGAGCCGGAGTGCCAGCGTCCACCCTCCCTGGGGCGCCCTGGGGACCCCGGCCGTGCGGAGGGGGGGCTGCCCGCGAGGATGGTGCCGCGCTCCCGGCATCAGGGCCCCGCCCCGCCCCGCCCCGCCCCTTGTCCTGAGTTGTCCAATCCCACAGCCCTCATGTAAATAAGGCACCTACAGGGGCCTATGGCAGCGCGGCGGGGGCGTGGCCTTCGTCTTCCCCCGGGCAGCGTCTGATTCATTGTTAAAATGAGGGGCTGCCCCCCGCCCCGCTGCCCCGGCGCCCCCCGCGCGTGGACGCGCGGGCTCAGGTTCGTCCCGGCGCGAGGCGGGCGGAGGGAAGGCGGGGGAGGGGAGGGGAGGGAGGGGAGGGGAGGGGAGGGGAGGGCAGGGGCCGCCTGACTGATGGCGAGAGGTCCGGGGGTCCCTCTCCGGGGGGCGCGTGCGTGTCCCGGTGGCGCTCGCGGCCGCGGCGGGGTTGGACAAGCGCCTGACCTCGGGCGGGGGAGGGGATGAGAGCGGCGGGGGGCGCGTGGGGTGGAGCCCTCGGCGCCGGTCCCCGGGAAAGGGGCGCTGCCCTCCTCCTGGGGCCAAGGTCCTCGTTGTGTGGACGGGAAAGACCCGCCCAGGCTGGGCAGGGGATGGGCGTCCCGCCCTCCCTGCGATCCAGGATCCGCGACCGCGGGGCCACCGAGGACCAGTGAGTGCCCCACCCGACCCTGCCCCACCCCGCCCCGCCCGCCTCTCCTGCAGGTCTGATGGTGAAGGAAGGCGGGACCTGCGCCCTGGCTGCTCCAGGAGAGGGTGTGAGAGTCCCCAGGTCTAAGGCCAGGCTGCCAACAAAGGCCAGAGCCCCTGGGAGTCTCCCGAGGAAACTCGCCAGGTGAGCCCTGGTATAGGCAGGTGACCTGGGGGCAACTTAAGGTGAAGGTGCGTTTGGGATATGGATGTGCTGCCTGACACACACCCTGCCTGGGCTCTTGTGGGCAAGGAGGCATCTTCAAGTCACTCTTCTGTTGGCGCTCCCCCGCCCCCCACGCCCCGTCCGGGTTCTGGAGCCCCCAGAGAGAGCCCCAGCTCGGTCACCTCACCAGGGTTTCTCTCTGGCTCAGCCCTGCTGTGACCTTATGCTGTGCATTTTTGCCGTGACTTTGTCCTCAACTGAAAATCCCTGGCAGCCCTTTTGCGGCACTCCAGTGTTTCCCATGGGACCTGTGGGAGTTGGCAATGTGACCCCACGCCCCTCATTTCCACCACGCAGAGGAGGATGGGAGGCACAATTATCTGGACTTGAATCCAGTTTAGCCACTGGTACCTCGAGCAAGTCAGGGAACTTCTGTGAGCCTTAGCAGGCTCATCTGAGCTTGGCATTCCTCTTATTCACAATGCAGGACAACAAAGCCCTCCATCTCCTAGGTGCATTGGAACCCCCTAGGGGACTTGTTTAAAATGTACCCCTCAAGCCTCCACTCCAGAGCTTCCGACTGGGAATATCTGGCGAGGGGCCTGGCTATATGCATTTCAGGAATACCCTCCACCCCCAGACTAATTCCAGGTCCTCAGAGTTCACATTGCCCAACTTGGCAGTAACTACTAGAAATCACGTCAGAGTGCCTGGAGCTTGGTAGGTGCTTGATGAATGTTTGTTGAGTGAACAGACAGATAAATGACCTTATTTCCTTGCTCCTGTCCAGGGGCAAGCTGGCGCTGGGGTCTGGGTGCGCCACCAGCCAGTCCCCTGCTCCTGGCCTTGCCCCCATTCTTGCCAGGCCCCCCCATCGGATTGCAGGAGCTCTCCCAGCCTGACTCAGCCAACATGGAGGGGGTGGCTGACAGTGCCCCCCGTGAACACATTGAGGCCAGTGTGCTGGCCCAGAACCACAGCCAAAACTGCCCCCACCCTGAGGAGGCCCGCAGAGCAGGGCACCAGGTAGGCCGACTGTTCTGAGTGGTGGGGGTGGTGTGGGGTGGGGGAGCCCGTGATGGGCTGGGACTCCTGTGGGCCACTAACTGGCTGCTGAACGCAGATGCCGCTCTCCTCCCGGGCACACCGTTGCCCCCCCCCCCGCCCCCCGTGCATGAGGTGGCTGAAGCATGTTAATCATCCCCAAACTCCAGCCATTTTCCTGATTTTTTTTTTATCTTGGCCTCATGTAATCTACTGCTTACTAGACTGTTCTTGAATTAGCCACCTGTTCTTCAGTGATACTAAAGCAAAACGTTCCATCACCACCATAAATAGGAACTTGACCTTCCATGGCTCGTCATTCCCAGGGGTCCTGACGGTCCTCCTGGACCTGGCGGCCAGCTCCATGCAGGGCTTCACTCTGCGAGGTGGCCTTGCCAGCGAGTGGCTATTCAGCCGTGGGGCCAGGCAGCCAGGATCCCGGTGCTACTTGCCTGCTGTGTGAACGTGGGTCTTTGACCCTCTGGCTTCACCCTGCTAATGGGTAAATTGGGGCAACCAGGCTCCCCACTCGGGGCCTCTGACACTGCTTAGCCCAAGCCACACTCTATGCAAAGCATGTTGGTTTTCTCTTCCTACTTTTATCTTGGCCTCATGTAAGCTATTCCTTACCTTACTGTTCCTAAAATTGGCACCCATTCTTCACTGATACTGAAAGACCAGAAAAGTGGGAGTTTCTTTTAGGTGTCTTTATACTCACTGAACAGCTCCCCTCCGCCCACCCCAGGGACAGATGCCTGAAAGTCCTGTGAGTCTCGCCTTATGCACATGACCTACTCCCCATGGGTGGGGAGACAGTGAGCCTGCACCAGTAGAGACTTGGGTTCCGAGGGGTCTGACGTCTATCTCAGGTTCTACGCATCCCTGCTGAGACTTTGGGCCAGCTCGTGCATCCACACATCTTGAATAGGTGCTTAGAATGTGCCAGGTGTGTTGCTAGCTGCCGGGGAAACAGTGATTAAAAGACTAGATAGTCCCTGGTTCGTGGGCCTTGTGGTCTAGCAAGGGACACAGGGCCTAAGAAAGGAATCCTGCCACTGATGATTTACTCGTGGCTGGGATGTGTCCGGGGGAACCGCAAGAGGCCGAGGGTTAATGATAAGGTGACTGGGACAGTTTCCCCAAGATGACACTGGGTGAAGGCTGTGGGGCATTGACCAGAGAAGTTGGGGGAAGAGGGGTTATGCAAAGGCCCTGAGGCAGAAAGGAGGAGGTGCCTTGGAGGTTGGAGAGAGGCCAGTAAGAGGGAGAGGAGAGGAACTCTGGACAAGTATGGAAGATGGAGCTCACCAGGCTTTCTGGGGTCCTGTACACATGCTAGGATTTTGAACTTTTTCCAGAGAGCCTGGGGGAACCACTGAAGATTTTAAACAGGGGAGTGAAGTGACCAGATTTGCTTTTTTCAGTCATCCTGACCACTGGGTAGAGAATGGAAAACAAGGAGGGAGAGTGAATCAGGATGACCAGTGAGGAAAAGGACTAATTTCTCATGCTTGATGATGGGGACAAATGACACATTTCAGAATTAATTGAATAGCAGAAGCTGCAGAACACCGTCCCTGAGCGACATGGGGTGAAACCTGGCTGACTCCTGAGTTTTTTCAGGAGGTGGGGGACTTGGGATAGAAGACCTGCCTGGAGTGGTCTGGGGTAGTGAGAGGTGATTGTTAGCAATCTGTCTCATTTGCTTTACCCATTTACTTGCTTACCTAGCTGCCTTCCCATCCGTCTCTCTAATCTATTTACCCAACTACCTTCCTATCCCTCTCCATCTATCCATCTCCCTACATACCTACCTGTCATCCATCTATCTATCTACCTGTCTATCTATCTATCATCTATTTGTGTCTGTCTATCCACCGATCATCTATCTATCTTTCATGGTTCAAACTTTCCCTACGCTGGACCCAGTCCAAGGGCCTACAGGGCCTCTGCCACGTGAGATGGGGGGCAGGGCGGTTTCTGAATCCATGTGGCTCGGGAGCCAGACCTGGGTGGGAGATAAGGCTGGTGAGTCATCAGGTTCACAGATGAGCAGTTTCAAATAAGTGGAGTCACAGAATCTACGTGCTAAAAAAGCATCCCCCAGCCTTGAGGGAGCTGTGCATTTCCAGCGGGGTCCTGGGGATAATCATATCCCTGAAGACTTGATAAAGGTGTCTCCTGGGGCTGGAACCAGTTCTGACAGTCTTCTACCCTAAATTATACAGAAATGGCCCCGGTCCCAGGGCAAATCTCCCCCTCCCCCAAGCTTGACCAATGCACCTTGCAAAATACCCTGGGGAGCACCCCCAGGGTTCTGGGCTCTAGGCTCTGGCCTGTACCTCAGTGCTCTACTCTGAGCTGAATCTCCCATGGGCTGGCGTGGGGGGGAGGGCGGAGTCTGGAAATCACAGCCTTCCCTGGGTCGGGGGCAGCTTGCACAGGAGGGACGAGAGGTCCCGCTGCAGGCAGGCTCCACACTGCCTTTCCCATGTGTGTTCTTGGGAATAGTTAACGCTATTCAATTGATTTAACACTTAATTCTATTTGATATTTTCCCATTATTTAAAATGTACACGCCATTTTAAACCCTTTACAGATATTAACTCATTTGACTCTCATAACACCCTAGGAGGCAGTTTCTGTTCGCATCCCAGTTCTGTAGAGAAAAGCAGGCTCAGAGTGGGGAAGCCCCTGGGCTGAGATCACCCAGCTGGGATTGGGCCTGTTGCCCGTCTGAGGCCCCTGCCTACCTCCAGACAGCAAATCAGAGCCTGGGACTGCCTGCCAGGCTTCCTCTTGCAGCTGTGGTATTGATGGGGGTTGGGGGTGAAAGCAGGGAGGAGGTGCCATGATGGGCTGGGGTGCTGCGGGGCCTGTCTGGGTTGGGCCTCCTTGGCTGTGATGGTGAGCAGCTCCCTCCTCATTCAGCTGGCGAGGTCCCCAAGGCAGCCAAGGCGCCAGGCAGAGGATCTGACACCTCCCACAGCCGAGCTCTGATCTGAATCTGGCTCTGGAGCAGGGGTGAAACTGAACCCAGATGGGCCACCTCTGGCTTGCGTTGTGTACAGACTCCTGGCCCCACTTCTTGGCCCTGCCCAGGCCCCACTAGTGGTGGCCTTTTTGGAACCCAGAGAGCTTGTACCCACCTGGGGCTGTAGCCAGACTGGCCTCTGACTGGGCTCTGGGCGCCAGGATCCCCTGGGACCCCGGCCCCACCCTGCCATCTCTCAGGTGAGCCTCAGGGATCAGGTTCCTGTGGTTTCATGTCCTGCATTGTTCTTGGCTGGGCCCTGGCTTATGAAACAATAATGAGGGGCCCCTGCTCCCGCTGCCGGCCCCTCTAAGGTTTCCGCTGCCTTCGGCGCCACCACCACGGCCCAGAGTCAGGGCCTGGGAGGGCGGCAGCGTGGGGGCCTGAGCCCCCCGGGGATGAAGGTGCTGACAGCCGCCTGCCACTGAGGCCAGAACCAGCTGCCCAGGTAACCCGAGAGGAGGCAGGGTGCAGGGTGCAATGGCCACTGTCTCCCACCTCCAGGGGAGGACCCTGTCACCCTGGGAGGTGTGGGGAGGGATGGGGGGGCCTTCCCAGAGGTGAGCAGTCGTTCCCCCTGGGTGAGCTGGGCACCAGCCTTTGCAGGTGTGGCCTTGTGAGGGCAGGAGGGAGAGAGAAGCCAAGTCAGCTCTGGCCCCCACCCCGCCCCCAGGGCCTTGGCCCTCCAGGCCTGGATCCCCTGCCCCTCCTTGAGTAGGGCCAGTCTCTCCTTCCCGCCATGCTCTTACTTTCCACCTCCTGCTCCCTGAGTTCTCCCACCCGCTCGAGACCAGCTATTCCTCCCTTCCCACCCCCTGCCTCAGCCCTCTTCCTGCTGCAGCAGACCCTCCCCTACTCAGCACCCTCAGGCACCCGCCCCCGCACATGGGCCAGCACACGGACATACACTTACAGGCACTTGTTCCAACCCAGGCCTTGGTGCACCCCCCGGGGCGCGCCTGCATGTGCATGCCTGTGCACACATGTCTGCACCCCATACCTCTGCCAGCCCCCCACTTGGGTCCCAAGGGGCGCTTCCAGCCTGATGGACAGCTCTCCTTGAGAATGTGAGATCCCAGGAGGAGATGCCTGGAGACTCTCCACCGCCCCTTGGGGGGAGGCGCTGCCTAGGGGGAGGGGAGCCCCCACGTGGGCCAGGCGCTACCTCCTCTCTCCAATTCCCTCCCAGGAGCCCGGGAGCCCTCCAGGCACTGAGGTTCTCTACTGTGACCTGCCCTGTCGCCCGCCTGCCTCTGAGAACCCGCTGGGTACCTCAGCCTCCCACTGCCAGTCCGTGGTGGACTCGGGCCTTGGTCCAGGGCCGGAGAGGTAGGTAAGCTCTGGGGCCTAGGGGTGGCTTCCTGGATAGGACGCCCGCATCCAGCCCACCCTCCACCACGCCGCGTGTCCTGTGGTGGCTGCTCGTGTGGGTCACGTGGTCAGTCCACACATTCGGGCACTGGTGATACCCCCCGGTGGGAAGGCAGATCCATGACTTTTTCCTCAAAAGTAACGAGCTCAGGTCTGGAGCAGCCAGGCACCCACCCCGCCAAATGGGCATGGCCACGGCCCGCTCACGTTTCCTGTTTCCCTTGCGGTGCTTTAAAAGATTCAGCAGTTTTAGCAACCACGGCACCTCTTATCACCCACTAACCGGGTGGCTCCCGGCGCTGGACATCCCCCCATCCCTTGGGCCTGAGAGGAACAGAAGCCCCCCTTGGGGGCTCTGGTGCTGGACAACATGGCTGAGGGGCCAGAGACGTGGGGCCCAGCTCCCATCCCTGGTGGGCGGCGGGAGCATGGGCAAGTTAGTGCCTCTTTTATGCCTATTTTCCCTGTTTGAAGGATACGGGAGATTGACTCAAAGCAGCATCGCTCAGGAACGTGAGTGTCTCACAGGTGTTGTTTAGGCAAACAAAACAGCTGAGCTGGCCGCTGTGCTCAGGAAGCTGGGGGCCAACAAGCTGACGATACTGCAGGCGTGTGGGAGCCTTCGCTGCAGCCATGCTGTGGGCTTTTGGGTAGGGGAGGCCAGAGAGGAGGACAATAGGTCCTGGATGTCACTTTTAGGGGCATCACTGTGTCCGTCTTGTGGGCTAATCTGTGAGCCCCTCTTTGGGAACATTGCCAGCTCTCGGCTACCGTGGCCTGTGGCTACCCAGACTGGCATCTCTAATGCAGGGCTTCCTCCACTCCCTCCCGTGGCATCCAGGCTGGTGCCCTGTCCCTGCTCTGGGAGGCCTGCTTCCTCTCGAAGCCTCTTCTCAGCCCAGCATGAAGATTCTCCTTAGTCTCACTGAACTTGGGGTCTCCAGTGCCCTCAGTGACAGAGGGTTGGGGCTGGGGCCACAGCCCTGGTTCACACGAAGCTCTGCCTTTCCTAGCTCTGCCACCTGGCCGGTCCCTTGATGTCTCTGAGCCTCAGCTTCTCCATCTGTACAATGGGGATGATTACATTCACTTCTAAATAGGCTTAGGGGGTCCATGTAAGCCTCATGTCAACCACGTGAGCCTTCGTGCTGGCCCCCTTCAACTCCAAGTTTCAGCTCCCGGCCCCCACGTGAGCTGTGTGTGTGCTTGGACGGGGTGTTACTCCTCAGTTCTCACTACTTTTGGGGAAAAGTCACGGATCTGTCTCCTCTTCCAGGGGAGCATCGGCAGGGCTCCTCAAGGAGCACCCCACAACTGCCCCTGGGAGCAGGAGCCGGGAGCCCGAGGCAGTGCCCTATCTGGAGGGCCTGGCCTCCTCCCTGGGTGGCAGGCTCGACGAGGTCCCTGGCTCTGGCACCAGCTCCATCCCTGACTGTGACACCCCTGATGATACCAGCAACTCGTCCTCTGTGGTGAGCGGGGGCCGGTGGGGCACCAGAACAGATCACCCCTCTGTGACAGCTCTGGGATCCCCCCCCAGACTCTACACAAGGGCTGAGTATCTCACACCAGGGAACTGGGTCCAGGTTGTCCAGAGACTGAATCAGCACCTTGGCCTCCCAGGCCAGCCACCTAGGAGGAGCAGGGGTCTCTGCAGGGCCAGCCCCAGGGTGCTGAGGGCTGGCTGAAAAGGTGGAGGAGGGCATTTCAGCTGGCAGGGAGCTTGGGGGTGTCACCAGTGTACTCAGGCTGCCCCAAGTTCTCTCGCATAGAGGCCCGGATGGTGGGCGTGGGGTCCAGGGCAGGCCTAGGACTGGCTCTGGGCCTGTCTGATCATACATCACGGAGCCCAGGTGCCAGCTCGGGCACAGATCTCTGAGGGACAGGAAGGGGAGCAGGCCTTGGGGCCTGGTAAAGGCTGGGGGCCATTTAGCCAAGAGAAGAGGAGGCTTGGGAACTTCCTGGGCACTTGCAGCTCTAAGGGCTGTCACAGGGCAGGAGAGGCCAGCTCTCACTGAGGCCCCCGCGTCAGGGACAGAGGAGTGGTGGGGCTCAGAATGAAATAACCCAGCCCAGTGTCAAGGGTTCTGGAAGGTTCACCACCTCCCCCAGAGGCAGAGACGGGTATGGCCCCATTTTGGGGAAAGACGCCTAGGACTCAGAGCGGAAAGGCCACATTGTGTTGGTGGCAGGGCGGGGCTTGGAACTACTTCTGTCTGCACCTTGGGGTGTCTCTGGGACAAGGGCTACAATGCCAAGGCCCTCCTGCCACCTGCAGTGTGGCAGGCCCAGGTTCAGACCCCTCCTTATGAACCTTTCCCAGCCGCATGCTCAGCACAAGTCTTTGGCCCCGGCGGACCTGCCTGGCCTTGGGGTTGACAAAGTTGACACTTGGGGGTGCTGAGCTGACACCCGTAGGTGGCCCTGGGGCCTCTTCCTGCTCTGCACACATGCTTTGTCCTCCCCTGGCAGGGCTGGGACACTGTCGAGAGGCAGCAGGAGGCCCCGCACTGCAGCCTGCTCACCGTGATGATCCCGTGGCTGCCCCCAGAGGGGCCGAGAGCTGACAGTGCTCGCAGGGCTCCGTCTATCCTCGCCCGGCCCCCGGTGGGAGGAGACGCCACCGGTCAGAGGAAGGAGGGTGAGTCCTGGCCCAGGGGCTGGCCGTGGTGATGGCCAGCAACCTGGGGCCCAGAGAGCTGTCTCCCTGGCTATGTTGTGCTATGCTGTCTGCTTTCCATACACCCTCTCACAGCTGGTGGGCTAGGATCTTTTGGTTGTAAGTGATAGAAAATGATTGAACACAAGTAAACTGGGGTGCAACTTCAGGCATGGCTGGATCCAGGTGTTCAAAGAGCATCAGAAATCTGGTCTCTCTTTGCTTCCTTCTGTGTTGGCTTTAGTCTCAACCAGACCCTCCATGATAGTGGTCTGACGAGCAGCAGAAGTACCAGGCTGTGCCTTATCAGCTTGTCAACGCCCATAGAAGGACCGTACAGTCTTCCCAACAGATGCTGCTGAAGTGCCAGGAAGGGCTCTCCCTGGCACCCAACAAAGGGTGATCAGGGATGGGCTCAGCCTCCTGTGCAGACCTCAGGCCTGAGAGTGGGGGAGAGGAACATGCCCAGAGGAGACCAGGGCGATGAGGTCCCCAGGGAAAAGGAAGACTGCTGTTCAGACTGAGCCAGCAGGTGCCCACGGCCCAGGACAGCATCTTGCTGGCGTGTGAGCCCAGCCTGCTGGGCCCTCCCTCACTCCTGCCTCCTGTCTGTGTCTTCAGCAGTGTTGAAATTGGGGAATGTGGGGCCCTGGCTCCTGCAGCGGGGTTCAGTCCCCCAACACGAGCACTAACAGTAAAGCCTGGTGCTAACAGTAAAGCCTGAACACCGGGGTTTCTGGAAGAGTGAGACGTGACCCTTGCCCCAGAAAGCCCATCAGCGACAAAGCAAATGGACAGGAGGGGGCACACAGGACAGAGGACGAGCCGGGACATGTCCCACCTGTGAGCAAAGGGCTGGGTGAGGGTGGAGGCAAGAGGGGGGTCTGGGGGGGGGGAGCGAACCTGGCGCTGGAGCTGAGAACTGGGAGCATCCCGGTAAGAACAGCTTGACACAGATGGGGGCGCACAGTGGGGCCAGGTCTGCAGGGACTGAGGGCTCAGGCCTGGATCACAGGCTGATGTGAAATTCCTGGGTGAAAGTTGTTGGGGAGCAGGTAGTAACATGATCTCCCCTCAGATGACACATCAGTTACAGAGAGGGAAGGCACCCCAAGGAAGGGGAGGTCTGGCCTTGACCAAGTGGCCGTCCGCGTCCCAGCGCCAGCACAGCGGCATCGGCTTCCCCACTTACCTGAGCACGCAGCGCCTGACAGCGCAGACAAACCACCCTGGGGCAGGGGGTTGGTCTCCAATGACAGAGGCTACGGGAAGGGAAATGCCCTGTGTGAGCCTGGCCTGGTCCGGCAAAGGGAAAGCTGGAGCGTGCGACGGTTGGCACAGCCGCGCTTGGAGTAGGGGCTGCGTGCCCGGCTGCGGCTCCTGGGCGTGGGCAGGCGAGCAGACTGGCCTTGTTCTTAGGAGAAGCACATAGAAGGTTGGGGTGAAGAGTCTGACGTCGACTAACTGTGATATGGCCCAACGAGAGAGAGGGAAGTAGAAAGCGATAGAAAGATCGATGGATGAAAGAATAAAGTCAGGTAAACAAAGCAAATGAGACGAACTTAACTGGTGCCTCTGGGTGAAGGATAGATGCCAGGGTGACTGATTCCTGTTTTTCTAGCTTGCTGAAAAATCGCAGTAGCTCCCTGTGATTGTCCAGGTGAGAGAAGGGGCCGTCTGAATTAGGACCGTGGCTCTGGGGCAAGGAGGGGCCAGAAGAGAAGGTGGATTTGATGGGACTGGGGTCAGGAGGGCCCATGGCTCAGCTCCTGGCCTGGGGCTCTCGTGCCTGGGGTCCTTTTGCTGATAATAAGGACTGGGATGGCGGGGGAGACCGTGGGGAGGGGAGTCCCTCAATCTGAGTTTGTCCGCTTCATCGGGATCAGATGCAGGTGCCGCGTGTCTGGCAGGGAGTGGGGGGAACACAAGCAGTCCTGACTGTGCTGGGGAAGCATCCCCAGGAAGAGGTTTAGAGACTGGGGGTGCCAGCAAGAGGTCGGGGCTAGGATAGAGATTTGGGCATCTTTCGTGGAGAAGTGAGGTTCACTGGAGAACTCAGCAAACATTTACTGTTGCCCACAAGTTGCTGGGCTGCGAAAGGACCAGCAACACCGCCCTGTCCGGGGCTGCCTGGCATGTGCTGAGTAGTGCCTTGTGCGGCTTCCCTGATTTCACCCCAACAGAAGTCCATAGTGAGCTCGGGGGTCCCCTGGGCCCTCCTCTCCTGGTCCTCCTCCCTCCTCACTGGTCACCCTCACCTTCCTTTGCTGATGCCTCTGCCTCTGCTTGACCTTCATACCCTGGCTGCCCCGGCACCATCCCGGGCCCTCCGGACAAACCGCTCTCCATGGGGTGTGGCAGCACCCCACGCTCAACACAGCTCCCTCACTCGTTGGGTTAGCATTTACTGAGCAGCTGCTCTGAGCCGGGCTCTGTGCTGGAGAAGCCAGGGGAACAGGGTGGGCCAGGCCCACCCCCATGGAGCAGCAGCCCGAGCGCAAAGGCAGTGCCCACCCAGAAGGTGGTGCTGTGGGGGCGGTGGAGCAAGCGGCCGGGTGGGCTGGCAGGGCTTGTTGGCGAGGCGACGTGGCAGCTGAGATCTGAGTTCCGAAGCAGAGGGAACAGCCAGTGTGGAGGCCCTGAGGCATGCACAGAGGCAGCAATTTCAAGGAGCAGAAGGAAGGTGGGGTGCCGGGAGCTTCCTAGTGTGGGATAGAAGTGGAGGAGAGGCTGGTGCGGGATGCCACCAGCACCCTAGTCCCCCACCCCAACCTGGGTCTCCTGCAGTCTGCTCTGTCCTGCTGGTGGCTCAGATCCTAGTTATCAGGAGCCCTTTTTCCTCAACCATTTTACCCAACCAATAGCAGTTTTGGTTGACACCTCCAAAACACACTCCAAATCTGTCACACCCCAACTCCCTGGCCCAGCCACTGCTGCCCCGTGCTGGGGTTACTGCCAGAGCCTCCCTGTCCTGCTTCTGCCTGGCCCCTCCCTACCTCCTCCCAGCAGCTGGAGCCTCCTTTCAAAATATGAATCAGGTCTTGTCACTGCCCCCACCGGCCGCCCTACCCTCTCAGCCCTGGGGAGAGGCCGTGTGGGAAGAGGCAGTAACACAGGGAACCAAGTGGCTTCCGGCCTTGGTGGCGGGGACCGGCCGCGTTTGTACTTGACACCTGCCGTTTGCTCATAAACACAGGGGCCTGGGCTGCCTGAGCTTCACTAGGTGACCTGCTTGATCGAACGTAATTGCCACTGTCCGCCTGGTGGCAGGTCCCCAAATTGCAGGCAGGGGCTCAAGGCCCAGGAGGAATTAGCCAACTCCAAGATGTGAGGGCCCTTGGACACCCCTCTGGCAAGTCCAGTCTGCAGAGCCCAGCTGGTGAGGGCCAGCACCCCAACGGTCCTGGAGGAGTCTGAGGGGGTCTGTAGACCTGCCCTGTGCTCCCTTTTGGACCTCAGGAGTGAAGTTAGACCCTGGTTGGGCCAGGCTGAAAAGGGTGCTTGAGGCAGGTGGGAGTGGAAGCGGGCGGGGGGGAGCACGTGCAGGGTGGAAGCACTTTGCTAAGCAGGGAATTTCTCCGAAGTCAGTGACAGGAAGTAGCAAGTGGAAAGTCGGCTAGATGGTGCGCCTTCTCCCTGGGGTCACACAAATTTCAAATTTGCCCCCCACAAGTTTGCTCTTCTCTGACTTACCCATGGACCTCAGACTACATGACCGGCTGGCTCCGGAGGCCACCCCTGTCCGCAAGGCAGTCTGGGTTTCAGTGTCAAGTTCCTGACCCCAGCTGGAGAGAGGCGGCTATGCCCCAACAAACTGCATTGATCAGAGGGGTGCAATTACTTGCATGGATGGTGGGTCCCCTAGGAAGAGGATTTGGGGTTTTCCCCAATTGTCTATCCCAGGGGACAAAGAAAGGGAAGGTGTGAGAGCTGCTTGGGCCTCTCCCCTCCCCTGGGAACTTCCTCTTTTCTCTCCAGACACCAGCTGCGGGAGCCGAAGTCCCGGACGGCAGTTGGCGAAGCTCCGAGGAGAAGGTGGGTGCTTCTTGGAGCGGCACCAGTCAGCGCTGTCCCAGGCTTCCTCAGCAACTCCACAAAGTGGACCTCGAAGTGCCACCCCCCAGACTCCCTCTCTCTGCCACGCTGCTCAGAGGGACATCACGCAGGCTGCTTTCACACAGCTTGATGCACCCCGAGTCACCTCTCCCACCCAAAACGCCCAACGGGACAAGCCCAGGACCTTGTCCACCCATCAGGACACTCCCAGGACCTCTTCCACACGGCAGGACACCCCCAGAGCATCTTCTCCCTCAAGAATCACCCAAAGGGACAACCCCAGAACCTCGTCCACCCAACGAAACAATCCTCAACTTCCTTCTCCCCCTAGAACCATCCAACAGGACAGCTCCAGATCCTCGTCTACCCAACAGGATGACTCTCGGGCTTCTTTTCCCACACGTGCGCACCAGTGTGACAAGCCCAGAACCTCTGGCCCACGGGACAACCCCAGAGCCTCTTCCCCCAACAGAACCACCCAAAGGGAAAACTCCAGAACATCCTGTAGCCCACAGGACAACCCCAGAGCCTCCTCCCCCAACAGAACCATCCAAAAGGAAAACACTAGAACATCCTATGGCCCACGGGACAGTCCCAGAGCCTCCTCCCCCAACAGAACCATCCAAAAGGAAAACACTAGAACATCTTGTGGCCAATGGGACAACCCCAGAGCCTCCTCCCCCAACAGAACCATCCAAAAGGAAAACACTAGAACATCTTGTGGCCAATGGGACAACCCCAGAGCCTCCTCCCCTAACAGAACCACCCAAAGGGAAAACTCCAGAACATCCTATGGCCCACGGGACAACCCCAGAGCCTCCTCCCCTAACAGAACCACCCAAAGGGAAAACTCCAGAACATCCTGTGGCCCACGGGACAACCCCAGAGCCTCCTCCCCTAACAGAACCACCCAAAGGGAAAACTCCAGAACATCCTGTGGCCCACGGGACAACCCCAGAGCCTCCTCCCCTAACAGAACCACCCAAAGGGAAAACTCCAGAACATCCTGTGGCCCACGGGACAACCCCAGAGCCTCCTCCCCTAACAGAACCACCCAAAGGGAAAACTCCAGAACATCCTGTGGCCCACGGGACAACCCCAGAGCCTCCTCCCCCAACAGAACCATCCAAAGGGAAAACTCCAGAACATCCTGTGGCCCACGGGACAACCCCAGAGCCTCTTCCCCCAACAGAACCATCCAAAAGGAAAACACTAGAACATCCTGTGGCCAATGGGACAACTCCAGAGCTTCCTCCCCTAACAGAACCACCCAAAGGGAAAAATCCAGAACATCTTGCAGCCCACGGGACAACCCCAGAGCCTCCTCTCCCAACAGAACCATCCAAAAGGAAAACACTAGAACATCCTGTGGCCCACGGGACAACCCCAGAGCTTCCTCCCCCAACAGAACCACCCAACGGGATAACCCCTGGACTTCTTATAGTCAACAAAACCCCAGAAGCTCATCCACCCAACGGGAAAACCCTAAAGCTGCTTGTACCCAATGGGATAAACTTAGAGCCTCCTGTACCCAACAGGATAATCCTCGATCTGCTTCCTCTCGACGGGACAAGCCTGGGACCTCCTCCCCTCAGTGCTGCACCCAACAGAGCAACCCTGGGACAGCCTCTCCCCACCGTTCTCAGCGGGGCAATCCCAGGAATTCCTCTCCCCATCGCACTAACAAGGACATCCCCTGGGCCTCCTTCCCCCTCCGGCCGACCCAGAGTGATGGCCCCCGATCCTCTTCCCCATCTCGTTCCAAGCCAAGCGAGGTCCCCTGGGCATCCATCGCCCTCCGGCCAACCCAAGGGGAGAGACCGCAGACCTCATCTCCCACTAGGGTGGGCCCGCCCTCCTCCGGCCCTTCGCAGCAGAACTCACCATCCCGGACCGCCTCCTCCTCCCTTAACCCAGGCCAGCATGGCACCTCCCGGACTTCCTCACCTCTATACCCCACCCTCCGCGGGGCTCCCCAGCCCTCTTCTGAGCCCGCTCAGGCCCCATGTGCTGTGTGCATCGGGCACAGGGATGCCCCCCGGGCCTCTTCGCCTCCACGATATTTGCAACATGACCCCTTCCCCTTCTTCCCAGACCCCCACGTGTCAGAGAGTGAATCGCCCCACCATGACCCTCCCTATATGCCCCCAGCTGTGTGCATTGGACACCGGGATGCCCCCCGGGCTTCCTCGCCACCCCGTCACACCCAGTTTGACCCCTTCCCCTTCCTCCCAGACACATCAGATGCTGAGGACCAGCCCCCCCAGCATGACCCTCCTCTGTTCCCCCCACCTGTGTGTATTGGGTACCGTGATGCACCCCGGGCCTCCTCCCCACCACGCCAGACCCCAGAGCCCTCCCTCTTACTCCAGGATCTCCCCAGGGCTAGTACTGAGAGCCTTGCCCCCTCCACAGACTCTCTACATGAGCCCCCCCACATCCCCACCCCTGTGTGCATCGGGCACCGGGATGCACCCTACTTCTCGTCCCCACCACGCCAGGTCCCCGAGCCCTCCCTGTTTTTCCAGGACCATCCCGGGACCAGCATGGAGAGCCTGGCCCCCTCCATCGACTCTCTGCATGGCTCCACCATGCTGCCCCCTCAAGTGTGCATCGGGCACCGGGATGCCCCCCGAGCCTCCTCCCCACCCCGCCACCCACCCAGTGACCTAGCATTCCTGGCATCCTCACCACCACCAGGCAGCTCCGGGGGCTCCAGGGGCTCAGTACCCCCCGGGGAGACCAGGCACAACTTGGAGAGGGAGGAGTACTCCATGCTGGCCGACCTGCCCCCGCCCAGGAGGCTGGCGCAGAGGGAGCCAGGCCCCCAGTGCAGCAATGGGGGCCGCACCCGCAGCCCCGGCCGCGCAGAGGTGGAGCGCCTCTTCGGGCAAGAGCGCAGGTGAGCCCAGGGCCCGTCAGCCAGGTGGGCTGGGGAGGAGGCTGGGCAGCAGGACAGGTGCACGGTTCACAGGCTTAGGCTGTCAGACAGAAAGTGTTCAGACCTCGCCGGCCACCTGCCGGCCGTGTGACTGTGGGCAAGTCACTTCTCTGTTTCCACATTACGAATTTTTTTGACCACTGTGTATTTTGTGCATTGCCTCATGACTAAGAGGCAGGGGGTTCAAATCCCCAACCTGCGTGACCTGGTAAAGTGATTTAATATACGGGAGCCTCAGTTTCCTCATCTGTAAAATGGGGAGCATGTCAGTACATTAACGTGAGCGAGGTTAACTCTCACACCCTTTGTTTGATCCAGAATCACAGTTTATTTTGGTTTTTCCTCCTCACACCAGGAAGATGAACGTGCCCATGAATCTTTTCTGCCTTAACAAAGAAAGTGCACAGGTCCCAGGCCTTTCAGAAACAGTTGATTTAAAATGTATGCCCAGGGCCTCCCCGGTGGCGCAGCGGTTGAGCGCTGGGTTGCGAAGCTGCCCGCAGCCTCTGTGGCGCCGGTTCGATCCCCGGCTGCTCCCCGGCCACTGGAGGAGGGTCCCACATGGCGCGCAGACCTCTCCTGCCGCCCACTGCTCCCCTCAGCAGTGTACTTTGGTCCTTCTGCCTGCTCTGCTCCCCGCTCTGGCTCTGGTGAATTCTCTCACCCTCCCGCGCTTCTGACTGTACCCAGTGCATGTATAAACAAAACAAACAAACAAATAAATAAATAAATAAGCATGCCTCTATTAAAAAAAAAAAATAAAAAAAATAAAATGTATGCCCAGAGGCACGTATTTTAAGTAAGAAAACTCAGACTTTCTCGAGGTTAAATGTTACTTTCCTAGGACATGGTGACAACCTGCAGGTCAGGTGCCCTGGGCATCCCCAGTCCTTGTCACGGGCCCAGCGCAGGTGTCCCCACCCAGCAGGACATCTGCTTCTCAGCTGCTGCAGAAAGGGGACACTTTGTTCATCTGCCTGGAATTTCTTTCTCCTGCAGCCCCAGCCTCAGAGTTTTCAAGGATCAGGCCTGGAATTCCACCAGCAAGGTTCAAAAGAACATTAAAAAAGGTCTGAAAGTCTCAAAACTTTCAGTGGACAATTTCGTGACTTGCATGAGCGCAGGGTGTGGCTACATCACCACCCAGTTTCAGAACATTCCCATCACCCTAGAGGCCTCCTCATAGTTTGCATCTCAAATTCCTCTCTTTGTTGCCCCCTCAGGCAACATTTTCTCTTAGATTTGAATCTGCCTGAGAAACCTTAGCTCTTATTCTTCAAGTTTCCTTTTCCAGTAAATTCGATCCATCTATACTGTCCAGGTGACAACCTTGTGTTCGCCAGCATTCACTCAATTCTTTATTTAGCCTTTTAAAAAAATATATAGTTAATTAATTTATTTATTTATACATACAAGCACTGGGTACAGTAAGAAGCGCGGGAGGGTGAGAGAATTCACCAGAGCCAGAGCGGGGAGCAGAGCAGGCAGAAGGACCGAAGTACTCTGCTGAGGGGAGCAGCGGGCGGCAGGAGAGGTCTGCGCGCCATGTGGGACCCTCCTCTGGTGGCCAGGGAGCAGCCGGGGATCGAACTGGTGCTGCAGAGGCTGCGGGCAGCTTCGCAACCCTGCGCTCAACCGCTGCGCCACCGGGGAGGCCCTATATAGTTAATTTTTTAAAGAGTAGTTTGTGACTCACAGAAATATTGAATGGGAAGTACACAGGGTTCCCATATGCTGCCTGCTCCCCTGATCTCCAACAGTTTCTCCTACTATCAACTTTCCCCCACCCCTGCCCAGTGGTCCATGTGTTGTAAGCCATGGACCAACACTGACCATTAGTTGATCATTACCATGTGATTATCATTAGTTTCCATTAGGGTAGACTCCTGGGGGTGTACACCCCGTGGATTTGGATAAATGGGTAATGCCATGTATCCGCCATTATAGTATCCGAGAATTGTTTCACTGCCCTAAAAATTCCTTTGTTTTTAGCCTTATTATGATTATTATTTTTGGTAGCATAGATTTGCATATCTTGGACGTTGTCTGATAATTGAGAAGGGCTTATAACAGAAGGGACAGGTTTCTGCATTTAATTGCATTTACACAATTACATCTATTCATTTTGTCTTACTCTTTGTCTCCATTGGCAAAAATTTTTTTTAAAAAAATAAGTTATTTACCTCTTTATAAGCTTTCCTGACATTTAATTGATACACCAAAAATTGTATATGTTTGATGTATACATTTTGGTGATGTGGATTATTTTCCTTTTAACCAAGATTTTATAATTCTACTGAGTAATGAATTTTTTCCTCTTTATGGCACTTTTTTTCCGAGTAGAAACACTACTAAGAATTCATCCTTTGAAGATGATTTTTTTTTTAAAGATTTATTTATTTGCACAAGAACCGGGGTACAGGCCAGATGTGCGGGAGGGTGAGAGGATTCACCAGAGACACAGCAGGGAACAGAACAGGCAGACTGATGAAATACACTGCTGAGGGGAGCAACAGGCACAACAGGAGAGGTCTGCTATGCCATGTGGGACACTCGCCGGCGCTGCAGAGGCTGCAGACAGCTTCACAGCGCTGCGTTCAACTGCCTGCGCCACCAGGGGAGGCCCCTTTGAAGATGATTTTTAAAAAAGATTTATTTATTTATGCATACAAGAGCTGGGGTACAGGCCAGAGGTGCTGGGGGTGGTGAGAGGATTCACCAGAGACAGAGTGGGGTGCAGAACAGGCAGATTGACTGAAACACGCTGCTGAGGGACCAGTGGGTGAGATAGGAGAGGTCTGCTGTGCCAAGTGAGTCAGCTCCCTGGCCGGGCATCAAACTCATGCTGCAGTAGCTGTGGATAGCTTCATAGTGCTAAGACTTAACTCCTTGAGCCACCAGGGAGGCTCCATCACTACTCATTTTTAATCAATGGGAACAAGAGACTTTTTAAATTAAGAGGGTCTGTCTATCAGATGTGGCCACCAGGCCTGAAGTCCGGGGTCTTAGGGATATCATCTGCATGGACAGTGCACAGTGGCCTTTCTAGAGTTGTGTAGGAAGAGAGGATGTTTCTTTCTTCCTTCTGGTCTTGCCCAGAGCTCTTTTACGGACAGCTGGGGTGAGCTAGAGTTTCCAGGCTGGAATCCTATGAGTATTGAGGGGGAGTAGGGGAGCCGAGAAAATCCCAAACCTGCCGTATGGACAGGAAGAGGGCAGGAGAGGAAGTGGGGGCACATTACAGGCCGCTTCTGCACATGGGTTCCATGAGGTGAAATGTGGTGGGTGAGTCTCTGGCCGCAGGAACCTAAAGCGCTCCATAAATGTGTGCAGTGCCTGGCACACATTAGGTGCTCAGCACACAGTAGGTGCTCAATAAACCTCAATTCCCACAAAGACCAGTCTAACCTTTGTCTGGGGGTGACTGGTGGGTGACTGATGGGGCAGCGGTCAGAAACAGGAAATACTGGTGAAATAGGAGACTGCCAGGGCAAGGTTACACCCCCCCCACCTTGTGTCACCCCTTTTCTCATTTCTTTTCTTTTTTTTTTTTTCTTTTTTTATTTATACAAGCACTGGGTACAGTCAGAAGCGCGGGAGGGTGAGAGAATTCACCAGAGCCAGAGCAGGGAGCAGAGCAGGCAGAAGGACCGAAGTACACTGCTGAGGGGAGCAGCGGGTGGCAGGAGAGGTCTGCGCGCCATGTGGGACCCTCCTCTGGTGGCCGGGGAGCAGCCGGGGATCGAACCGGTGCTGCAGAGGCTGCGGGCAGCTTCGCAACCCAGCGCTCAACCGCTGCGCCACCAGGGAGGCCCTTTTCTCATTTCATTTTTGCAAGAGCCCCAAGAGGCAGGTAGACTAGAATGGTGTCAACAACCTCCATTTTTCAGAAAGGGAAACTGAGGCCCCAAGAGGATCATCATGCACTTAGCATCCTCCACTGAGCTTGTGGCGGGTCCCTGCATCTCCCACATGTCCTGCGGGGGTGGGAGTCGAGAGCTGGGAGTTGGGGAGTGGGACAGTCCCAAGGGCCCTCAGAGGGGCGACTGCATTTGCTCACAGGAAATCCGAGGCACCGGGGGCCTTCCAGGCCCGGGACGAGGGGCAGTCACAGCGGCCCAGCCAAGGTCAGAGCCAACTTCTCAGAAGACAATCCAGCCCTGCCCTCAGCAGGGAGGTGAGCACTGCCAGCCTGTCCTGTGCCCCTGTGCTCTTAAGGGGGAGCCACTGCTTCTCCCCAACCCAAGGTAGGCAGGGGTCCCAGAAAGGGAGGCCCTTATGAAGGGTGGGAGGCACAGGAGGGCATCCTGCATCCGCCTCTCCCAGAGACCAGCAACTCTTGGCAGATTTGAGAAGGACTCCAAGTTAGTCTTTTGAAAACAGCCCTTCTGTGCCATCCCCCGCCTTCTGGAGGGACCTGCCGTTTAGGGAGTTTCCTGGAAAAGCCTGGGACACCTCAGGCCCGTTGTAAGGGCTCTCTCTTCCGGGGTGGGGATTTGTTCTTTTAAAGAACCTCTTGGAGGCTGGGCCCACCCAGTGGAATGGCGTGTGGGGGGGAAGTACCTGACAGCCCACCTTGGAATCAGCATCTTGGGCCGGAAGCTAGCAGCTCTCTGCCCTTGTCTTGCTGAGAAAGTGGGTGAGGGGGAAGAGCTGCCGCCCACAGGGAGGGAACCCCCAATCCTGGTGCTTTTTGACCTGCTTTAATCCAGGCTGCTCTGGGACACAGATTGTTCCTCCCGGGGCCTAGGCGCGGCCCCCAGCTTCCAGAGGCCACCCTGCTGGAGACCTGAAGACTCACTCACTTCCTTGCCTTGTCCTCAGGTTACCAAGACCCCAGTGAAGCAGGCAGCACCAGCCCGACGGAGCCAAGGAGATCCCCCTCCTTCCAGGAGCCCCGAGAGGCGGCCTGAGGGGAACCAGCGGCTTCAAACGTCCTCTCAGCCCCCCAGGACATCAGCCAGGACCCCTGAGAGGGAGCAGCAGATGGAGAAACCTCTGGAGAGAGGCCGTGCAGGCCCAAGACAGTCTCTGGGAGGATGGCGGAGTCAGGAGGAGCTCCCAGGCTCCCGGGGCCCTCACAGACACCTGGAGAAAAGTGGGAGCAGCCAGGAGGAGGGCCCCGGCCTGGGGGGCTGGCAAGGACTGGAGAAACCCATACGGGGGGCTGCCAGAGCCCTGGAGGGCACCTGGGGGGATCTTCCCAAGGAGTCTGAGGAGAGCTGGGGGCAGCTGTGTGGCTCCCTCAGCCATGGGGGGCAGTCAGAGCCCTGGGAGGAGCCCCCCAGTAACGGGCTGCGGGAGTCTCCCAACAGGCCCGCTCAGAGGGGGTGGGGCAGCCTACAGGAGCTGTCTAGTCCTCACCAGCCCAACAGCCCCACAGAGAACTCCAGTATACACCTCGCGGGGTTCTCAAAATCCCTGCAGCCTGAGACACCCACTGCTGAGGACCAGGGGGCCGAGGGAGAGGGCCCACACCTGCAGGGTCCCAAGAGGCAACCTGAGCTGGACTGGAGGGACCTGGCAGGCCTTCTCAGGGAGCAAACGCTTGCCTCCCATCTCCCAAGGCAGTACTGGGAAGGCCTCCTGGAGCTCTTGCAGGCCCAACGGCCCCGCAAGGACCCAGCCGGACACTGGGGTGGCCTGACCATGGTTTCAGGGCCAGAACTGGATTCCCTGGGCCCAAGTGGTGCTTTGGAGCAAGAGCAACACCACCAACCTGAGGGCTGGGCCCAGGCCACCCTAGTCAATGGACACAGCCCGGGCCAGGGGCCTCAGAGCTCAGCCCAGCCTCCCAGATCTGCCTGCACCTCCACCCAGTGGCCAAAGACCAAAGTGACAAGCGGACCTGAGACCTCAACTCTGCCTGGTCTGGAAGAGAGCGGCCAGCTGGGACGCAGGAGCCCTGCAGGGGGCCCCAGCTCTCCAGAGAGGAAGGTAAGTCAGTCTTCCCTCTAAGAGGCAGTGGGGAAGTCAGCCCCGCCAGATGCAGATAAGCATCCTAGGAAAGGCCTCCCCTCAGCGCCTGCATGTGTGCTGAGACTCGGCCCTAACGCCCTCCTTGCCCCAAACCTTCCCCACCAGCAGGAAGGTGACCAGCCAGCACTCTCTGGGGCTTTTACTGTGTGCTGAGTCCTGGTCTGAAATACTTTGTGGTTATCCTCCGTTCCCCCCTTTAATGTCCATAGCCATCTGATGAGAAACACATTGAGACTCAGAGAGGTGAAGCCACTTGCCCGGGTGCACATAGCCCCTAAGGACTGGGGCATGGTGAACGTAAAGGCCCTGGTCCTGGACCTTTTCCCCTTGAAGCGCCCACCTGGTTCGTGTTGCTCCTCCCTGACGCTGCCTGGCCTGCAGCCAATAGGCCGGCTCCCCTCCCCCTGCTGCAGTCTAAGTTCCTCAAGGTCCAGGACAGCCTTGCTTACCCCTTTTGGGCCCCTCCAGCTCCCCTCAGACACAGGGAGGAGGCTCCATAACTGTTCACTTGGTCGAGCTGGCTGCTGAGACCGGCTGCTCACATGAGTCTCACGGACAAAGGCCCGGTGCTGGACACTTAGTAGGTGCTCGCCCAGCCCCTTCCCTGCCTCCTTGGCCCAGGTGCCAGGTCGCAGAGGCAGTGGCGCTGTGGTGCCACACACCTAGAGCCTCTATCTGCAGATGGGTGAGAGGAGCCCAGGACTCCGCTGCCGGGCCTGGGCACCCGGGATGCCCTGCGCACTTCGAGACGCCAGCTTCTCTTGGTCCTGGTCTTGCCCAGTACAGTGGGGCCAGGCTCCTCCCTGAGGAGTTAAAATAGGGTGACGGGGGTGGGGAGGGAGCACTGGGTGCTTCAGGGGCACTGCAAAAGACATAGCATTGGTTTTTTTTGGTTTGTTTTTTTAAAGATTTATTTATTTATACAAGAACTGGAGTACAGGTCAGAGGCGCGGGAGGGTGAGAGAATTCACCAGAGACAGAGCAGGGAACAGAACAGGCAGACGGACCAATGACACTACTGAGGGGAGCAGTGGGCGAGGCAGGAGAGGTCTGCTCCCCCATGTGGGTTTCTCCCTGGCTGGCAGGGAATTGAACCTGCACTGCAGAGGCTGTGAACAGCGGGATGTGCTCAACCCGCTGCACCACCATGGAGGCCCAAAAGACATAGCATTGGTTTCTTAAAGATTTATTTATTTATGCATACAAGAGCTGGGGTACAGGCCAGAGATGCAGGGGGTGAGAGGATCCACCAGAGACAGAGTGGGGAGCAGAACAGGCAGATTGACTGAAATACACTGCTGAGGGGAGCAGCAGGCAAGGCAGGAGAGGTCTGCTGTGCCATGTGGGTCTCTCCCTGGCCAGCAGAGGATCGAACTCATGCTGCAGAGGCTTCAGATTGCTTCATAGTGCAGTGCTTAACCCCTTGCGCCATCAGGGATGCCCAGAAGACATAGCATTGGCAGGACCTCTGGGTGCCAATTGCTCGCCCAGCATGAAAATCCTTGGCCTGCCTCGCAAGCCTCCTTTCCTTCCACCCCAGATTTTCCCTCCAGTTGTGCTGAGCTGGCTGCAGAGCCCTCGCACACATTTCCTGCCTTTGCACATGCTGTTCCCATGGCCCAAGATGCTCTTCCCTTCCTTCTTTGCCCACCAAGTCCAAGTCCTAAAGCAGATGCTCTGTTCTGAGAATCATCCCTGAATATTCTTTTCCCCAGGCAGGTGATGTCCCTCTTCTGGGCTTGGTGGTCCTGCTCCCCTCCATGTGGGCACAGTCCTCATTTCCCCATAAGAAACGCGGGCTCCGCTGGGCAGGAGCTGTGCCTACTTATCTCCGTCTCCTGCCCTCACTGGCCCAGGACTTGACAAGGAGGAGCTCAGTTCAGGGGATGGATGAACAGTGAATGCGTGGATGCTTGAGTGCCCCCGGGAACAGATGCAGGATGGGTGGGTCAGTGGGCAGATGATGGCTGAATGGCAGACATCGGATGTGTGAGCGAATGGATTATAAATAAATCATCTATATTGGACAAATGATAAGTAGATGTTGGATGAATGATAGAAGGGTGGATGAATGACCGACAGATAATGAGTGTGCAATAGATGAATGTTGCTTAGATGGTTTGACGAACACATGGATGAATGTTGGGTAGAATATGGACGGGTGGATGTTACACGGATGGGCAAATGTGGACTAGGGGGGATGGACTGTGAATGAATGTTGGATGGACAGATGGGTGTTGGATGGATTGAGGAAGGATACATGGATGTAGGATGGACGGATGATGAATAAATAGGAAATGGATGTCTAATGGATAGACGAGGGGGTGGATAATGCCCTGCGGATGCTGGGTGGTAGGATGGATAACATGAATCTATTGAGGCTGGATGAAAGGACGCGGAATTGATGGATGAGAAGGTAAATAGATGAATGGACCCGGGGGAATAACTTGGACTAAGCTGTGCTCTTTCTTATCTCCAGTTCCAATCAGAGGCGCCTGAGGAGTCAGACCCCAGCAGAGGCCAAGACTCACTGACGGATCAGAAGCTGGCAGACTCGGTAGCTGGGTCATGGGTGTGGGCATGTAGGGAGGGGAAGGGAAGGGCTGGGAAGTCAGGTCAGAGGTGGGTGGAGGTCCTCAAAGAAGCTCTGGGATCACCCACGCCACAGTTATCTCTGCCATGGGGCCATCTGTGTGCAGGGGCGGGGGTGGGGTGGGGTGGGTGGCAGTGGGGAAGGGGGTTGAGAAGAGAGTCTCTGGAGGAGCTGGGCAGAAGAGCCACCTTCTGGCTTAGGGGGCCTGTGGGTGAATGCTGTTGGGGTCAGAAGCCCAGGCCTTTACTTCTAACTTGCTAGCCTGCCCTGAAAATGGTTCTGCTTTTCCCTGGGCAAATGGCAATTTGGCCCCGATGGTCTCAAAAGGAAAGATCCTTTGGTTTTGAAGGGCCGGCTAGGCTGGGAGAAGAGGTAGGGCTTCCAGGAGCTGGAGCCAAAGAAGCAAAGAGGGATGAGGAGATGGCACAGCCAGCTGGGCCTGGAGAGCCTCCTGGGGCGGGAGAGAGGTGTGCGGCCCACTGAGGCTGCCCAGAGGCCTGGCGTCAGCTGGAACATAGCACTCTGCCCCACCCCTCCCAAGACCAGCCAGACACACTGTTCTCATCACCCTCAGCCTCCAGAGAGGTGAGGTCAGAGCCGAGGCCTCGGGGCAGCGGGAGGAGACTGGCTGGTTGGGGCTGTGCTTTCCTCCCCCAGCTGTTCCCTGTGCTGCCTTCTGAGAAGCCAGGTGTGTGTGTGTGGGGGGGGGGCATCTGGGGGTCTGGAACCCTGACATCTGCCCCTGCTGGGGTAGTCAGAGCTGGGGGATTCCGCCCAGTCCCTCCCTGGGGGGTAAGGGAGCCATCCCAGGGTGCACAGTTCATGGGCAGCTGGACTCAAACTAGAGCCCAGGTTCGGGAATCCCCACCCAGTGCTCTCTGATCCCCCCCACGCTGCTCTGGGCTGGTCTGCTGGGCCTCGAGCCACAGCCCTCCCCTCTGTGGAGCGGGAGGGGACAGGCCACCAAGGTGCTTCCAGTTCTCATGGGCGCTCCGGCAACTGCTCTTCCTCTTTCTGGGGTATTTCCTCATACTTCCTGGAGGCAGACTTTGAGAACAAAGAGGAAATAGCAATACAGGGGTCCCCTTCTGGTCTCCACAAAATGGGCCCACCCCAGCAGCACAGAAAACCCCCATCCTGCCCTCCCCCCAGCCCCGCCCCAGGCTGCCTGGACAGAACTGATCATGGCCGCCTTCATTCATTCACTTCCCACTCACACGCGCGGTGCCCTCCGCACGCCTGGCTGTGGGCTGCTTTGAACTGGAGCGCCAGCATGGGCCAGCCGGGGCCCAGTGGTCAAAGCCGGTGGGGGGTGCCCTCTGGGACTGCTGAGATCTGCCTGTGCCACCTCTGGAGAGTGTCTGCGTTGAGGGAGCTGGGACCCGTGGGCTGGGGCTGCCTCTGCCGCTAACCTGCTCCGTGATGCGGGGCAAAGCCTCTGCCTCACTGGGCCTCAGTTTTCCCAATAAGCCTGACTCCAAAGGGGGTGCATTTGGGCGGGGGCTGTAGCATCTGTGAGGCTGTTGTCATGGGGAAGAGGAGGCAGAGATTCCACACCTGTAGATATTTCCAGAGACACGAGATACACGTAGCCTCTTGGTGGTACCCTCTTGGTGTTACTTAAAGCAAAATGGTCTGAAAACCCTAAATGGAGTGAACACACAGCTGAGGTCTGCCCTCCCCCTGCCTCACCACTGGCCACCTGTGGCTAGACTCAAGGGGTGACCCCAAGGGTGCTGAGTCCAGGGACCCTGGCGGCCCAACCCACGTAGCCTGCAGGCATCACGAGCTCTTTGCGCAGCCGCCCTGGGAGAGGAGGAAGAGGGAAGCCCTGACCTTGGGGGAGACGTGGCAGATGGTGGGGGTGGGGGGGCTGTAGTCAGGGACTCCCCCACCCCACTCTAGAGGGACCTGGGGGCCAACCTGGACCCTGTTTGACAGGCAGACAAGAGGCCAGCGGAGGGCAAGGCTGGGCGCCCGCTCAAGAGCCGGCTGGTGAGCTCGTGGCGGATGCCCGGGGACCGTCCCACGCTGTTCAATCCGTTCCTGCTGTCTCTGGGGGTCCTCACTTGGCAAAGGGTAGGCTGGCTCCAGCTGGGCTGGGGGACGGGGTAGGGGAGGATGGGCAGCAAGAGGGAGGGGGGAGTTGGTGTTAGTTAAAGAAGAGAGTGGGGTTGGGAGGGAGGGCTGAGGGCCCCCCCACGAGAAAGGAGAGATGGCAGCAAGGGTCCTAGGCACCCTTGGTTTCTGCCAGTGAGCAGGATTGCCTACCTGCAGGGCAGGGCTGAGGGCTGTTTCTGGCTTTCAGAGTGAGGGGCGATTGAATAAGTTGCGCAGCTGAAAGCTCCCATCATCAAGGGGGGCCGGGGAGCCAGGTTGGGGGGAGGGGGACAGAAAGGGAGGGCCTGGAGGGGCTCTGGGATTGCAAAGTGTGTCTCAGACCTGGGCCTGAGCCAGTTGCATAAACATCTGGCATTACGTAACCCATCCCCTGCCCAGAGAGGGTTGTAAACACTCCGGCCTCCGGTTCTGGGGTTTCCTCCAGGGCAGGGAGGGGAGGTGCTGTGACTTGTTCCCTCCTGCCCCCTTCACAGCCAGAGGGAAGGGGTCTGTCTATCTCCAGGGGCACAGGGCTGCCGAGGTCTCTTTGCTGGGACTGACTCGCATACTCTCTGGATCCAGCAAGGCTGGACAGGTCAGGGAGAGGCTCAGGTTGGTGCGTGGACTTGCCCGAGGCCGCAGCTAGGGTTCAGAGGCGCCAGCCTCCTGCGATTCCCCTCCTTCCTGGATGGGAGAACAGCTGCAGCCACACTCCCAGTCTCAGCACCACATCTCTCCAACCGGGAAAAGCCTCAGGGTGGCAGGAGGGCTCAGGGAGTCAGGCTGCCGGGGGTGTGGTGAGGGGGGTATCCGGACACGAACTTCCCTTCCGGTGCACTTCAGTTTCCCCTCCGCTTCGCTTTGGGGGTTAAGGCTAAGGGTGATCAGGCAAACACAGTTATCTGGCAGGGTGCTACCTTAAAATCATGGGCGGGAATTACCTTATCAGACTAACTAAAGGTCACCAACATGCACACTGGGCAGGAGGGGGGGCAGGTAAGTCCTGGGCAGAGAAGGAGTCCTGGCAGGAAATGGGGGAAGAGCTCTAGAACGGGCGAGGCTGATTGGCATTACTATGAGCCGAGATGTGCTCCGTGCCCATGCCATGCATGCCACCTGGCTGGTTTTACCCTCGCCACCAGCTGCCCAGGGGCAGTTCAGTCGCCCATCTCACAGCAGGAAATGAACTGGGTGAGCAGGGGGCAGAGCTGAGATTCCAGTCCTGCTCTGGCTGCACTCAGAACCCCACATCCCCATGCATGCTGGTCTCCCTGAGCCCTCCGTGCAGCCCAGAGAGTCTGCATGACCCCCCCATTAGGCAGATTGGCAGCTGAGGCTCCGTGAGTTTGCAGCCATGCTCTCACCTGGGAAGGAGGAAGCTGGGAGCCCAGGGGCCAAACCAGAGGCCAAAACACCAGCAGAGCCTACCAGTTACTTAGAGCAGATGCAAATACTTCTCGGTTGGATGGTGAAATTAGTCGAAGGTCAAGAGCCAGGAAGCCTGGGCTTGAGCTCTGTCTCTGCCCCTCGCTCTCGGGACTTTGGGCCTTGGTCTCCCTTCTCTGAGTGTCACCTTGTAATCCTCAGTAGAGTCATAGTTTGAGGCTGGACGACCCCAGGGCTTGGCGGCTCAGTTGAATCCCTCGTTCCCGGTGCCGGGGCTCGCTCTGCCAGTCTCAGGGCCTGCGGTGGGCGGTGGGCGGTGGGCGGTGGGCGGCATTCCTCCCCAGGGGCAGGCCTTCATTGACTAATATTTGCTTAGGAGTTATTCCACCAAGGCCTTGTGCTGACCTCTGAGATAGAGACAAAGAACACTCCACCCCTGCCCACAAGAAGCTCACAATTCGGTGAGCACCTGCCACGCAGCTGGTCAGAGCGGCGCTACGGCTCTAGTGGGGCAACGTACTGAGGATGCAGGGAGCGCCAGGCTGGGAGTCTAATGCAGGGAACCCCACGCAAGGAGAGTCCAGCCCTGTGCTGGGAGCACTTTGGCAGCCTTTGGACTGAGACTTGAGAGGGGGAGGGGGGTTCCCAAACATTTGGAGGGGAGGGAGGGTGAGAAAGAGAAAGGGAAAGCGGAGACTTGAGCGAGTTGGGTTGGGACACGGAGGACAGGAAGGGAAGTGTTCCCACCGCACAGAGAACAGCATGTGCAGTCAGGGAGGACAAAGGACCTGGCTGATGCCGGGAGCTTCTGGTTGTCCAGCGTGTGTATGCCTTGCATGTAAAACGTGTGTATCGTGATGCAGGGCAGCAGGCCGGGGCCAGCTGGTGACAGGGGCAGGCTGCCTGGACCGCTGTTAGCACTGGAGGCGTCTGAGCAGGGGAGTGGTCTGATTACTGGACTGGGGGAACCCGAAGGGGGGTCCTAGAGGCCAGGAAACCAGCAGCGGGGCTGGTGCCCAGGCCTCTGGTGGTGGGTGAGGTCTTGCTCACTCATGCTCTCAAGGATTGAACCCGGAGTTAGGTACAGGAGAGGGCAGGAAAACAGCGAGGGAAGCCAGAAGGCCATGTCTAGAAGATGGATGCAGCTTGGCTTCATTTCTCAGGGTGAAGGTGAGACTTCCCAGTGGGAAGTGCTGGAAAAGTCCCTCAGCTTCTTGCGCCTGCATTTCTTTACCCAGGAAGCAGGGAATACAATTATAATTACGATAGCAAAATTCTTGAACCCCAAACCAAGAGGGCAGAATAGTTCAAATGGCAATTACTCCAAACTCACCTGCCCCTTACCTAAGGATATGCATTAGGGCAAGGGGTAGGGTGTTCTGGGTGCTTTCCACTCAATCCTCAGGACTACCCCACGCGGGAAGAGTAGTATCCCATTTTACAGGTTGAGTTGAGAGGGTAAGTAACTTGCTTAAGGTGACAGTGGGAGAGAATCACTATGCTGCATGCATTTAGCTCCAGAGTCTGCCAAGGTCCCTTCAAACTTCCACGTGTTCTGGGAATGAGAGACAGCACCAAAGGAGGTGGTTAAGTGGGAACCCCTTTGTGAGGAGGGGACTTTGGGGGGAGACCCTACTATTCCAGAACTCTCGATGTGCATAGATTCTGTGTCAGAAATCTCGCCTCCTCTTACTGTGACCTTGGGCAGGGCGGCTCACCTCTGAATCCCCGCGTCCTCGTTATTAAATTGGGCTAAGGACCCCTCCCTGCCGGGTCTCTGGTGAGAACAAAAGCCGATGACACAGGCAGAGCGGGACTCGGAGGCTGAGTCCGCGGACAGCGAGTCCAGGGTGCTCCGCCCGCGTCTCCTGCTGACGGAAGGAGTGGACACCTCGCTCGGTCCGCGTTCCGGGCTGGGGCGAGGAGCCGGAGCCCGGGCGGCGACAGGACCACACCCCGCTGTGGCCGCTCCGGGCTCCAGCCCCTGGGCCGGCGGAGTCACCTGCACGCCCGGCCCTTCCTTCCTCCGGGCACGCGAGCCCGCCCCGCCCCTCGCGAGGCCCCGCCCCTCGCCCCGCCCCCACTCGCGCAGCCCCGCCCCTCGCGCAGCCCCGCCCCCGCCCCGCCCCGCCCCATCCGCCCACCTCGCGCCCGGCCCGGCCCGCCGCGCCCGGCCCCGCCCCCGGCCCGGCCCGGCCTCCCATTGGCCCGCGCGCGGCCCCCGCCAGGAAGTTTGAAAAAAAAAAGTTTTACGGGCGGCCGAGGGGCCGGGGCAGCGCCGGGCGGGGACGGGCCGGAGCAGCGGCGGCGGGCGGCGGCGAGGGGCGGCGGCGGCGGGTTCCCGCGCCGCTGAGCCCGGCCCTAGCGCCTCTCACCCTCCTGCCTCCTGCTCGCCGCCCCGGGCGCCGCCATGACGGTGAGTGCCCCCGGGCCGCCCGCGCGCCCGCCGCGGAGGGGGAGCCGCGCCCCGGCCCGCGCCCCCGGCTCAGCGCCCCGAGGCGAGGGGCGCCCCGGCGCCGGCCCCCCGCCCCCCCGCCCCCACGCCCTCTCCCTCCCGGGACCGAAAGCCGGGCCGCCCCGAGGAGGGACTCCCCGGCCCGGCACCGCTGCCTGTTCTCGCGGGGCCCGTGCCCGCCTCTCCCGGCCGGGGACACCCGACTCGACTCCCCGGACGGCCAGACCCGGGCCTCGCGGGCGCCGCGGGGTGGGGGGGCCGAGGCCGCCCGGGCTGGAGGGCGCCCCGGCCGGGTGGGGAGCGAGAAGGGGGCGGCCCCCCGCCCGCCCTCGCGGGGCGTCTGTCCCGGGACTTGCGAAGCTGCAGCGCCCCGAGTCCCCGGGCTCGCCGCTCGGCCGCGGGGCGGGGGCCTGGGCGGGGCGGCCCGCGCCGGGGTGGGGGACCCGACGGCGGGGACGCGCCCTCCTCCCGGGGGGAGCCCGAGCCGGGGGAGCTCACTCTCCCCGTCGTCTCGGAAGCCGGGGCTGGGGGTTGGGGGTTCGGTGTTGGTGAGGTGCCCGCGTTGCGCCGAGGGTCAGAGAAGTAGACGCTCCTCCAGGGCAGGTTAGCCCCGGCCACGGCGCTCTGGAGAAGAACGAGCGGGCAGCCCCTGGCTTCGGGGGTGCCTTCCGCGGCTCTGACAGTCTGGCGTGGGGAGCCAGGGACCGGGGGTGGGGAGCCGGGACTGGAGATCGGGGACTGGAGAGCGGGACCCGAGACGGGCTGCGCATGCGCGCTGCGTTCCCTCGGCTCAAGTGCGCGGAGACCCCGAGGGGAGGGGGCTGGGCTGCCCGCGGGCGGGGCTGCTTCTGGGGCCCCCTGCTCCTGTGAGTGTGATGACCTGGCTGCTGCCTGGACTTCCTCGGCCTCCGCACATCCTGCCACCTCCCTGCTGGCCCTTCCTGTCGTCAGTAGCCTCCCCTTCCCAGTCAGGGAGCTGGGAGGGATGTGGGGGGAGGAGCTGAGTCAGTGTCCTGGCCCCCTGCCCCCCTCCACTCCCTAGGCCAGAGGGAGGGTGGTTGCCCACTGGGTGCCTGCCAGGCTCTGGATTGGGTGCTTGCACGTTACCAGATTGGATCCTTTAAGGGTGGTGGTAAGTCCCTCCTAACGCATGTGGACAGAGGGGTAGCCGAGGTGGGTGACCTGCGCCAGGGGACACAGCTGGGCCCCGGCTGAGTCAGAATTTGTCTCCAGGTCTGTCCTGGTGGATAGAGGTGTGCAGTTGCCTTCTTGAGGAAACTCATGCCGAAGGAGGGGTAGGGCTGCTTGAGGCACTATGGGGTGACAGGAGGGACTTCCTGTTGCTGCCAATGTTGAGAAGATAGAGGAGGCAGAAGACCTGCTGCAGCTTCAGAAGGTCTGGTGGGAGGGAGCAGTGTGGACAAAGGCTGGTGGTCATGTTTTTCATAGAAAAGGGGCCTGAGAAGGAGGCGTCACAGGCCAGGAAAGCAGCTTGGGCTTGGGACAGGAGCACAAGGGAGCCGCAAAAGGTTTGGAGCAGAGCAGATGGCAAAGGTGTGGTGAATGTGCAACAGTTGAGAGGCTTCAGGAAGCCGGACCTGGAGTCAGTGTCCACTCTGCCCTTTGCCTTAGCCTCCAGCCTCTTTCCCCAGCCATTGCCTGGCATCAGATTATATACTTGTTCACTTGCTACTGTCTGTCTCTCTCCTAAGTTCCACTGGGGTGGGGGCCACATCTCAGTCACAGCTGATGTCCTGGCCTAGGACAGGGCCTGGTGCTTAAAAAAAATTTTTTTTTTTAAATTCAAACATTTCCTGAGTCCCTGGGGCCTGGGGGGTGAACAATGTAGGTCCCTGACTGTGTTTCTTGTAGTCTAGCCAGGGGGGCTAAGTTAATGACTTTGGCATCATCATGGATGTAGCAAAGGCCTCTGAGGGGCCGTGGGAGGGCAGCTGGCGCGCCCTGTGTTGTGTGCGGGAAAGCGGGCTCCGAGGTGCCAATTAAACTGGGTCTGAAGGCCTGACTAGGAGGTTGCCCAGTCAACAGGAAAGGACAGGGCCTGTGTGGAGTCTTGACATATTGGCAATGGGAAAGCTGTGTGGTGGTGTAATGTGGGGCTCCCCAAATGAGGGGGAGGCCAGGCTGGAGGGTGGGCAGCAGCTTTGGTGTCCTTCGTAAGCAGTTGGGCCTTGCTTTGAACCCCAGGGGTTTCCAGGGAAACCCCTAAAGTCCCTCCTAACACGTGGATAGAGGTGTAGGTGAGGTGGGTGACCACCTGCGCCAGGAGACACAGCTGGGCCCTGGCTGAGTCAGAATTTGTCTCCAGGTCTGTCCTGGTGGATAGAGGTGTGCAGTTGCCTTTCTTGAGGAAGTACATGCTTAAGGGGGGTAGGGCTGCTTGAGGCACATATGGGGTGACAAGGAGGGACCCTTGTCTTTCAGGGTCCTCAGGAGATGCTGGTTGGAGCTCAGGAGGGGCAGCAGGTGGGGTGCTGAGAGCATTAAGGCATTTTCCTGGTGGGCCACCTGGGTCTCGTCAGCAAGAGGACCTGGGTGGCCCAAGGGTTTCCCTGCAGGGTGTGTGTGGAAGAGGGTGTGCTGACCACGACCGTTGCTATGTCCGGAGGGAGGAGGGTGGGCTGCGAGAGGCTGTCCTGCCCCACACCTGCAGGTGGAGGAAGAAGGCTGGGCCCGAGGAGAATTGTGCGATTTGGGCCAGCAGACCTTTTGACCCAGGGAGGTCCCCCCAGGTGGCCATAGGACATTCCCTGCCAGTAGGTTTAAAAATGCACCTCAGTGGCCTCATGCCTGACAGGGGTCACTGGGCTTCTCCCTGGGGGGGGTGCATTCAGTTGTTTCAGAAAGCTTGTGGGGGGAGGGCAGGGCTCCTTCCCCCATTGTTTGCCACATGGGAGGGGAGTGACTTGGGAAGCCACAGTGGCCCCACTTCCCAAGCAGCTCAGGGTCCCAGCCTGCCAATCTGGCTGAGGATCCCTTCCTCAGTCTGGAAAGCCATGGCGCGTGTCCCAACCTGACGCAGTCCACATCTGCTTGTCCTTGTGGGGGCTGTCCTCTGGGTCCCACAGCCCATGCCAACTCCGCGGTCACTCTAGAAAGCCTGTTCACTAGGGCCAGGAGGTAGGGGTGAACACTACCCCCAAAGCCCAGGCAGTTAGACCAGGGAGGTGGAGAGGGTGGATATTTATTCAGCAGGTTTTTCCTGAGGCCTGTGTGGCCAGGCCGCACGCCAGGGCAGGTCCCAGTCGGCATGCAGGTGGACCCAGGTGACTTGGCCCATGTGAGCAGGCTCGGCAGGCAAGTGGCAGCCCTGGGTGAGCGGCCAGTCTTCAGTCTTAGCTTGGGGCCACCCTGCTCAGAGCAGCCTGGGGGCGCACGGATGCGTGTGGGAAACAAGGAGAGCAGACAGGGCGAGCATAGCCCCAGAGTCCCCTAGAGCCAAGCAGAGCCTGTGACCCTCCCTCAGACAGGTACAGAGGGGGCTGCAGGCCCCAGCCCCACGACCACGCATGTCCAGGATGGCCTCGACTGTGCAGGCCACTGGCCCAAGCCCCTCTGCAGCCACTCCCTCCACCTGAGGAAGAGGAGGGGGGCTCCCGGGGAGGAAGGCGGCTCAGGGGAGGTGGCCAGGTCAGGTGGCTCTGCTTTCCGGCTGTCATCGTTGCCTCCCACCCCACTGAGCCCTGCTACCCGCTCCCTTCACGCAACCAGACACCTTGGCCTGGCGAGGCTGCGATGTGGGCGCTGATTGGTTGCCTCAGAGCCATGGCAACAGGTGGCTGCCTCCTCTTGGCCGGCCCTGCCCTGCTTCCTGCCAAGAGGCAGGAGCTGAGACTCTGCTGAGGGACCCATTTAGAGGGAGGCATCCCCAGCGGGCAGGGAGCTCTGGCGGCTGGCGGGCGCCCACTAGGCAGATACGGTCACAGAAAATGCCTGGGTGAACAGCTGCTTCTAGGCCCAGCTGGGGTCCCTGGCTCAGGGGCTCCTGTAGCCCATGCTGCAGCTGGGCACCCCCAGAGTCTGGGGCCGTGCCCCCCTGGGCAGCACACGGCAGGTAGGGCTGAGGTGCCATTTCCCTGCCCTTCCTGACATCTGGGAGTGGGACCAGAAAATGTTGGGCCCCGGCTTGCACCTGGTTGTGTCTTTCAGGGTCTCCAGGAGATGCTGGTTGGAGCTCAGGAGGGGCAGCAGGTGGGGTGGTGAGAGCATTAAGGCGTTTTCCTGGTGGGCCACCTGGACCCCGTCAGCGAGAGGACCTGGGTGGCTTTCTCAGCCCCGCTGTTGCGGCCTCTTGTCTCAGTTCCCCAGGGGTCTCTACAGGCAGCGTCCTCAGGACCCACTGTGGGCGAGGAAGCAGGCCGGGGCGAGGGAGCTTGGACATCTGTGGTGGGAATGCCAGTCCACCCTCTGGCTCTCAGGGAAGGGGCGAGGCCACCTCAACTAGGGAGCCTGCCTGGATTTGGGTACCCAGGCCCACAGCCCTCTCTCCTGGCTTCCAGGTCCTCAGTCTCACAGGATTCGGGGACAAGATGGGGGCAGCACCCCATCCTCCCCAGACCCAGTGGGTTCTCCGCTGGGCCTGACACATCTGCCTTCATCTCCCCACAGCCCGATCTGCTCAACTTCAAGAAGGGATGGATGTCGATCTTGGATGAGCCTGAAGAGGTAGGGGCTGTGGCGTGCGTTGGCCTGTGCAGCTATAGTGCTTTGTAGGGCTCCCGAGGGCAGCCCTGTAGGGTGAGCTGCTCCCCTGCCTGTGGAGCCTTCTAGAAACATTGGCTCTGGCAGGGAGGAGGCCAGAGTGGGAGCCCTGAGAATGACGTGTTTCTTATAAGAAAGCGGGCCTTATACTGGTAGTGGCGGCGGGCTGGGGGGGTGGACATTGAGACTTCTAGCCATCTGCAGCCTGTAAGTCATCGGGGATGGAGGCCTCCTAGCCCCATGTGCCCTCCACCCCAACCCCTCCTCTCACTAAGAGTCCTTTGACCCTCTGCAGGGTCGCCCAGGGTCTGGGGTGGGAGGGCTTTCAGTAGGTCATGTGGCCTGAGGCTTGTGTGCTGATTCCCAGCCTGGTCTCCATTGGCCAGGTTACAGCAGCTCTGGGCTCCGTAGCCACGTCTGAAATGGGCCTAATGCTAATGATTGTTTCCAGGGTAGACACCAAAGTCACAGAGCATGAAAAGGGTGTCGTGTGGCCAAGCCCCTTGGGAGGGCCTCAGCTGATGGCCCTATGCTTTCTCTCATGTGTCCATTCTTAGAACCAGAGGGGACAGTGGCCTTTCCCTGCTTGGAGCTGGCTTCTTGCCCACCTGGCCGGGGAGGGACATCCCCGCCCCTATTCTGCATGCTCCTGTGACTCGGATCTGCGTGCAGTCCGCATGCTGGGGAGGGCTCGGAGCCAAAGGGAATCTCATTGTGTTTCCCTCAGCCCACAGCCGTGCACACCCGCTGCCCGCTGACTGGCCTCTGGCGGCTGTGCTGCAGGCGCACAAGGCCTGGCACCCTGCCAGTGACCCTTCTCGGCATCCCCACCCAGGGTCTCGAGAGGGCAGAGATTATGGGCCCCGCCCAGGACTGGCTGTTACTCATCCTCTTGCACAGGCTTTTGGAACATCCGAGCTGAAAGGGCCTTGGGAGTTCAGCCAGCCCAGCCCCTCGGAGCACAGATAGGCCCACAAGGGCTTGATCTCCTGCAGGCCTAGCAGTGCCCTGGGCAGATCCAGCCTGAGAACTCGGGGCGGCCGAGGCCCCACAGAGCTCCATCAGCTCCCATCTCAGTTGTCAACTAGGCCTGGAAGGGCCAGAGATGATATTTGCACAGAACCCCTGCTCCTCTCTACAGGGGGACAGTTGAGATCTGAGCAGTGAGTCAGGCCACTCAGTGAGAGCAAGGTGGGTATGGCCCAGCCTCCTGGAGCAATCCCAGCAGATGGGGGCCCGGCCCTGTGCCAGATGCCCCAAGAGATCAGGGAGGGCCTGGTGCTCACCTTGTGTGGCGGCGCGGGGACGCTCCTGAGTCCTACTTCACACATCGGAAGACAAGCTCAGAGAGGTAGAGACGCTCACAAGTCACACAGTTCCAAGGGATAACATACTTGTCATCTGCATCTCTTGGGTGGATTTTCAGGGGAGGTGGTATGGAAAAGAAGAGAAAGTCATCAAGTGTAGCCTGAAAAACCTACCGTCTATTTGCAGAAAGAAAACTAAGTGCTTAAATTTACAAGCATGTGGTTACGGCTAGGGTGAGCGTGGGGGGCTCTGTCCACATGCGCTGATCACACGGGCTACCCAGGTGGTGGTGGCCCCTGACCGGCATTCTGGCGAGTGGTCATAGGCCCAGAGGTGGGCTGAGCTTGGTGCCTTTGCTGTCCAGCTGTTCTGTTGCCCCCACCCTTTCCTGAGTGTCCTGCCAACCTGACCCAGGCTGGAGCAGAGAGGGGCACCTCAGAGAGGGGCCCAAATTATAAACGTACCCATTGTGCATTCTGGAAGCTGAGCGCACGTGAGAGCAACAGCCTGACCAAGAAGCGTTCAGGTGTCTTCCCCAGCCGCCCTCCATCCTTACATGAGAGCCTGTCCTTGACACGGGGCCCTCCAGAGGGGCACGTGAAAAAGACTTGCAGACTTCCGGCCCCCGACCCGCTAGGCGACCACGACCGTCCTGGTCAGCACTGGGGGATTTGCTGGCTGGAGCTGCAGGCTGTCGGAAAAGACTGGGGGGCTGTGGAGGTCATCCCGGTGCCCAGGAGGAAGGCGAGCGTGTGCTTGCTGAGGGGGAGCCCACCCATTTCACAGATGCTGCCCCGAGGCTCCGAGAGGAAATGAGGGGCCGGGCTTCCACTCTGGGTTTCCTGACTGCACTGCTAGACCCGCAGCAGGGCAGACAAGGGTGGCCAGTCCCCGGTCGACCAGGCGTGGGCGCCTGTGGAGTGGCCACAGCCTCCCTGTGCCCGGCCTCACGCTCACTGCCCTGCTCTTCCCCCGCAGTGGAAGAAGCACTGGTTTGTGCTGACAGACTCCAGCCTCAAGTACTACAGGGACTCCACCGCCGAGGAGGTGAGACCACGGGGTGCTGGGGACTCCCAGAGCGGGTGGGACGCCTGGGAAGGGTAAGTGGACTCGGACTCACCGCGGGCCTCTTCCTGTTGCAGGCAGATCAGCTGGACGGTGAGATCGACCTGCGCTCCTGCACGGACGTCACCGAGTACGCAGTGCAGCGCAACTATGGCTTCCAGATCCACGTGAGGCTCCGGGCCACTGGGGTGGGCACCACCGGGGCGGGCGCCTCTGGGGCGGGTGGTTGGGCTGGCACCCTCCCCAGAGGTGTCTGTGACCCAGAGACCTGTCCTCAGAGCCAGTCAGAATCTCTAGGGCCACACTTGGCATATCTGGGAGATCCCCAAAATCATTGAAGAGACCTTGGAATCGGGGACTCGTTCAAGGCTTGTGGAGGGGAGGTGTTGCCTCTGATCTCACCTCCAGGCCCAAAGCCTCATACTCTCTTGTGGGAGGGAAAGTCTGCCTTCCTTGGGGTTTGAGATGGGCAGGGAGCAGTGGGGCCGGCCACGTGGCAACCCACCCATGGTGGACTTGCAGACCAAGGATGCTGTCTATACCCTATCGGCTATGACCTCGGGAATCCGGCGCAACTGGATCGAAGCTCTGCGGAAGACTATGCGTCCCACCTCCGCCCCAGATGTCACCAAGTAGGTGCCAGGCTGGGCCAGAGCACTGGGGACACACTTGCCCTGCATCCCCGAATGGGTTTCTGGGGCACTCACCAAGGGCCCTGTGGCCGTGCCTCGTGGGCCTCAGTTTCTCTATCAGTAAATGGGGAGAAGGCAGTGAACATTCTCGTCAGCCATTCAGAGATACATTGAGGATTTTGGTTTTGATCGGCTGCTCCTTCATGGCCCCTCCACATCATGAAAGCATGGCAACCCTCTTGCTCTTTGGAGAAGATGCCCGAGAGTCAAAGGCGAGGGGCCTGATGGTCTCAGCCTATGTTAGGAAGGGGTTGGCTAAGTAGGTGGGGAGCTTGATGACCGAGTTACCTAGTGGCAGAGCCCCCACGGAGTGTCCTCCCTGTACGCCCATAGGGACTGGGACTTATTCTGATGTTGCGGAGCGTGGTGTGGGGGGCTGAGTGTGAGCCCCCTGTTCAGGCCAGCAGCTAGTATGAGTTTCAGATTCCTCACCTGTCCCATGTCTGTTCATGTGAGAAGTTGCACAGAGGCTCTGGGTTGACCCTTGACCTCCAAAGTTTGGACTTTGGAGGTTCCTGGTATCCTCATTCATGGAGTCAACCCATCACACTTAACCAGATTTCAGATGGCTAAATCCCTGGCGGCGGCGTTGTGTATAGGGAGGGCTGACAAAGTTGTGCACGGATTTTCACCTTGCAGGGATCATCGCCCCAAGCCCCAGTTGTTTAGGTTGACCTGTACTGTGCAGTTGGACTGTATTTAGTTTATAATCTCAGCAGCTCTAACAAAGAAACCCCAAACACAGTGGCTTAAACAAGGGAGATAGTTATTTCTCTCCAGAACTGTCCAGATGTGTATAACCCAGACCTGGTGGACACTCACGACTTTGCCTTTGGGCCAAGGACTGTGTCTGTCCTCTCGGATGCCAGCCAGGAGCCAGGCCAGGGCATGCCTAGTCCTTTAATGAGTGCCACCTCTCACATCCACTGGGTAGAATGCAGTCACATGGCCACACGTCGCTGTAGAGGGCGCTGGGAAGTGGCGTTTCGGGTCTGGGGGAACCATGTACCCAGCTGTCACTGTGGAAGATGAGAATGGCCCCAGGGTTGAGCCACCACAGTTTGTGTTCTCTGCACCCAGAGGTCACTGTGCGCCTCACAGTGACCGGGGCAGGTCCCCTCTTCCACTGTGATGGCCTTGATGGCCATTTTGAAGGGCTTCCTGGCTGCTGTACACACACTGGCTCATAGTCCTCACGTCCCTCCTGGGGGAGCTGTTGTTGGCCCGTGTCACAGCTGAGGTAACAGAGCTCCAGGGGAGCCAGATGCCCCGTCCCTCAGCTGACAGGAGGTGGAGCTGGGATGGATCTGGGGTCTGGACTCCAGGCTGGGCTGCTCCCTCCTGGGGTGTGTCCCCAGCCCCTGGCACAGAAGGCTTCAGCGGCGTTTATATGGGGCTGAGTGTTCGCAGCCCCGCCTGATGCTCAGACACCTGGTGGACTGGGATCTTCTTTCCTGGCACCCTAGGCTCTCGGACTGCAACAAGGAGAACACGCTTCACGGCTATGGCACCCAGAGGGGCTCCCTGAAGGTGGGGGAGCAGCGGGCGGGCTCTGAGGTCATCAGCCGGGGCGCCCCGCGGAAGGCTGATGGCCAGCGGCCATCCCTGGACTACGTGGAGCTCTCTCCGATGACGCAGTGCTCCCCGCAGCGGGCTCGCGCCCCCACCCGCACTCTGGACCGCCCAGCCAAGCAGGAGGAGCTGGAGCGGGACCTGGCCCAGCGCTCTGAAGAGCGTCGCAAGTGGTTCGAGGCCACAGACGGTAGAGTCCCAGAGACACCAGCTGGCGAGGCACCCCGCCGGGGCCTGGGCGCCCCCCTGACCGAAGACCAGCAGAGCCGGCTCAGTGAGGAGATCGAGAAGAAGTGGCAGGAGTTAGAGAAGCTGCCCCTGCGGGAGAACAAGCGGGTGCCCCTCTCTGCACTGCTCAACCAGAGCCGAGGGGAGCGCCGGGGGACCCCGAGTGATAGCCATGAGGCACTGGAGAAGGAGGTAGGCCTCAGGGCTGGCCTGTGGGTGCCCCTTCATCCCTCCAGTCCCCGCCTATCCTCGCACTCACGCCATGGCATTGACCTTGCATACCTGCAGTGACGGCGAGTTCACCCCTCGCTGCCCAACACCTCAGACACTTGGTGGACTGGGATCTTCTTTCCTGGACCTTGGTCTTTTGGCTTATTATTTCCTCGCTGCTTCTGCCCTCAGCAACCACGGAGGAGGGCAGAGGGGAGAGGAGGGGGAGAGGCTGAGTGGCTTCTTCTTCCAGGCCTTTCCTGGGCCCTTTCCCTGTTCTGCTTGCGTCACCCTCCCCGCAGCCCTGTGCCTGGTGGGGCGACCTCAGCGCAGTTGGGAATGAGGGGACTGATGGGAAACGGGCTCAGCTTACCCCCCACCGCCTAGGTAATGTGGCAGATACCTGTGCCCAGGTGGGGCTCCCTATCCTGTCCAGCCCCTGGGCCACAGCTGTCGGGGTCATTGACCGAGCATCCGGGAAACAGCTGGAACGTGCCCCTTGCCGCGTCTCCACACCAGGCCTGCTCTTCCTTTTCAAACCCAAAGCTCACTGCCTCCCGACAGCCTCCCCCCACTTCCAGACCCCCATTGACCGCGCCTCCCCTCACAGGTCCAGTCTCTTCGTGCCCAGCTGGAGGCCTGGCGTCTCCGAGGGGAGGCTCTGCAGGAGGCACCCAAGTCCCAGGAGGACAGCCCCGCCCCGCCGGGCTACATTTCCCAGGTGAGGCTGAGGAGCAGTTTCTCAAGGGATGGGGGCAGGTTTCTGGCTGCCGTGTTTCAGAATAAAGCGAATGTTCGGGTGTCCTTCCAGTGTGAGGCATTTGACAGGCATCATCTCATTTCATCTCCCCAGCGGGTGGGTGATCACCCCACCCATTGTACAGACAAGGCTGCTGAGCTGGGAATGGTTATGGGACTTCCCTGAGGTCAGCCGACCCGCAGATGTCAGAGGTGGGATGTGACTGGGGTCCAGCTGACTTCAGAGCCTGTATGTGAGCCCCTGTGTGACACAGCACCTGCACCCCTTCCCCACACATCCTGGGGAAGTGGGAGCCAGTGGAGAGCAGGAGCCCCAAAGGGCACTCCCTTGGAGTCGCTCCCTGAGCAGGGAGCTCCTGCCCGGGCCTGCTGGGCCCTGCACAAGGAGGTCCAAGGGGCCTGGATGCCTCCGGAAACCCTTGGGGGCCGGTCCAGGACAGCACCTCTCAGCGGGGCTGAATTTGTTCTCCTAGGGACATTTGACCACTTTTGACTGTTCGTGACTAGGATATTTCTGGCTCTCCAGAGAGAGCACACAGGCGTGTGTATCCCCATACGCAATGCTGTGCGTTTATTACAGATTTTACTGCCAGGAAGGGTGTTTATGCAACTGGCAAATAAAAAATATGTAATGCTTTTTATTGCGAATTCCGTGTAGCACACAGACATTTCTAAGAATGCTTCCCGTGGCACCCCCCCCCCCAAATGCTGTACCCACAGCTCACTGCAAACCGTGTCGTCCTTACGTGGGTGCTGGTTGATGCTTTTGTTTGGTGATGCGTAAGGTGAGAAGACAGATGTCGATGCTCGGTCACTGTCATGGGCAGCTTCTTGGCTGCATTGGTCGTAGTTTTCGATGGAGACTTTGAGAACATCCTACTCAGAATATTCCCACAGATTTTGTTCTGTTTACACTGTTGTGGGCCTGGGCCCGCCACACGTGACTCCAGCCTGCGTCACGAGCCCTTTCTCCTCTCTTGCTTACGGCTACACACGCAGCAAAATGATAAGCCCACCCCTGACTTGTGGGCCCCACGATTTCCATGCTGTAAGTGCTCCACGTGGCTGCCTTCCCACCTCACACCAACAGGGGCCGGCCAACCTCAAGGGCGTGGGTGACAATAAAATGTAGTGAAATAACTAGGAAGTGAATTTCCAGTATCAGCTTTGTGATGTAATTATTGGTTGATATAATTTAAATTTTAATGATGACTGTGCTTAACAGCTGTGTCACAAGACACCTAAAAGTTTGACAGTCCCCCCTCTCCAGTCAGCACACCGTGGCTCGAGACAGAAAAGAATGCTGGGCCCCCAGGCCCTGGGCTGGGAGGACTTCTGGAAGTTCCAGGGAGGGTTGCTGCTGTGTGGGGCGCTGAGCTGGCACTAGCATGGGCTGGGGGCCTGGACTGTGGCAGGAGCTGGAGGGAGCACCGGTGGCCTGCCATGTAGATTCCAAGCCAAGGGGTTGGGGTTCTATCCCAGAGACCTGATGAGGTTGGGCCTGGCAGTGACATCAGGAAAGAGGATGGGGCTTGGGCGGGGGGAAAGGCCAGGTGTGAGGAGCAGGACAATGACCGAGGGATGTAGGAAGGGGGGGTGTTTGGAGGGGAGAGAGGTAAAGATGGGTGACTGGGCCTGAGGGAGGCAGAGGGGTGCCCACAGGTACCCAGAGGTGGTAGTCGCTATGCTAGACCAGGGCACCCTCTGGGCTGAGTTGAACATTCTGCTGAAGGGAGACCAGGGCCTCGGGGAGTCGGGCCTGATGTGAGGGCTCACTTGGGTATCAGCAAGGATCAGCAGCATTAAAGGGTCTCTGGAGGCCGGAGGAAGGGGTTGGTGGGGAGGGGCATTTGCTGTCAGGGGTGCAGCCCAGCACCACAGCCTGAGCAGCTGGCAGCACCACAGAGAGCCCAATCCAGAGGGCTTCAAACCATCTCCTTGGGTGCCCAGAGGCTGTCTCCCGGCCTAGGGCACCCACCTGTTTAGCCGCATTACCATTGGAACAGGCATTAGCTTTCCCTTGGAAAAAGGATTCTGTTGTGAAAATAGAGTTAGGAGAATGCTGCTCTGACTTCTAGCTTACAGACAGGGAAACTGAGGCCCAGAAAAGGCGAGTGACCTTGGAGCGGGAAACAGACCTCCTGGTCGGCGGGCCGGGGCACAGGGGCTCTCCACGGGCTGCAGCATCCTCTTGTGTTAGGCTGGGATGGGCAGGAGGAGCAGGTGGAATCAGCAGGGGAGGAAAGAAGGGAATAACAGGGTGGACAGGGGCCCCCGATGGGGAGGGCACCAGAGGAGAGGAGCCGAGCCATCTGTCGCTTTCAACCCTGGAGGAAGGAGGCCATCTGGAGAAGTCACAGCTGCGAGGGCTTCCCTGGCTTGGCATAGGGGCCGCCAAGCCTGGTATGTCAGGCCCAGTGGGAGCTCCTCTTTCAGCTTGTGGGGCTTTCAGGACAGCAGTGGGGGGTCTGGAGCTTCACCCACTGAGGCTTCAGTGCCTCCTCTAGCCACTGGAGTCCCCACCAACCGTTGCAGTGAGGGCCACAGGATTTGTCTGCTTGGGTCCATGTTAGAGAACAGCTGGATGCCTTGGCCCACAGGGAGGTAGGCCAGAGAGAGGAGCCCCTGACCTAGGAGCCCATCCCGGCCTGGCTCCCACCTCCTGACTTCAGCCTCCAACCCTGTGCAGCTGCTGGGTCTGGCCCTTTAAGAACAGCGACACAGGGCCTCCCCTGCGGCGCAGCGGTTGAGCGCTGGGTTGCGAAGCTGCCCGCAGCCTCTGCAGTGCTGGTTCGATCCCCGGCCCCTGGGCGAGGGTCCCACATGGCGCGCAGACCTCTCCTGCGGCCCGCTGCTCCCCTCAGCAGTGTACTTCGTCAGTCTGCCTGCTCTGCTCTCCCCTCTGGCTCTGGTGAATTCTCTCATCCTCCTGCGCTTCTGACTGTACCCAGTGCTTGTATAAATAAATAAATAAATCTTTAAAAAAAAAAAAAAAAGAACAGCGATACAGGTGGGTACCGGCTCGGCCTAAGGGGCTATTTCACCAGTGAGACCAAGGCTCAGAGAGGGAAAGGACTTGTTCAAGGTCACTCCGTGGTGCAGCCAACATAGGACCCAGTCTGTGGGGCTCCAAAGCTTTGTTCCCTTGTCCTAACTGGCGGGCAAAAAGAGGGTACATGCAGCGACCCAGCAGCCAGTCAGGACACCTGGACCAGGCAGGTCTGGCCCTTTGCCCTCCCCCGGACTGGCCCACAGATGTGGCCACTTGGAGAGACGGCAGTTGCGGTGACCTGCCCCGTGGCCTGCGGAGAACGCCTCTAGCCTGACCCTTTCCCGTCTCTCTGTAGTGGCATTAAATGATTTTAATTATGTAAGAAATTTTGTTAGGAGAATTAAAAAAAATAATTCAAGCAAATCAAAAGGCTGGAAGTAAACGTGAGGTCTCTGCCCCTGCCTGCTCCCCCGGCATCACCTTGGTTACCATTTGATCACATTGCTTAGTTTCCTGTTGCTGCTATAACAAATTACCACACAGTGGCTTAAATATCACTAATCTATCATCTCACAGCTTTGTGGGGGAGATCTCTAGCTGGGGGTTCACCACGCTTAAATCCAGGCACCCACAGGACTGTGCTCCCCTTCGGAGGCTCTGGCCTTTTCCAGCGTCTGGTGGCTGCCCACTCGCCTGGCCTGGCCTCCTCTGTCTGCGAAGCCTGAAAGGAGAGCTGGGTCCTTCTCATGACACATCGCTCTGCCTCCTCCCGTGGAGGTGTGTCCCTCTTGTCCTTCTCGTCTCCCACCTGGCCCACAGCTCAGCACTCTGTGATGACACGGGACCCAGTAGATGATCTGGAATAATCTCCCTGTTTTCAGATCGGTTGATAAGCAATCTCAGCCCCTGTCTGCCATGTAGGATGTGGGTGTGTTTTGGTGGGGCCCACTCTGCCTCCCGGTCACGCTCCCCTGCCACCTTTGTTTTCACATCCATTTACCTGGATGTCCAGGATCTGTACGTCTTTTTACACATGCGGGGTCACAGCATACGCACTCTCAGAAACCAGCCCTGCATGTTTATTTCCGACCTTTCCATTTGCTTGAATTATTTTTGAAAATAAGGATATATCCTTAAAAATTTTTTAACAGTATTACAGAGGGAGGGGTAAGGGCCTGGTTAGAGACCACATCCTCCCTCATGCCATGGGGCACCTCACCGTGGTGGGGTCTGACCCCATCTCTTTACCTCCTCTCAGGACACCTTTCCACAGTGGTCCACATGGACAGCTCTGTCTTAACAGCTGTCTGGGGGCCTTCGTAAGTCTGGATGCCATAATTTAGGGGTTCCCCTGCTAGGCATTTAGATTGTTTCCAGTTTTCCTCTGTCACCAGCCTCACCATAGGGAATACCCTGGTCCCAGAGTCTTTGTGCACATGTGACTCCGTGGGGTCCTTTCCGGGGGTGGTGGGCCTGTTTGGTCAGGGGAGGGAGGAGTCACTGAAAATGCTCTGATGCCACCAAACTGCCTTCCACACACCCTGTCACAGCTGACTCAGTCTCTAAATACCTGCCAGTCTTGTCTACGTTGCCCCGTTTTGCGATAAGTCATCACCTTCCGCTCACTTACTCAGCACCTGCCACTGTCAGGCAGGGCCGTGGGGACTCTGCACTGAATCAGGTTTTCCCTGTCTCCAGAGACTGCTCCATCTGGCAAGAGCAGAGCCTGTGAGGCAGGAAGAGTCTGTCGGGACAGAGCTAGGAGGACACTTAAGCTAAATTACAAGCCAGGAAGGGAAAGTTGTAAAAGAACGTTCCAGGCAGTGGTAATAGCATGAGCTAAAGCGCAGGTGAACATGCTGAGTTGTTTTTATAACTATGGGGTATCTTGGTGAAGAAGGGCTGAGGGAGAAGCCCCAAGATCAGACAGGGGCGCTGGATCTTGACCCTGTGGGATGGGGAGCTTGGAAGGGTTTAAAATGGGAGCGTGATTGGGAAGTTTGTGGGTGGGAGAAGAAAGGGGGATGGGGGATGGGTGAAGGCTGATGGTGCCAGGGTCGAGGGAGAGGAGTGAAGCTGGATCAGGACAAGCTGCCCCTGAGGCTTCATATCTCAGGCTGGGAAAGGGCCATGGGGGCAGCACCATGACCCCCTGGGCTCCCACTTGCAGGAGGTGTGTGAGCGCAGCCTGGCAGAGATGGAGTCCTTGCACCAGCAGGTGATGGAGGAGCTGCAGCGGCACCACGAGCGGGAGCTACAGCGACTACAGCAGGAGAAGGAGTCGCTTCTGGCTGAGGAGACGGCAGCCACGGCTTCAGGTGAGGCTCCCGGAAGGAGCATCATGCAAGCTGGCCTCCTCAACCTCCAGTGAGGCCCCCCGCCTCCAACCGAATTGGGAAGGCCTTTGAATAAGAGGCAAGAATCTCAGTGCCAAACTTGGTAAAGTAAGGGTTCAGGAGGGGTTGGGAGCCCCCAGAACTGGATTCTGACCCCAGCCAAAAAGGAGAAACCCTTGGCTGGTCACCCCTCTCCCGAAGGGCCTGCAGCCATTGGAAGGTCCACCTGAGGCCACACACACACTGAACTCCAGCTCCACGCCCACACCTGAGCCATGTGCTGGGGGACGGACTGCCCAGCCCCCAACTCTGTTCTCATAGAAATGCTATCTCATGGGGTGCATTGGCTAGACTCTGGGGAGAATTGGGTGGGAACCCGTTACCCACGTGTGCACCCTTAGGACTGGGAATGAGTCCATTTCACAGATGAGGAAACTGGGGCTCAGAGAGGTAAGTGACTTGTCTTCGATGGCACGGCTTGGAAGTGACAGAAACTGGAGCCCAGAGCATCCTGCTGTGAAGCCATGCTCTGACCTGCACCCGCTGCTTGCCAAGCTAGAAACAAGTGCCCGAGACACTGGACAGCTCTCCCCCTCTGTCCACTGCACACCTGCTGTGCGTGCCTGACACAACTTGGGCACCTGCATGCGGTTTGCAGGATAATAAAAATGACAAGAGAGGTCACACATCAGGAACTGACCCCTGCCGGTGCTGTGCCAGTGCTCATGCACTTGGCCTGTGACCGTGCTCCCCTGGGCCAGTGTGTTCAGCATTTTAGAAAGATAACCCAGTGCATTAGTGGAGGATCCCTTTCCCGCCCCTGCCCTCAGCAGGGACTGGCTTCTAGCACTAAGGTTTTCACCGTGAAATTTCTCAGTCTTGCTTAAGTGGGGCAGTAATGACCACAATAGCCTCATGTCCATTCAGATCGGGGTTACCACCAAAAACTTGCATAAAGTTTCAGTGTTCAGAACTTTCAGATTTTGGAATTAAGGATAAGCCTATGGATGAGGGTTTCTTTAATCCTCACAGCCTCCCAATGTGAGTGAAAAACCACTCAGTCCTTAGGAGCTCACAGTCTGGAAATAAACCACAAGAATTCATGACTGGGCTTCTGTTCTGTGTGATGCATTGTTCTAAATGTTCCATCTACATTTGTTAATGTGAGAGAAGGTGCTCTCATCATCCCCCTTTTCCAGATAAGAGACCTGAGAGATTATGTTCCCTGCAGTCACATAGGTGTGTCCTGACTGCAGAGTCTGTGCTGTTAACCACTAGGCTCGGCAATGCAAATGGGCCCTGTTAAAGAATCTTCCAGATGCTGGAAGATTCTTCCAGACTCTGCAGAGTAGGCGGACTGTGGATCTTAGAAATCACTAACAGCAAGAGATACCAGTGGTCAGACTCAGGAGTCTTCCCAGCAGAGTCCATCAGATAGGAACTATTTTCCACTTTTGCTAGACAGGCTCAAGAGAGGTCAAGCAGCTTACCCATGGTCACTCAGTTTGGCCCAGTGCTCTTTGCATGCCACTCTGCTCCCGTGTGTGTGGGTACACATTGAGTCTCCAGGGAGGGCCTCGTGCGGCTGACTCCTCATCAGTCTTCCCTCTGCTTCCAGCCATTGAAGCCATGAGGAAGGCCTTTGAGGAGGAGCTGAGCCGAGAGCTGAGCAAGACACGGAGTCTCCAGCAGGGCCCGGATGGCCTCCAGAAGCAGCACCAGTAAGATAACAGCTGGGCTGTGGGGTCTGAGGCCCAGCCGCCTCCCAGGGTGGTTATGTGCAGAGTCCCCTGGGCGGAAGACAGTCCATTTGCCCCTCATTGACATGGCCCTTCCTGCCATGTGGCATAGTGAACAGAAGCAGCAGGGCCACAGCCACAGCTCCTCACCAGTCCAGTCCAGACGGTTCTTCAGCCAATTCTTCTCTAACTGGTCTCAGCCTCCACCCTCTTCCTTGCTCTCGCATCCCTTAGAGCTGGGCTGCAGTGCCAGCCTCAGCCAGTAGGTGTCCCTCAGTTCTGGAATGTTGGCACAGTGGAGGCTTAGGATGGGCTTCCCAACCCCTCAGTGAGGAGGTACCAGCAGCCCCGGGGGCCATCGCTGGTTCACAGCCCCCTAGCAAGCTGAAGGCAAAACTGAGCAGGAACCCGGGGTCCTGACCTGCTCTGAATCTGCTGTGACTCCAGGCCTGGAGGAGCCAGGTGAGCCCACCCGCCCCCATCCTCGCCCGGCAGGTCGGATGTGGAGGCGCTCAAGCGGGAGCTGCAGGTGCTGTCGGAGCAGTACTCGCAGAAGTGCCTGGAGATCGGGGCCCTGACGCGGCAGGCGGAGGAGCGCGAGCACACGCTGTGGCGCTGCCAGCAGGAGAGCCAGGAGCTGCTGTGCCACAACCAGGTGGGCCAGGCCCTCTTGTGGGCACGGGGCGCCGGCTGCCCGGCGTCCCAGCTCTGACCCTCCCGCCCTCCAGGAGCTGCACGCCTGCCTGTCTGAGGAGATTGACCGGCTGCGTAGCTTCATCGCCTCACAGGGCTCAGGCTGCGGGCGCAGCAACAAGCGGAGCTCCTGTGAGTTGGAGGTGAGTGCCTGCCCCTGCGCCAGGCGGCCCCGCAGGGTTTCGGGGCCTGGAGCATGGAGAGAGTGCCCCAAGAGGCTGGGTGTGCCCTGCAGCCAGAGCCCAGTCTTCCTAGCCAGGTCCTGCCTCCTGCCTGCCACGTGACCGTGTGACCCTGTGAGCTCCGGTAGCTCCTCTGTAAATGGGGCTCACACCTCCTCGCTGAGTGAAGTTGGAGTGAAAAATATAGTGTGACCCCAGTATTTTATTTTTATTTGTTGTTTTATTTCATTATAACAATTCGTATATAGCCCCGCCCTGTGCCTGGAACTTCTGTGACCCCTTGCATCTGCTGACATTGATTCTTCCCCACAGTCCTACCAGGCAAATGCTGTTTTGTTTTTTTTTTAAGATTTTATTTATGCATGTAAGAACTGGGGTGTAGGCCAGAGGTCTAGGGGATAAGAGGACTCACCAGAGACAGAGTGGGGAACAGAACAGGCAGATCTACTGAAATACACTGCTGAGGGGAGCAGCAGAGAGACAAGAGAGGTCTGTTGCGCCATGTGGCCAGCTCCCTGTTCGGGGATCGAACTCGTGCTTCAGTGGCTGTGGATAGCTTCATGGTGCTGAGATACAACCCCTGTGCCAGCAGGGAGGCCCCCAACAAATACTGTTTCTATCCCTAGTTTACAGATGAGGGCGCTGAGGCCCAGGGCAGTCAAGTACCTTGCCAACATATGCTGGCTCCTCAATGCAGGGGCTGAAATTTGAACCAGGCAGTCTGGCTTTTAGGCAAAACCCCCAAGTCCTGCCTGAGCCAGTCTCCTCCTCGGTCTGATCAGGACAGCAGCATCTGGTCTCAGGGAGTGGAGAGGGGTTAACGAAGGAGTCCCTGGGGTGACCTGCCCAGCTGTGGTTCACAGGAGGGTCACACTGTGGCCTCTTTTCATCCTCTTTGCCTCAAGCCGAAGGCCCCGAGCCATGCTGGGACCGCAGCAGAGGGATGGGGAGATGCTCCCTGACGTGGTGGGGAGCCAGAGAAGTCGGAGGGGCTTCATGGAGGAGTCTGTCCCGAGAACATGATTGTTCTCAGCAGCTGCATTTTAGAGCCCTGAGCAGAGGGGAGTCAGGCTGCAGGGCCCTGTGGGCCAGGGTAACCCCAGCCTGTAGCCCTGGGTCAGCCTGACCCCATGACCCCAGGTGCTGCTGAGAGTAAAGGAGAAGGAGCTTCAGTACCTGAAGAAGGAGGTGCAGTGCCTGCGGGAAGAGCTCCAGATGATGCAAAAGGTGGGTGCCGGCTGGCCAGGTGGGTGTCGGGGGATGGGGGAGCCTCTGCATCAGCGGACCCCCATCCTGCGGGCACCCGCTGTGTCCTGGCCGCTTCATCTCATGGGGCTTCCTCCTGCCTCTCCCCCATGGGGGTCATGACACCCTTTTACAGAGAAATTGAGGCTAAGAAAGGGTGAGTGACGTGCCCAAGGCCACACTTGTGCTCATCTAATCCGCAAATATTTATGAGCAGATAGTCTGCCAGGCACTGTGCTGGGTGCCAGGGACATGTTGTGGACACAGCAGACAGAAGTCCCTGCTCCTTGGGCATGTTCCTGGTGAGGAATTAGCCACATTCCAGCCATAGAGGGGGTCGTGAATGTGCGGCCTGCCCTACCCACCCGAGCACGGTGTCCCCAGCTTTTAACGTGCCTGTGTGGCATGAGTGAGCCAGACACATGGAGGGCCCAAGCCCTGGCCAGGCTGACTCGGCTCTCACTGCTGCATGTTCATGGGCAGCAGCTCCTCCCCCGCCAGCGTCAGCGCTGAAACCCGGCCCTGCGTGGTGCTGGGAGGGGCAGGCCCTGGGCTGGGGGCTGCCGAGGGGAGCATGGTGGGCGCCTGCCACGTGACAGGGCCTGGGCAGGGCGGGCAGGACTGCACACCCTCATAGCTGGCCCTGTCCCTCAGGACCAGCGCTTCGCCTCAGGAAAGTACCAGGACGTGTACGTGGAGCTGAACCACATCAAGACGCGGTCGGAGCGGGAGATTGAGCAGCTAAAGGAGCACCTGCGCCTCGCCATGGCTGCGCTGCAGGAGAAGGAGGCCCTGCACAACAGCCTGGCCGAGTAGAGGTGGGCACCACAGGGGTGGGGGGCACCGGTGGGCACCGGCACCCTGTCTGTAAGTGGGGACAGTGACAAGAAGGGCACAGCGGCCAGGGGTCAGGTGTGGCCGTAGATGGCTTGGAAAACTTGCAGCGCTCCTTTAGAGGTGGGGAGTCAGTTCAGGATCTAATGACAGCGGTCCCCCCTCTTCTGTGGGTTCAGTTGCCAGGTTCAACTGGGTCCCCAGAATGACAGACATCAAGACGTTTTGAGAGACTGCCTTCACTTAACCTGTATGACAGTACGTTGTGATTGTCCTGTTTTATTACCCGAGTTACTAATCTCTTACTGTGCCTAATCGAAAAGTTTGGCTTTCTCGTATGTATGTGTGGGGGAAACCAGATATAGGTCGGGTACTCTCTGTAGCTCAGGCATCCAGGGGGTCACCCCCTGTGAGGAAGGGGGGCTGCTGTAGTGCATGTGCCCTCACGTGCCAGCAGGCATCTCCTAGCACTGCCCCACGCGGCAGCTGATGCTCCGTGCCCCCCAGTGCCGACGGTGGCTCTGGCTGGTCTGCCTGGGCACGGCAGCTAGCCCAGCGTGCCCACTCCACCTGTAGATCAGGCGGCTGGCACCAGTGTGTGTTCAGCCCCAGCATCACGTCCACCCAGTCCCAGCATCGACACCACCGGCTGAGACCAGCACTCTGCCCGCTTAGTCTTAGCCTGATTCTGTGGGTTCAAGATGTTTTCATCATGCCTGTCTTCACGCCATGTTTACCTGGAACGTCCCCTTTCCGACAAGTCCCTGTGCACACCCTTCGTCTGTGGCCAGACCCTTTAGGGAGAAGCCTGGAGGACCAGGTCTTCACAGCCCCTGGGTCTGAGCAGTGGTGGGACCACTGGCCGCCCTTGGCTGGCCCGTACCAGGCTGGGGCCGGCGCCAGAGTCGAGGTCCCCAGCCGCAGCTCCCCACTCTTGCCTTCCAGGTCTTCAAGGTCCAGACCCCGGGCCAAGGGACCAGTCGCCTCCTTCCCTGCTGGACGGAAGTCAGAAGCCAAGCTTTCTCCCCACTCTCTGTGGGCCGCATGTGCACGCACACCCACCACACACACACACAAACACACACACACCACACACAGGCACACACACACACCACACACAGGCACATACACAGACACACACACTGCGTATCTGAGCGCGCCCCTCGCACTGGGTCTTACTTTGCACCTTCTTCAGGATTTTATATGTGAAGAGATTTTTATATAGAATTTTTCCTTTTTTTTTCCATACACTTTATGCTTTTTAGAAAGCAATTCCTCATGGCCGTGGCCTCCCACACCGGCTCCCCAGCTCCTGCCACCTGCTTGGGCCCCTGGGCCTGCCCCAGGCTGGCAGCCCTTCAGGGCTGGCTCTGGTGGGGAGGCAGGGACCCAGCCCCCCTCTTTCCACCCTACCTCCTACTAACTGCTTCCTGCCTGGGGTGGGGGGGCCCATGCCAGGAGACTCTGGGCGGAGGAATGACTGGACAGAGGGAACCAGCTGCTCTATCTCCTCTGATAGGGTGCTGGGGTGGGGCCCCGGAGCTACCCATGAAGGTTGTTTCTCTTCAGCTCCATGAAACTTCTTAACTTAATAAAGTGTTTCCTCAGCTCTAGTGTCCTGGGTGAGGGGCAGGGCCCCGCGTGGACATCAGGGTTTCTTTCTTTTTTTTTTTTTTAAGGTTTATGTATTTATTTATACAAGCACTGGGCACAGTCAGAAGCGCGGGAGGGTGAGAGAATTCACCAGAGCCAGAGCGGGGAACAGAACAGGCAGAAGGACCGAAGCACACTGCTGAGGGGAGCAGTGGGTGAGCCAGGAGAGGTCTGCGCGCCATGTGGGACCCTCGCTGGCGGCCGGGGATCGAACCGGTGCTGCAGAGGCTGCGGGCAGCTTCTCAACCCAGCGCTCAACCGCTGCGTCACCAGAGGAGGCCCACATCAGGGTTTCTTAAAATAGAAAATATTGGCTTCATGGCCCACACCGGCTACACACCGTCCTCCTGAGGAGGCAGCACAGGGCTTCTGCGGGCAAGTTGAGACCCTCGTTCCTCCACATGAATATCCGTGGTGTGTTCAGGGGAGGACTGCAGGGGAGTGGCCTGGTGGGGTGCTGGGGTGAACGTGCCATCCTCTTGCCAGCCATGGGTTTCGAAATGGGCATGGGGTGCCATGCCAGCCAATCAGCTGCCAGGGGAGCCTGGCGGGGGACTGCAGGGTCATCAGGGAAGGTCTTTGCTCTTTAAAAGGGACATAAGGAAGAGTGGCCTCTCCTGGCCTTCGGGCAGTGTAGGGTGAAGTCCCAGGTTGCCGCCAATTTTGTGCAGAGCAGAAAGTGGGGAGAACCAGGGTGAAGCCATCAAATCACCCGCCCTGCTTCAAGACTATCTCCCGAATTAAGGAGCGTCCTCCAGCCCCTGAGAAATGGGAGGCCTGGCCCTGGCAATCCTAGTCTCCAGAGAGTCAAGTCCACAAAATGACTAGTACAGTCACATCAGCCTTAGTCATGGTCTTGTGGATCTACAGACACACAGATGCCCGTGGCTGTAGGACGCATAGTTGTGGTGTATTCGTAATTAGAATACTGTGTAGCACTACAAAGGAATTACTTCACATGCAGATGCGCGGCTATTCAGTCATAATGTTGGCTGAAAGAAGGCAGCCACGAAGGAGCCCGTGATTTATATGAAGTTCAAGAACAGGCAGAGCCACCACTAGGGTGATGGTCATCCAGACAGTGGGCCCTTCTGGGCTGGGGGGCTTATTACTAAGTGAGCACAGGGAACTTTCTGAGGTGCAGAGACTTTCCATGGCTTGATCTAGGTTGTGGTCACGTGGGTGCATACCTGTGGAAAAATGCATCACGCTTTGCACATAGGATTTGTGCATGTGACTGGGTATGAATGACATCCAAAAAAAACAAAAACCAGGGTTCCAGCGGGTGCCCAGGTGAGCCATCTGGGGAAACCCCATAACCTCACCCAGGGAATCTGGCCAGAGCACACAGGTGAGGTCTGGTCTCTCACCTCAGACAGCCACCGACTACATGAGCCTCACCAAGTCCATCTCGGTGAAATAGTCACAGTGAGGTCCCCCATGGAGGGCTGCTCGGGTATTAAATCACCAACTGTCCCAACGCTCTGTTGCTGTGTAACCAGCTCACAAAGGCAAGGGCTCAGAACGTGGGTTTTTATTGTCACTCACACACCTGTGGATTGATGGGGCTCCCCTGGGCAGTTCCTGAGTCCAGTGGTGCCCAGGCCGGGTTATCAAGGCTGAGCTGGGTTGGGTGTCCAGCATGGTGTCTGCTCGGGCCGTGACAGCTGGACCTCTGCCCTACCCACCCCTGGCCACTCCCAGTGGCTAGCTTGGGCCTCCTCACAACATGTCTGCACCCCGACTTCCTCGGTGGTGGTCAACTCCCCCCAGAGCCAAGAGACCCAGTGCCTCCGGCTACAGGTCTGGACGTGCTGCGGCACCATGTCCCTCCCCTTAGACAAAAAGGTCATGGGACCCGGCCGGACTCCAGGGAGGAGAAGGCAGTCAGGGGTCAGCGCACAAATTCAAGGGGGAGGGTCACCGGCAGCCATCTCGCTCCAGCCCCTGCTGCTCCCCCGACCTCTCCACGCCCCCATTCCAGGCTCTGAGGTGGAGTTGTCTCCCACGCAGCCTCTGTGGGGCTTCCCAGTTCCTGTCCACAGCTCGCCTGTGCTTTCTGCACAGCACCCCCTGACTACCTTCATGGCTCGTCCCCAGCTTTTGCTTGTTTCCAGCCCACAGCTTCTTGGGGAACTCCAGACCTGGGCAGCCTCCATCTCAAGACCCTGTCTTCTCCGCCCACCACTCCTCCTGTATGCTTGTCCACGAGCCAGCCGCTGGGTTAGGCCCTGGAGTTGCAGCGTGGAACCAAGCCCCCTAGCCTTGGGATAGCACAGCCTGGGAGGAGGTGAAACTGCAATCAGCCAATTAATTACAGGAACCTACAAGCAGCACAGAGGAGGCAGCAAAGCCAGGCCCCCATGATAGGAACGAGCTTGATTCACTTGTTTCCCCAATGCCCAGCACAGAGCCCATGGAATTTCAGCTGGATGAGTGATTGTTGACTGACTGATGAACCAACTGGAAGTGAGCGACTCCTCAGCCAGGTGGCACTCTCTCAATGAGGCACAATGCAGCCTCAGCCCCACCCCCATGCCAAAGGGCCAGGTTTCCCCATATTCCAGTTGGGTAGCCTGGTGGCCAGCCTGCGGGGCTGGAAGCTGATGGTAATTTCCAGCACCTCTAAGGACGGCCTGAGCGAGTCGATGCTGTCATCCCAGCGTCCCATCTGGACTTTACGAGGGCCTGGTGTGCAGGAAGGGAGGCGTCTGCTTTGAGGGAGCTTCTGTCATGAGCAAACTGGAACCCACACCCCTGCTAATGCTCACAACCACCCTTTGAAGTCCCTGTTGCGGTCCCATGTTTACAGAGGAGGAAACTGAGGCTCCGTCAGAGAGGGGCCATGACTCACCAGGGTCAGTAATCTGGCACTTCGCATCTGGCTCTGCAGGTGTCCTTGCTTAGGGCACCTCCACTAGGCAGTGTCTGCCTTTCATCAAGCATTTACAGTGTGCCGGGCCTGTGGCAGCAGCTGGTATCCTTTCTCTCCTTCCAGCCCCAGAACAGCCCAAGAGGACTGCAGGAGACCAGCCCCCCTGCAGAGGCAATGGCCCAGGCCAGGCCGGGCTGGGACCTGAGTGCCCTGGTCACTGAGTGCCCTGGTCACGGAGCTGGTGTTCAGGTGTGCGCCTCTCACCCCAGCGCAGGTGACTTCCTGAGCTGACCGAGGCCTTCCCTCTGGTGCCTGCCTGAGACCAGGGCCTTGGGTTCCGCGCATGGGGTGTCAGTGGGTGCACCTCTGCTGGGTACACTTGTGTAAGGGGCGGAAGGGACAGAGCAAGTTCTCCATGACCTGAGCAGAGGGGGTAAAGGAGAAGAGTCCTGGGGCCTGCAAAAGTCCGTGTCCATCCAACAGGCGGAAAGTCTCCGTCCATCGGGGGAGGAAGTGAGTAAATAAATTCACCGCCCTCCTTCCAGGCGGCGACAGAAGCAGTGAGGGAGCTGTTGTCTGTCTGTCTGCTGATGAGTCATCTCCAGGACGTATTTGTGAAATAAACAAAGCAAGATGCAAAATTGGGGGTGGGATGTGCTAGTTTTCTGTAAAAGAAGGAAACCGTGGCAGATACAGGTCGGCACGTGTGTTGACTTAGGTCCTCAACCGCCCTGGGAGGATTCACACCCACACTTGTGCACATGCACACACCTGGCGTGAGTGAGGCGGCTGGAGAGGGTGCTGCGCGTGCGTGAACTAAAGCCTCTCTCACACACTGATGGCTGGGGCCGGGAGGGGCTGTTTATTTCAAGGCTACAAGCTTTCCATACGTTCCGAAAGGTTTCCCAAGGGCACGGGATAACATCTCAAAACAAGCAGAAGTGTAAAAATTAATGAAATCGCCCCAAAGGGAACATGGTCTGGGGATGACAGCTGGAGCTAGGCTTGGAGTTCTACTCCCAGTTTCCTCCTCACCTGGGAAGGGATGAATTAATGGGGCTCAGTGAGCAGCCCTGCCCACCGCGTGCCAGCTGTTAGCATCACTGCTAATGTCCCGGTCAGGCCGGTTCCGGGCCCCCCGGTGACAGAAGTGAAGGGACACACCCGCTGGGCTGCTGGAGGACATCACCACTGGGAGGCTGCTGACACAGCTGACCCGCCAGCCACCGGAGGAGCCAGGCAGGCTGCGGGCAGAGCGCCTCCCCGCTGACTCTTCAAAGATAAGTAGGTGTGATCAGGAGGCCACCAGTGGGGAGGAAGGGCGCTCCAGGCTGGGGGAGCCGGCTGAACACCCCTGGAGCCACACCTCGTAAACAGTGGTGGATGCAAACAGTCATACACACCTGTGTGCATACCCGCCCCTCCTGCACACGCTCCTGCTCCTGTGGGCTCACATGCAGCCCCACATTCCTGGACATGCTCAGGGGCACGCTGGCCAGCCAGGCCTGGGGCGGAGTCAGGTGCCGGCTGTGGACAGAGGGCTGACTCCCTGTGTTATCCCAGCAAACCACCTAGCCTCGCTGTGGCTCCATGCCCTCACTTCTGCCCTAACCTGGGTACAACAGAGCCAACCTCACAGGGATGTGGCGAGGATTACATGTGGCCATTCCTGCAGAGCTCTGAGAACACTGTTCAGTACACGCCCCAGGTGTGATGCTGGTGTGCATATTAATATGCAATGATGCACTGAGCAGTGTTAATATATCATTTGTTCATATTTCATAGTGTACATTAAAGTTTTATTAAATGCATACCTAGTGTGCACATTTTATACAGAGGTGTGTATGTACACAAGAATGCCTCTGTGTGCCCAGCACATGCTTGGTGATGAGCAGGAGGCCCAGTGCTTGGCAGGGTGACTGAACAAACAGTTGTTGCTGGAAGACATAGAAATAGGGTTGTCCTGGGATTGTCTGTTTCATCTTCGTCTGCCCTCTGGGCTATGAGTTGCATGAAGTTGAGTCCACTGTCTGATTTGTCTTTGTTCTTGGCATCAAAGAGTAGTCATCAGTAAGTGAGTCAGGATATGTTTGTCTGCTACAATAGCTTTAACAGGAGCTTGAATCAAAACAACTTTATCTTACCCAGAACTTTGTGAAAGGAGGGACCCCAGGCTGCATCATGGTGTCTGGGAACCTGACTGCTTATATCTAGGGATCTAGATTCCATTATGCGCAGCCTCCATTCACAAATACACCTCATGGTCCAAGATGGCTGCTCTAATTCCAGTCATCACGTCTGCATCCCAGCCAGCAGGAAGGAGAAATGAAAAGGGGACAAAAGGCCTATGCCAGCTTTCTCTTAAGGACACTCTAGCACAATTATATGC